TGCTTGTACTATTTTATGGGAAATCACAGTAAATATTACATATCTGCTCTTGTTAGCGTTATCGTTATTTTACCACAAATTATACTTGCCTACAAAGATATGATCGTAAATCTAAAATGGACATACTGGCAAGTAAAGACATTGTACACAAACATCTATTCCAAAAGCCAGACCATATGGACAGCTTCCTGACAGAAATTCTATTAATGATATCTCAAATTAATTGATGTATCTTTATTTTTATGAATTAATGTATTTAACAAAATTAACATGGACTTATGTATGTAATCAATAACTCATATATTATTTGATTACATTGTCTGTTCCAAAATTTTACTGTACGTTTCAGAATTCTCGAAATGTTCCAAGCAAAGAATGTAATGCTGCCATTATCACTGTTAGCGTTTTTTGGAAGGGTACTAACATGTCACAGTGAAAGTTCAACAATAACCACCATCTGACAACATCTGCGACAGTTTCTAAATTATTCGATTCAGGGAAACGCATTCTTTTACTTGAGGACCATATGCCGCTTATCATAGAATGACACAAACGTGTCACATTGAAGATTCCATAGTAACCACCGTATGAACTCATCATCAGATGATTCTCAATTCAAAATTTCACCATTTGCATGCTTACATGATGAATTCTGTATAAGTCGGTGCTGGGGGTATAGACGGTAACTTGCACTTACCAATACCATCTATGAACGGGCTCAATCAAACCGAACCTACAACATTTTCATTTTTGCCGTTTTAAGCGTTCTTTGGGGATTTCGTTTATTATCAATTTAATGAATAATGTGTATACAAGTGCATTTGATTTTTATGGTTATAGCCAATCGTTTTCGAGTTGTTTCAAATAAGATTAAACTTACAATTAAAATAAACCTTCAATTAAATATAAGTCTGCATATTCTAACAGTAGGTGTTAATACTGATGACTGTTTAGGTTTTTCGTCGTACGAGTATTTGTATTAAACTATTTTTTTTGCAATGGAATTGTGCGTTAAAAACCTTCATCTGGATAAGGATATTACCATTGGCTAAAATCAATTGAATAAAATAGCACTAAATGACAAGATTTGTAATTTTTTCTTTAAAAGTCACTTACAATTAAAATAAGTCGCCATTTGTCATTATAGTTGCATTGGCAAATCCAATCAAACTTATGTAACAATAGCTATGTTCCTGTTATCGGTTTTGTAACTATAAAGTGATGAAGCTAACTGTAATGTTACTGTTAAGCACGACCGCCTCATCGATCGATATCACTTGCCACTCAATCGATACACACAGGTCTGCTTTAAGGCCAGCAGCTTACGGCAAGTGAAATGACTCGAGATCTAGTTATTGCGTACACTTATTAGTACTAGCGAAACACGATTTATGCTTGTTAAAATCTATTATATTTAATTAATGAATTGTAATTTTTATTACTTTGTAGAGAAATAGGTCATACTCAGTTAACAATATTGGTGACAATCTAGGCTAACATTAACATTACAAGAGATGTTAAAGCAATACCAAAAATAACTATATTTTATATGTAATATTGTATCAATTTGGTAGAGAATATATAAGAATTTAATCATGAAAAGATTAAACATTAAAATATTTTACTACTGGTTGTGAAGTACTTGATAATGTGTTTGGCATCTGTTTGTACAAGAAAACTATGTCCTCATTTGGAATGCTTTTAGTAACAGTCAATCTAGAATTGAAGAAACATGTGACTCACCGGGAATAGCTATATTCAATGACTCACCGGAAATAGCTATGTTCAACGAACATAGAACACGTGACCTAATTGGTACAGCTATGTTCAACGAGCATAAAACATGTGACTTGCCGAGGACGTAAAGCCCTACGCAATTAAAACAGCAGGCCACTACCTCAAACATGAAGAAGCATTGGCACAAACATAAGCCCATCAGCGCCATCTCTAACATGATAAAAAATAGGATTTGGGAACGTCTTCCCGTGCCCATGTACATATGATAAGACAACGGTACCGGTAAGCTAATGGCCATTGTAGAGGAATTGATATAAGTATTTTTTACTTGTTACCAATCCAGTCTTTCTTTGTTGAAAAATGTAAATGTTACTTGTGAACAATATATCTATAACTACAAAATGGTATACGGCATCATGTTTTAAAGGGACTCCACTGACATGCATGTATGCACATTTTTAGATCTTTTCTCATTTTTTTCAAATCCAGAATAATCATTTTTATTGTACAAACTGACCATCAAATTGGGCAGATTTAATCATTTTAAGTGCATTACTTGATCTATACAAGAATTTCAAATTTAATGATTTTAGCCATTTTCTACCTCAATGAAGCTTCATTCACAATAAGTTGATGTTGGTTAGGTTGTAACATGGTCAAGTATTGGCTGCAAAAAGTGCAGGGAAACCCGTAAGGTTGAGCGGGACATCAGATGATTGGATGGAAATGTGCTTTTTAAGTATAAAAATTATTTTAGAAACTAAAACTACGTTGTGTTCTTAAGAACATGAACTGTTTCATAACTCTCAAGGATAATTTTTCATTTGGATATTTGCATTTTAAAAAATGTATATGTCAGTCCTGTGGTAAGCAGAGAATTTCAGGGAAAAGGCGGTAATCATCTTTGAGGACACTTTGTGAAACATTTGGTCGGTCAACCCTATATAACAAGATCATTTTAATGTGTTAGGTATGTTATTCTCCTTCAAAAATCACATCTTTAACATAAATACTCAATTTTAAGGTATGTTTATGGGTCATTTCTTATAATGTAAGTCTATGGCTAAAGCTCTCTTATTAGTACCAAGGGTTGCGGTAGTGTCAGCAAAGACTGACAGTCTCTTACAATATTTTTTCTGTATACTGCTTTCATAATAATAGTAAACATCTGTTTCCTTAAGAAGGGCATCGACACAAAACAATCATATTTTGAATGACATACAAGATTTTGATTTTATGGTAAGGAGTTCTTAACTTTAATATACGCATCTCTTAACAAACATACTGTCCGGTAATTACTCCTGCACTCCATTAATATGAAAAACAAAGATCAACAAGGAAGGGTGGCGTTCAATGAACGCATTGAACGCAAAGCAAACGCGTTTGATTGGTTTTACCTTTTGATATTCAGGGAGTTCTGTGACAAATGTGTAAGTAAAAGTGGTTTGTTATTTGTTTTGTTTTTGTTTTCTTTCTTTTTATTTTGTTTCTTTTAATTGCAACACGGTTTGTGAAAATTTGAAGTTTATATTAATATCTATGGCTCCCTGAAACGATATATTATTTATAAATAATTATAACGATACGATCAGTGTTTCTTCACACTCAAATTCAGTCGCATATTGGAGGTAATTAGCATGTGTATAAAATCTTATAAAACAGATTTTGGCCAAAGTAAAAGCTGAAAAGACAATGAATGTGTCATGTACATGAATCCTAGACTATAAGTTGCATTTTAATTCATTTAAAACAGTGTCTCCGGTAATGTTACGAGTATTCCTTCTGTTTTGTTTTGATTTGCTTTTTATATTTTGTAGTTTATCTTAGAGAGTTTGATTGATTAATATTTCTTCGCAGACATGTCATCAGATGCTTTGGTTTCATAACGTATTAAAAGACACGTGAGCAGCCTTGAATTAACTGTACTTTATCTTAAACAGTTCTATATATTGACACAATTTTAAGAGCGTTTGTCTACTTAAATCGGCAGGAGGAAGTAACTTAAAATAAACCTTTGTGAAAGGACACGGTGGCATAGTGATGAATGTGTCTGCTTCTTAACCCAGGGATCGTGTGCTCGAGCTCTACTGAGGCCACAGCCATACATGATTCCTCACATGACACCAGTGCTGGTTAGTTCCTGTAAGCTTATTTGAGAACAGCCCGGATAAACCACAAGCTTACCTTAACATCAGTCGAGATACAAAATGTTCAAACTTAACATATGCAAAATATTGATACTGACAAGATAAACTTCAAACTTTGCAAAACCTGACCGGAAACCATTGATTTTGTCGAGACATCTCAAGCACCAGATTGATTTGAATATATCTATAAATATCTATCTTAATGACATTAAGCACAAAATATAGATATAATGTTACAACACGTTGCTATAAAGTTACGGTGTTTATATAATGAGTTTAGTCTGGATATAGGAAAGTAGTGCAAAAATCTGGGAACATTCAATCTTCAACTTTGTGTACTTTGGTTTTCGGTATTTTATATTTTTACATGTACAGTTACAATATATTAAATAATATACACAAATAAAGAAAGACAGCTTCTTGTTTGTTTAAATAGTAAAACGAAATTCTTTTTAAAATAATAAATTTTCCAAACTAGAAGCGTTCTGCTGTTATTTTGCAGACAAGTAAGATTGCTTCTTTCAAGAGTAAGATTGCTTTTTTCAAGTAGATGATATTCCGATTTAAAAAAAATGGTTTGGCAAATCTCTCTTTTCAGTCTGATAAAGGTAAACATTAATCTCAGTTGACAATACATATTAACTATTATTACATTTTACTTTCTACATAAATTATAATTGCGCCGAAATGACTATGTCCTCATTTTTACCGACAACGAAGAAACAAATGTATTGGAACGTAACAAAAACGAGGAAGGAGCTGAAAACATTTGTTTTCCGTCAATTTGCCAACGAGTATATGTGAAATGTAGGCTAACATACCTTTGACCATATTTGATCATTTAGTTGATAACAGTATACAAAATATCTGACAGTCATTGCGTTTACTTATGCTTTTAATTTAGAAACATTTAACTGTTTCATCAAACTAAAGAACAGTGTTAAGCTGATGTGACTTTTCGTACATTTAACATGACAGTCAACCAACAAAAGAGGTTGTTACATTTAAGAAAGAAGAACGTGACATGTTTTTACTCTTATTAACTACACTGTATAAAAAAGCAGTTAATGTCCCGTACTGTCTCGACTGACAACAAACATTCAATATCGACACTTACTGTTGCAAGCAAATTGTAATTAAATATTGTTTATATCTCCCTTCCATAGCAATAAATTATTTTGTGTTTATTGCAAGATTGTGATTGGTACAAACAACTATGTGCCTCGTGGTCAAATATTTTATTTGTATTTTCTGAAGGATTTTATGCGATATGGCGTTATATGCATATTATTTGCTTTGCGGATTTCAACTGTTCTCATTTGTGAATGTCATAAATTGCCAGTGGGGTTGGCAGTTGCCTTCGCAGTACAGATGCGTAGAGCGACCAGGTAAGTTCTTTACTTCAACTTCAAAATTTTATTGCATTAAACAAATACATGTTTAAAGCAAGTACAAAATATATAAACAAAGACAACACAAGTACATGGATTTTTTTAGAAGAGCCTTACAATCATATGAATAAAATACAGATCACATTTGATAGGATTAATTTCTTAAAGTGTTAGCATGATATGTGAATTTGCTTAAACCATTAATTACAGTTAACGATGATTCAGACATTAAATTGATAAACTTTTGCTTAGTCGGCCATGTGTAGTAATAACGTTTAAGATACTTTTTTCTCAAATCGGAGAACTTCGGGCAAATAAGTAAAAAATGATATTCATTCTCTATTTGATTAAATTGACAATTTTCACAAAAACGTTCATTTCTTGGAATATTACGATATCTTCCATATTCTACAGCTAAATTGTGTGACGATGTTCTGAATCTAGATAAGGCTATTCTATACTTTGGTTCTTTAATTACACTTAAGTAATTTTCTAAATCAAAAGTATGTTTAAATAAACTGTATGTATCCAGACGAGGTGAATTATTTATCAAGGTATACTATTGTTCGTAATACAAACTAAGAATTCTGAATTTAATTGCTTTAAAATCTACCTGTATGCTATATTGGTTTTCCCATACAAATATTAATCCAGATTCATCTAATATTTGTTTAATAGTGTACGCCCAATTTTTACCATTATAAGATTGTCCATTGTCAGCATCAATTCTTAACATAGAATATGTTTTAAAAAGGATAGTACTTTCTTGAAGCGATAATAACTTAATCCAATATTTAATCATTATTATTTTCCGTTGAATATACATAGGTGTTCGGCCAAGTTCGCCATATAACACTTCTCGGTTTGTGGATAATTTAGTTCCTAAAATTTTTCTACAAAATTTACAATGAATAACTTCGACAGTGGGTGCGATGTGTGATCCCCATACCTCCGCCGCGTAATTTAAAGTTGATGATACGAGAGAATCAAACAATTTTATTTGCTGTGATACGGGTAAATCTACTTGATTAAAGATAATAAACAAATTATGAAGAGCGAAAGACGCATGTTGTGCTATACGTTCCTGCGTTCTATTCCATTGTCCGTTTTTGAATAGATGTACACCTAGATATTTAAAGGATTTGACAACTTCGATTTTTGTGTTATATAAGTAAAAATCATAATTTGTGTGACGACCGTTTTCAAAAATCATTATTTTTGTTTTATTAACATTAAGTTTCAAATTGTAATTATTACAGTATAATTCTATATTGTTTAATAATGATTGTAATGTTTTAGGGGTTTTAGAAAAAATCGCAGTTGAATACAGGGTCATAGGTTTATATTTAATCATTAATTGTCTCAATAAAGAGATCTATGTATATCATTATTTATTGCCTTTGTTGATATTCAATTACATTGTTAATTGAAACAAAACATGTCTGTGTTTCCTGTGACACGCATTCATCAAAATATTATTTACAACTTCTCACAATTAAAAAAAACAACAATTGTTTCATCTGATTCACTTAGTCTGGCCACAGGCGGCAGTATCAGTGTTTGAACACCCCACCCCTATTGCCCCTGGACCCCTACTACAATCCTGAAAAAAAAATCAACACTCTAAGGCTTACTATAAGGTACCAAATACAAAACCACCGATGAAATTATATATAAAAAAAGAATTTCCACTATCAAAATTATAGTTATAGAAAGGTGTAAAGCCTACTATATGTCCATTTGCCAAACAATGTGGAACACGGGAAATCGTCGTTTCGGCGACTGAGGCGCATTCCAGCGGGATTTCGCTGCATCATTCATTAACATTAATAAAAGAACTAGAATTCCTCAGTTTATGTAATTCAAGTCCAACTAATATCACTATCATTCCGATTTTTTCTGTTTCACGGTATTTTTTTAATTGTCGTAGCCATTTTGCAGTCTGATACCTGGGTTGAAATACGCGATCTGATTGGACGAGCCAAATTGGACGTCCAATCAGATCGCGTATAACACACAGGTATCAGAATCCAAAATGGCAACGACAAGTCAAAAATTACCGTGAAATAGAAAAAATCGATAGAATATTGATATTCATTGGACTTGAATTAAGTAAGCTGTGGAATTCAAGTTCTTTTTATTGATGTAAATGAATGATGCAGCGAAATCCCGCCGGAATGCGCCTCAGTCGCCGAAACGACGATTTCCCGTGTTCCACATTGTTTGGCAAATGGACATATAGTAGGCTTTACACCTTTCTATAACTATAATTTTGATAGTGGAAATTTTTTTTTATATATAATTTCATCGGTGGTTTTGTATTTGGTACCTTATAGTAAGCCTAAGAGTGTTGAATTTTTTTTCAGGATTGTAGTAGGGGTCCAGGGGCAGATAGGGGTGGGGTGTCCAAACACTGATACTGCCGCCTGTGAATCTGGCATGTGACCAATAAAAATACTCAAGCAATGATTTAAGTATTTAGTATAGGTGTTTATGGTCGCTGTCTGTGAATATTCGCTGTGGGTACGAGCTCCGTCGGTAACGTTGAATTCTTTTATGTGAGGAAGCTATCTAGTTAACATTTTGAAGGTCGGAGGTTTGAATTAAACCGTCCGCGCGCGCCAATTGCAACTTCTGTCAAACTTCGGATTTGAACCTCGAACATTAATCGAAAGCTTATGTGTACAGTCCTTTCCGCCAAACTTCGGATCATGATTACTTGAGGTTTTTTAAAATGCTCAGACACAATTGTATGAAGACACAGAACGTATATGGTATTTCGGTCTGGCATAAACTTCAGAATATAATTGGGTAAATGCTGAAATGAGATTTATTGAAATAGTTAATTTCTTTATATCGTACAGAATCTTTCAAATTCTATTCAAATTTCTAGTTGAAAGACCCTGGCCTATATCGTGTAATAATCGGCATAAAGTACAATTTATGAAAATAACAAGAGCCGGTTGAACCGGGTGGTGCTCCCAAAAAAGGTTTTGGACAAATGAAGGTATACCTCTTGTAGTGTCAGAGTTATGTCACAGACAAAGTTCAAAGTAAATGTTGTGCGCCATACGTCGTATCAATATGGTGATCATTTCTGTGAAATAGTTGTAAATTCCGACTTCAAATAACAATGTTATTGTGCTGCAAGGTCATGCTGTGACCTTGACCTTCAAGATAGCGACCAAAATGTTACGTGCGACACGTCGTCTCAATATGGTGATAATTTCTGTGAAATAGTTGTAAAATCCGACTTCAAATAACGAAGTAATGGGCCGGACTCAATTTTGCTGCAAGGCCATGCTGTGACCTTGACCTTCAAGGTAGCGACCTAAATGTTGTGCTCGACACATCGCCTCAATATGATGATCATTCTGTGAAATAGTTGTAAAATCCGACTTCAAGTAACGAAGTAATGGGTCGGACACGATTTTGCTGCAAGGTCATGCTGTGACATTGACCTTCAAGGAAGCGACCCAAATGTTGCGCGCGACACGTTGTCTCAATATGGTGATCATTTCTGTGAAATAGTTGTAAAATCAGACTTCAAATAACGAAGTTATGGGCCGGATACGATTTTGCTGCAAGGTCATGCTGTGACATTGACCTAAAGGTAGCGACCAAATGTTGCGCATGACACATCGTCTCAATATGGTGATCGTTTCTGTGAAATAGTTGTAAAATCTAAACTTCAAATAACGAAGTTATGGGCCCAACACGATTTTGCTGCAAGGTCATGCTGTGACCTTGACCTTCAAGGTAGCGACCTAAATTTGCGCGCGACACGTCGTCTCAATATGGTGATCATTTCTGTGAAATAATTGTAAAATCCGACTTCAAATAACGAAGTTATGGGCCGAACTCAATTTTGCTGCAAGGTCATGCTGTGACCTTGACCTTCAAGGAAGCGACCCAAATGTTGCGCGCGACACGTCGTCTCAATAATGGTGATCATTTCTGTGAAATAGATGTAAAATCTGACTTCAAATAATTAAGTCATGGGCCGGACACGATTCTGCTGCAAGGTCATGCTGTGACCTTGACCTTCAAGGTAGCGACCCAAATGTTGTGCGCGACACGTCGTCTCAATATGGTGATCATTTCTGATTAATACTTGTAAAATCCGAATCTTAATAACGAAGTTTTGGGCCGGACAGGATTTTGCTGCAAGATCATGCTGTGACCTTGACCTTCAAGGTAGCGACCCAAATGTTGCGCGCGACACATAGTCTCAATATGGTGATTCTTTGAAATAGTTGTAAAATCAGACTTCAAATAACGAAGTTATGGGCCGGATACGATTTTGCTGCAAGGTCATGCTGTGACATTGACCTAAAGGTAGCGACCCAAATGTTGCGCGTGACACGTTGTCTCAATATGGTGATAATTTCTGTGAAAAAGTTTTAAAATCAGACTTCATATAACGAAGTTATGGGCCGAACACGATTTTGCTGCAAGGTCATACTGCGACCTTCACCTTCAAGGTAGCATCCCAAATGCTGCATGTGACACGTCGTCTCAATATGATGATCATTTCTGTGAAAATGTTGTAAAAACCGACTTCAAATAACGAAGTTTTGGACCGGACACGATTTTGCTGCAAGGTCATGCTTTGACCTTGACCTTGAAGGTAGCGACCCAAATGTTGCGCGCGACACGTCGTCTCAATATGGTGATCATTTCTGTGAAATAGTTGTAAAAACCGACTTCAAATAACGAAGTTATGGGCCGAACACAAATTCGGGACGTACGTACGTACGTACAGAAGGACTGACGGACGGATGGACGGACGGACGGACAACCCGGCGACTGTATGCTCCCCCGAAATTGTTCGGGGAACATAAAAATTACATTATTATTGATTTTACGAACCGAAAGTACAAATGACATACCCTTTTAGGGGATATATCGGATTACGTTATAAATTTTAAAAAATGCTTCTGATTGTCTTGATTGTATTTTGTTGGCGTGAACAAATTTAATGTTTGTGTTTCGCTTCTGATTGTCAGACATGTTTTTTTTTCAATCATATATGATTTGACTGGGGAAAAAAACAATTTATTTTCAAACGTATGTCAAATAATTATATCTCATTATGCAAAGATTACACTCTCTTACTATTTATATACAAGAAAAATATTACATACATTCGTATGTAATATAGGTACGATTGCATACTACTTTTTGTGAAGACTTTACGTTTGCTGAATTAAAGGTGTAATGTAAAATGAACATACATGTCATGAGATATTTTATATCTTTAAACATTTTCATGGAATGTAATTAATGTATCACCATATTAAAGTTGCATGCCTTCAGATGAGAAAAATGATTTCAAGGAAATCAAAATATGAAAAGAAAATTCACGGTCAATTGACTGCTTTGAAGCATAATCACAAAATAAAATTACAGGAAATTAAAAACCTTTTTAATACATTTAAGGTAGAATTTCATTGTAAATCATAGTCAAAGATTTGAGATATGATTATTTATTCATATTAACATCATTATTGGTTATATATTGATAAAAAAACCGAAAGACACAGTTTGTAAATATTTATTACAATAAAATATGAAAAAGGTATACGCGCCGAGGTTAGCTATAATTAAAATTCCCGCGCTAAGTCGCGGTGGTGCTTGGGATAATCACTTGATACTGTAAATGGCAGCCATTTTACGATACGAATCCTCGGACAGTTTATCCTGCCGAAAAGATATGAAAAAATACTTGCAATTCAAAGTTTGCTGGCTATATAAAGATTATCGATTTACTCTTTGCACACTTTTTCTCTGCCTGATTGTAATAATATTGACGTGTTTTCATTGGCTTTAACCATCAAGTTACCAATACACATGTAGGTGTGAACTAATTTCGTGTTCATTAAAATTATTTCGTTAATAGACATATAACAATCTTATCTACAAATGAATTGATAAAACAACAATCCCAGAAGCATTTAAGATAATAACAATCATTGGAAAAAATAAATGCATATAAATTGTAAATTTGTGTATGACAACTCACCCCCTAAACAAAACATAATAGACTCAACCAAAACAAGCGTCTGCTTCTTAATCTAACTATGTAGTTGCATGACCATGATTAGCAATTTAGCAAACCAAATCTAAGAGATAAACCTATTGTAAAAATAATACTATGACCACAGTAGATTTCGTACAGATAAAAAAGTCACACGGCGTATACATATGCGTTCAATCCGTATTATTTCCGAGATGATTATTTGTAATCGGCGAGGTGCTCCTAATGTCGCTGATCATTAAGGTACACTTCCCCCAATAACTTTTACTCTTTAACACATTAAACTAAACTTGATATATATGAGAAGATACACCTTTTAGGCATGGGATCAATATAGAAAATCGAGAAATTAAATTAAAACATATTATAACGGTAGAATATAAATTGTTATACTGTTGTACATTTGCCACTCAAAATATTATTTTAGGTTAATAGCTATAATGATTTTGCAACAGTTTAGAAATATATTATTGTTCATCTTGTTTACAATTTCTTTTAACGATATAGTAAAAATAACTATAAACTAATTACATATTCAAGTTATATACATTGCAATCCATTGCATAAAAAACAACAAGGACTTTTTGTTATATTTGTATTCTAAATAATGCACAGAGGGCGGTCAGGATAAGGAAAGAACCAAAATTCTCTTTGGACCGAGAATGGATTTTGAAAGTTTACGGCATGCAAAATATGAAACTTTTCGACCATAACATTGATTTGATCTCTAAAACATGGGAAACAACCCTTTCCTTTGACAGAACAATTAGGATGCTGCCAAACTTTGATACCCTAAACACACACGCATGCACATGCTATCTGTAATATTTCAGATTATTTGTATGTTGTATAAGTAAATCAGTATATGCGTGATACATGGTATGCTGATTAAATATCACAAAAATAAATCCATTACAGATCGGTCTCGTAATTTTTAAATCTCTAAGAAATTAGTCATAATATATCTGCTGGTTATTTTATTTCAGTACAAGCAATATGTAGACTAGCAGCAAACCCGACGTTTCCTCTATATCCTGATATCACCGGTATCATTGTCTTCACACAGAGGATTGTAAGTATCTAACTAAACATCACGTTCATAAATCCTATTGGAAAACCATTGTCATTTCCATTATTCAGTATCGATGTCATCCCTTTATATAGCATATTTCCGAAAGCGTTGGTTATGTTCCTTGTCACTTTCATACAAAATGTTTATAAACTAACAGTGTGAGACATGTCCGTCTATGATGACAGTGATGGACTGGCTACAGATTTTGCTTTGTAGAGTTTCCATCTTTATGACCATTTATGGCACAGAATGTTTCTTCAGGAAATATTCATGCATTTATTTGCAGTCATGTTACGGACATTACGCTCTTCAAGTTAAGATAACAATATCTGGCATGCCAGCTGACGGGAACTGGACGTACCATGGTCTACATATCCATCGTTCTGGGGACATGTCAAATGGCTGTGAGTCCATGGGACCGCATTTTAATCCATATGGGACAGTACATGGCTCGCAAAATGACCCATCAAAGTAATAAAGTTTTATTAGATAAATAAAAATAAGTCATATTGCAAGTAGTTATTTTTAAGGTAATAAAGTAAAACATTTTAGATTTTTGTTTGTTTCAATGAAATCAATATATTTCAAGGAGTAAATCAACATAATTCCTCTTTAGGTCAGATGCACATTGTTTAAGTGTAATTTTTATGTATAATACTTGCACTTTGAAGGCATTTGTCATTTGTTTTGACTATTGTTAAATTTGCCTTACTGACATAAAAATATTACCATGTAAATTAAGGCTGTGTCATTGTAAAATTAAATATGCTTGTCTATAAGTTATTGTCAGATAATTTGGTGTTTTATCGTGTAAAAGTTTTTACATCAACTTTTAAGCCGACGTCATGTAGGTGACTTTGGTAACGTAGTGAAAGATCCCTATGGTAACGTACAAGGAGCAATATTTGACAATTTGGCAAGTTTGGTTGGAAACAACTCCATTGTTCGTCGCGGGGTAGTTGTAAGTTTATCACCCAGTTTAATTACATTGCCAATTCTTTTAAAACCTTTTGAGTCTTTTTACTGCTGTATAAAGCGGTGCATTTTTGAAGCAAAAATAACTGCAAAATGACATTTGTTTTTAACTTGAATCACATAAATGGTACTGTAGTGTTACATTTCTTAAAAAAGAGATGCAGAAGACGTTACACTTATAATTACACTTATAGTTACAAGTTATACTTATATTTAATGACAAACATTACTTATAGTATATTAAAAGACTAGTATTAATTCATTAGAGATTAGTCAAAAAAGTTCAAATGTTCGACTGATGGATTTATAGTTGAAGGTCATGAACAACATGTGTGATAAATAACGTGTAATTCACCGAATGACCCGAGGTTTCTACGACAGATGTATCTGTAGTTTCATCTATTTTTCATACGATTATGAATAATTAAAAAAATATGTTACTTGTGTTTTATGGGGCTGTTTTCAGTATTAATTTATCTGGTCTGAAAAAGCATGAACTTTGATTAATAGGAGATTAAAATACAAGATAAATATGAAATAAACATAAATACATTTCTGATGTTTTCATATAATACGAATTGACTTGATGACATATATAGAATTTTCTGATGCATTTGTATATATATTCAAAGCTGCACGAGGGTCAGGACGACCTTGGCCGTGGCCTCGACATGGAAAGTTTACGGACAGGGAATGCTGGGAGGAGATTGGCCTGCTGTTTCATAGAGCCTTTGTGAGATATGTGTTATATGATACAAACGTATAGAACAATATAATCACGTTGTTTATGATAATTACACTATACTACCGACGACGGAGTAAGACACATCAGTGTAAATGACAAACAGTGTCACTAAAATACAATATAAAATAAAATATAAGACAGAAATATTGCTGCTATTCATCACTTCGTGTTATACATGTATATTGCAATGTATAAAGAGTTCACAAATAAATATCTTTGAAATATGGTTTTCATTTTATTGGACAAGTGGTGGTTTTTTTAATTTTCTTTGGTAGCTAACGAGATAGTTAAAAAGCTTTTTATAAACTTCAACAGCATCACACTTTCGTCCACTCCCTTGTTATTTTCCAAGCAAGACTTGAGCATTTTAGGATCAAAGTGAAAAATATACACTCCCTAATTGAATACAGTCTGTACATTCGACAAATATGTATGTTGTCTTTTTTTTACTGCTAAGGACATAGCATGTCATATCTCATAAGGTAATATTTCAGCTTTCATAGTGTAGGGGAAAAACGCAACAGTACCACTCTGTGCATTATTAATAAAATGAGCAGAAACCTTCGGTACATCTAAAATGTAAAGACAAGAGTGACTACTGTAAAAGGAGCACCAGGGGCAATAAACGCCGGAATGCAATTCTTTTTAAGAATCAAATATAATCTTTCAATTAAAATAGAGATTTATTTATGGAATTATACCTCAAACATGTTCTATCTTAGCTATTCCTTAGGATAACAAATAACAAAAGTCATCTAAAATGAGTGATCTACAGGCCACGACCTACCTCCCTATAAAATGAAGACAGCACACCAAATAGTTATAAAGTTATGAGACTAAAGGCAATACCACAGTAAGACCAAAGTTACCTCTGAGCATATAAAAAGGTTGTCAAAGACAGCGGATGTCACTTAAGAAAAGGGCAATTACAGAAAACTGTGAACATGTAACGTAAACTAGAAAAGGGTTAAGCCAGTAATTAAGTCACATTAGGTTTGTAATTTTTTCTCAAGGCTGCATAAATTTTAAAACATTTGTTGATGTCTGCTGCCTTTGGCAGACAAGAACAGTTAATTACATGTATATAACTAGTGTACTATGTAAGTCTATATAAACTAAGTGAATCCCTGGGTGGACCGGAGGAGCATGGTAAATACAACTTTTGTAGACCACAACGTGATGCTACATGCCATATATTTAAGCTCTAGACATTGTAGTTTCCAAGATGAAGTCTTCTGATTTTTACTCCACAAGTCTATATAAAGTGACTATCGGGTTGCGACCAATTTTGGCAAAAGGGGCAGGATTTATGTAACTTTTGCAGAGGTTCATTTGACAATGCTACAAGCCAAATACCTACAACTTGCAGTTTCATACAAGACGAATTAAATCTAATTTCCTGAACTAAATGACATCTTTTTGACCCCAGGAGTATGATTTGTATTAAACTTTTGTGGAGGACCAGGTGAGGTACATGCCAAATATCTAAGCATTGTCCATTGTAGTTTAGAGAAGACTTTTAAAAGAGTCTAGTTTTAGTTTCTTTGACCAACATATGCATCAGACTTGAACAATTTGAGGACCACCTAAGGAACATCTCTGTGAAATGGTAAGTGGTTTAGGAGATGTCGTTTAATGTAATTGTGGACAATCATGGACCACGGGCACTGTCATCACAAAAGCTCACTTCTAAGCACAGGTGAGCTAAAAATTAAACAACAATTTATGCTCATATAAGTCTCATTCAGAGATTCATTTAATAAACTCAAATGATATTCATAAACATCTAAATGCATATAAATATAATAATACAGTATGTACTTATTAAATGCTGGTAAAATGTATGTTATAATTGCCCGTTTTATTAACAGTTTTTAAAATACTTCTCATGGAGCTTTTTTTTTTAAATGTATGTGTGTGTATTTTTAAACATTTCTTTTGCCTATATTTAGACAAATTAACCTCAAATCATTTAAAGTATCCCATTACCTTAGCAACTTTAATTGTAAGATTTATCATTCAATATTTTGTAAAATAGATGCCCTTTTAAATGGAAATGTCAAACACAAATCTATGTAGCATTGATCAAATAGGGCAATACTTCATTCATTCAAAAATTATATTAACACATAAGATATGTTCCTATCCCTACATTTTACACTCAATATTCATATATAGAAATGTCCATTCATTCAAACACATAATTTACAACAAAGACACATGTATAAATTCATTAAAACTTAAAACTTAGTTTCATTTCCTATCTTGGCCAAACACCTCATTCTCGCTTAACTTTAATTTCTTCATCTGACAACCCAATTGGATGATGCTGTAGGAATCATCTGAATCCAACCAATCAGAGAGCTGCATTTATAGACTGGTCTCATTTTATAACATAGAATGGTTACCCTCAATTAACTTAAAATATAACAATTATTAAATACAGTCTGAAATACATTTAATTACCCAAACCTAGGTTATTACATTTAAACAAAATACACAACAACACACAACATAAATAACTCTACAATACGGATTTCACAATGAGTACACACAATTACACGTGTATATATAAGCTGTCATGAGCAAATGAATATCTGGTTTATAACACAATGATTGAAATATCACTCCTTAGCATGGATTTATTCTTAACAAACTTAATACTAAGCTTAAAACAACTTAAATCAAAACATAAAATGTTTAAAGCATACAGGTTATCGATCTAACACTTAAAATAAAACAACAACTTTATAAATATAAATTTAGCAGTAAGATATAATACATATCAATCACTGAGTACCAGTGACTGTATGTCACTCAAAGTAGACATGTAAGTTATATTAGTTTCCTTTTTACATATTAACTAAATACAAAAAGCAACTTTTATTGGAAAAAAAGAAAAAGAAAGAAAGCTTACTGTAATATGAACTAATTTAATCATAATTAGTCTAGTCTTTAAATTTGCCTTTAATTTCTAGCTTCTCAGCACTGTGAATGATTTTATTTTAATCAAACAATAAACAAATGTTCCTCATACAGAAAAAATAAACATGTACAAATATCAAAAATAGTGGAATGGTTTATTTCTATACAGTATGAACCATGTTGAAAATTCTTTAATAAATGACTAGGTCTAAGAAAATAGTGTGAACAAACAATAACTAGTATAAGTAATCAAAGTGCTGCAGCACTGAATGCGACAGACATGCAACCGGAGAGACATTAAGGCTTTTTTAGAGAAAAAAAACAAAACACAAAAGATATAACAGAGAAAATTTGTTTCCATACAAGTTCGAGATTTGTAGAGCAATATATTTTATGTGTCCCAATCTGATATAATTCAGATTTTCTACTTAAAAAGTTATACAGAATGAAATTTATGCCTAAAAACTCTGGTCAAACTTGTAAATCAGTGTCCTTATCGATTTATTCCAAGGAATGATATGTAAATAGAAAAAAAAACTGTCAACGAAATATTTCTAAAATAAAACCATGCAAATTAACTTCAAGCATAATACATTATACATGTGAGAATGTTATTTAGAATTGCTTCGTGTTATATCATAGTGGGCATATAGACAATAAAATATAAGTCATTTGTATTTTTATTTCTCTTGGATATGTCTCATTAAAAATATTTTTGGTTAAAATCATCAGCAATTAAAAGTGTTTTTTTTTAGATTTTTTTTTATTTACAAGGTAAAGATGTAGAGGCCAGAGCACATCGTTTTTATTTTAATTTAAACGTCACTTAAGCTGTCCTTTTCAATTTCATACTAAATTCCATTTTCAACTTGTTTGCTTCTTACAATTGTAAGTATTGCATGTAAGCAAAGTAAGTATCCGCTGGTTTATTACATATATAATGTGTACTCCCTAATCGCCTGCAGGTGAAAGCAGAATCTATTTTTAGAATAGCGAATGTTAACTCATATCGTGACCTAGAAAAATATGTAAACAAACCACAAGAATCGGAAGTAGAACTGATATTATAACTTCCGAATCAATAAAGATTACCATGAAAGACTACATGGTGGTAAAGTGTTGAAAAAACTCTCTTGTTACATGCATTTTCAAAAATAGATATTTATACTAACCATTATACTGTATCTAATTTATTAATAACTGCTGAATATTCAGCTAAACCCGCGGCATGAGTCACGAAAATAGTTCTTCTTTTATTAATGCGCGACTTATTCTAGTCACGAAAAACTTTTGATTTGTTAATAATAATGTTTTGTATAATGCAGAAATATTTATTTCCTACTAATAATTTCTTGGAACTCAGAGCTTACACCTTTATTATAGTATAATTTGCTGTCCTACTTTTTCGACAGCTGTAAATCGTTTCGGCAGTAATTTGCATATTGCGCAATAATACTACGGGACTACAACGTTTTTATCAATCAAATACGTTCATATTTTAACTTGGATAACTTAATTTGAAATTGAAAAGGCTAAATATGGAAGATTTTAAGATATCCCGACAAAGTATGTGAGTTTTAAAGGATCAAATTCATGTACTTTTTCATGGGCTGTTATTCGGTTGAGGACACTTTGCGCGATTGTAGCAGACGAAATCCCATGTGTAGATGACTTAGCTCTGAACGCGCCTGAGGGCGCGTCCGTCGCAAAAAGTAAAGCTGTCATGTCATGTAGATAAAAAGATTTATGCAAACTCTAGAAAAATTTATCATCTATGTAAGATATCTGCCTAAAATCCAAAAAAATCTTCCTATAGGCCAACACATAGGTTTTTATAGCAATGGTTTCTATACAGATATTCAGAATGGTTTTCAATGTAAGTTTCAAAGATAAAGCTGAGACAAGAAAACTGTCAATATGTTAACCAGTCTAACATCTGGTTATAATGTAGATGATATTAGATGTTGGTTTTATGGATGCTTGCTGAAATACTTGAGCTTCTCCTGTTGATCTGGTACAATCTAGAAAACAAAAATATCAATGAATGCACCGTTATATGAAGACATATGGTAAACATACTTGCCTTTTTCTAAAAGAGTTTGTATGTACAATAAAATTATGGGAATATTCTCATGGGTCATGGCTTGAAGTTTTACAGTTTGTACAAGTATCTGCCTTGAACCAAAATGTCATAAAAATTTCATTTTCACAGACTTTACTTTAACATAGCCAGTGTGTAAAAGAGAACTACCAATATGTTATTGAATGGGGAGGTGTATAACAAATTACCAAGTTCTTCCCTGTACTTTACACACATATTGTGTCTTAAAAGTTTCATGATACAAATCAATAACTGATCATTTTGGAAACAAAAAAACTTTTTAAGTTTTAAATATAAGTAAGACATGTATTAAGCCTTACAGTGTCTGCACCAGGTTTCCAGTTAGCCGGGCAAACTTCACCATGTGTGTCAGTGAACTGGAACGCCTGTACAAGTCTAAGCGTCTCATCAACAGATCGTCCCACAGGTAAGTCATTCATTGTGATCTGTCTCAATGTGCCCTTTGTGTCAATGATGAACAATCCTCTGATTAAATATAACAGTACATTTATACATGTAGATTGTTGTGAATTTTGTTTTTCTTTTTTTTTACAACTTAAAAATCTAAACACTTTCCAAAAATTGCTATACACTTCTAAGTGTATAGCAAGAAGTATTGATTCAGATAGTCTATTATTCTGGAAGTTTTTACTTCATACACAAGTAAATGTTTCTATTCAGATGTTAATTATGGTAAATAAAAATCATTATGAAAAGAGTCTATGAAGTAAAATCTTCAAATTAAATATACAGACAGTTGATATACAACTTAAATTTCTGTTTCAAGCAAATGTAAAACATGACATATCATGCAAATATACAGTTCAGCAGACATTTTCACAAAAAATCTTATGATTTATCTTAAGTTTTTCACTTACGATAATCGTAAGTTAAATCTTAAGTCATTTTCACTAAGCCACTTGCAAGTTAAAATTTTATCTTAAGATAAAAAATTCACTTACGATAAATCTTACGACAAAAACATCCCTAGCAACGTTCATTTGATAGTGATGTGCATGCATTATATTTGATTCCTGTTTTAAAATCAAGTAATCAAGAGCTTGAAATATCTAATGTACACAATCAAATTTCAATAAGAACAAAACATGATTCAAACTGATATAATTTATATCTTGATTGAAGATAATTATATATCTAAAAAAGGTCTAGGTTATAAAGAAATAAAAAGGTACCACTAGTACATGCTGGCAATTAAATCGAACTCACCAATTGTACAAATTATAAGTTTTCAATAATACTACAGTATAGTTCACATTTAAACTATTCATAACCCTCTCCATCGTGACGTCATCAAGTCATGACGTCACAAATGTTTATGTTGAAAAATAATTATACCTCAATTTGTGTTATTTGTAGCATACTGTTTGCTTAATATTCATTTGTCCTCCAACTTTTTGTTTGTTTTTATTCAGTTTAGGTAAGAGATACATGATATTTTACTCTTAAGAGAGAAAAAATTACACTTACGAACGGGGAAGACCTATCGTAAAGTTACGACAGATTTTGCACTTAAGATTTTCTTAAGATTTTTTGTGAAAAGGAGATTTATCGTAAGATTTCTCTTGTGATTTTTTATGAAAATGTCTGCAGGCCTTAAAACATATCACTTATATTGACTTTCATAAAAACATTGTCAATGAGAGGAGGAAGAGTGATGTAGGGTAGAGCATATGACTTCTTATCAAGAGGTTGTTGGTTTGAATTCCACTTGTCGTGAGATTCTCCTTCAACTGCAACAATCCACAATTATTGGTTACAAAATTCAGAAAGCAGTCTATTGGTGTGACTTAAAGATCAGGTCCCCTAAATGGGGCTTGACATGAAGGAAAAACAAACACACAAACTATCCAATACAAAGAAAATCAATTTTACCCTTTGTGACCTTGAATCAACCAACCTGAAATCCAACCGAAGGGTAGTGTTCCAGTTTTATTTTGGGGAGCAGAATGAGGTATGTAAGTCACATCAAATATGTAATTCATGAAATAAAGCATACCTGAGTGTATGTCCAAGGTCTTCCAAGTAGACACCATATGCTTTAGAGATCTTGTGAGTAATATCTGACAACAATGGATAATTCATGGAGCCTAGGCCACCACTAGATCTTGGAGTGTTTATCCTGCAATAAATTAGTAGTCAAATACAAATATACATACTACTAAAACTTATGTTAAAAGATGTGTGATTAACAAGTTGACAAAAATGTTGATTTTAAACATTCACTTATGTAACTAACATATATGTAATAAATGATACTCACAACTACCTGAATTTATAATGGAAACATGAATACTTTAGGAACAAAAGTTAAATGGTTAACTTGCAAATATACAAATACTAAACAAATTTTAGGCACTAAAATCATAGACCTAAGCGTCAGACATGAATTGTAGGTGTTTCAACACACTTCAATGAAGCATGTAAATAGTGCTTTTATTTTAATATATCCAAACAAATTAGGGTCTTCTAAACTAACCCTATTTTGAACTGCCCAACCTAGACTCTGGCAAATAGGTGAACAATAAAACAATAACCCTCTGGCAGCGAAAGGGTTAATATATCCAAACAAATTAGGGTCTTCTAAACTAACCCTATTTTGAACTGCCCAACCTAGACTTGATATTTGAATTCCCACATTTTAGAAGTCTTTTCTGTACAATATATATATAATGTATATAAAATTATATGAATAAGTCCTTCCTATATGTACCTACCCACCCTGTTTTGGAGGGGTTCAGAGACTTGATATAGAACTATTTTTGGCGTTAGAAGAGATTCTCAGAGACCTTACCAAGCTAGATGTGTATGAGGTGAGTCTACGGAGCATGCAACAACTTCTGTATTTATCTTCTTAAACTCCTCTATCCTTTCATTAAAGGCAACCACCTCAGTAGGACAAATAAATGTGCTGTAACAGAAACCAAAAGCTTACTTAGCAGCTATATTAGAGTACATAAATGTACAAATAAACATAAATGTCCCATTAAAAAATCTAAAATAATCACATATCATTAAGTAACCATTGCCTTAAAATATATTAATTTAATTCTTGTGATAAGGCATAAAATAAAAATTACACATACCAAAAAAACCACATACTTCAATTAACATATAAAAATTACATGTACTTTCATCACAAAAATATTGCTTATTGACACGGATTTATATTACAAGGATCGGACACTTTCGTTTAGCTTAAAGTCCCGTCGCGCGCATGCGCGGAATCGGATAAAGGTGGACAGAATGAGATGGCGGAACGCTCGGAGTGCGAAATATGACAGATTTTCACAAGAGTATGTGGTGTTATTGCAGCTTTGTGAAAAATTATACACATATGAATGTATTGATACAGTATTATTTTGTGCAGCTAAAGTATTAATATATGAAAAAATGCCGATAGAACGCTGCGACGCTTAGTTAAAAAGTACCTAATTTAAAAAATATTCGCCTATTGTTTAGGCAAATCCTCTACACTTTGACGCCCTTTTACGTCAAACATAGATTATAACAGCGAGTCAGATTAAGATAATTATTTTTTACATGGTTTAATGGTGGCATTGCAAAAAAATGTTTCTTGATTGCTAAAATACTTTTAAAGAAATTCATGTTTGAAATGTGTCTTTATTTCTGTGAATTATTTCCAAATGATTTGTACATTTTTTATTTGATATACCTGTATATCAGTATAAATATAGTATATATTCTACTAATCAGCGTATTAAATATATTATCAGATCATTCTAGACATTCGTTCATATATAGATGAATTCAAGGAAGAAACTTTTATTGGCATACTGAACAGCTGTTTTATAATATTTTTTTTTTTTAAACAGATTTTTTTCATAGTTATCCTTCACAATTCACGTCAAATGATTTATTTGTCATATGTTTATTTTCATTATTTTTCAAAGAAAGGGCTATACAAATTAAGTGGACTGTAGTTAAAGACCGCGCACATACAACATATACATTCAAATTCTATTTGTTTTTGAAGATTGAGTGTTGAAGTTATCACATGTAACCTGATAATGAAAGTTTGAAAATAAAGTTTTTCAATTATCACTTGTTACTTGGTAATTAACCCCCTTCAAAAGTAATTAAACTTCAAAGAAATTTAAGCGATGTGTAAAAAATAATCAACAGTTACTTTTATTTCGCATAATACTGACTCAAACTGTAAAGATTTTTATTGTTTTTTTAGCGTTACATTAAAAAATATCAGAAATATCTTTCTACAGGCACTCAAATAAAAAGAATAATTAAAATATTCGAGTGAAATAATTAAAATATACGAGTGACATTAAAAAGGCCGGAATCAAGACAGCCACACGAGAGTACTTTACTGTTACGATGATTGTCTACTTCACTGCACCGACATTTGAAAACAGATTTACAAAAAAAAAATAATAATAATAATGATATAAATGATGAAGAAAATTTAAATATCCTATGAAAATGGCAATACATGTATTGACAATATCAGCAATATCTTGTATTTAAAAAAATGAATAAATTTACTTCACGTGTTGAGCGAATTGTAAAGCCCGCAATACATTACCCGTAAAACAATTGTGCGTCAATTAATTTGACTACATAACCAAATAAATCTTAAATATTGCATCTTTGATCAACTGTGAATAACTTCCATCGGCTTCTTTTTTTATTAATTTTGAAATTGAATGTATTATGTTACCGTAATAATAAATTTCAAATATCTGCTTTTTATATAAAAAATGTAAATTTACCGCGGATTTCGTCAAGTTAATTTCTTAATCGTCGTTGCGGACAGATAGTCTGTATCTTTAAAAAATAAATTAGATATTTGAATTAAACAAGCATTTTCCTTGAAAATAAACTTTAAATTTCAAAAATCGGATAATAAATGGAAAAGCTATATGGTATTTTGTAAAGTAGGTATCCGTTGCGAACGGGCATTTTCGCTTAGCGCCGATAAATTATCGATCGATGTACCTTTATCGGGTGCACGACAAGATATTTAAGCATTTATATAGGGTTAACTGGGAGTGTCCAATCCTTGTAATATAAATCTGTGTTATTGATCAGATCATATACAATGCAGGTTTGTAACTAAACTTTATTAAAATACAAAGTTATTATACTGAAGAGATCAAACTTACAAATCCATTGGGTAAAAGAAGAAGACAAGATATTTTCCTTTGTAATCTGACAGTTTGATCTCTTTGAATTTTCCATCTACAACTGCTGTTCCATTCCAGTCTGGAGCAGGTTTAGATACTGAAAAAGATTGGTTTATCATGTACATCAAAGCATGTTAAAAATATGACAAGATAAACAAATGACTTGTACATTATAATAAATTAATGCAACAAAAATGTTTGATTTAAATAATACAGCCCAATGAAAATAACAAATACAATAAGTGAGTGTACAATATAAAGGTTTAAAATTTGAATTCATATAGGTATAATACATTTATGGTTGAAAATTGAATTGAGTGATCTATAATTTAAAAAAAGATAAAACATTTTTTTCAGATGTCAGTTTTGCATCTAGAATTTCAAAATCATGAAGGATTGTCTCCCTGATTTTTTAATGTTACTGGCTTTCTGTTTTTTGGTGCTCTGTAGCGGTAGTTGAGTCGACTGGGTCAGATTTTTTATAATTTATTAATACTAGTAATGTGCACGGTATTCAGACTATTTTCTCCCTTACCAGTTCCTCCCCTGACGTTTCCTCCCTGACGGTTCTCTCCCTATTTTGGGGGAGAACTGTCTGCATATTTGCAAATTAGAAGACAGTTCCTCCCCATTTTTATTTTTATAATTACATTATCATTAAAGTATTTAGATGATAAATAAATGGGTAAGTTTATTATCAATTGATATAAATTAGAAAAAAATAGATTTTAAGTGTTTAGATGTTAAATAAATGGGTAGGTTTATTATAAATTGATATAAACTAGAGAGAAAATACTTTAATGAAGTATTCAGATGTTTAATTCAAGTTTCAATTTTGTTAGCAGCAACAATAAATCGGTAAGTTTATTATCAAAAATTAATATAAATTAGAGAAAAAAATATTTTATTGAAGTATTTAGATGTTTAATAAATTTGTAACTTTATTATCAATTGATATAAATTGAATTAGAAAAACATTTTTTTAAACATATAATAATAATTGATCAATGATGATATTAGTTAATTATTCTGATTTTTTAATTAGATGTAATGTATACTTTTTAATGTGTTTAGTCATTGAAAATAATTAATGAATAATTTTCTTGATAAGGATAATCATAACTCACTTTTTTATTAAGATATTATTTTTTTCTTAATAAATAAAAATGAAATTTATAGGCAAAAAATGATTATAAATTTTAATTGCTAAACTTTTGTATAATGAAGAAAAAAGGAGTTCAATACACACATGTATGCGTTAAGTTAAATGTTTGCTGTCAGTGATAATTGAGGTGTTTATTAATTCATTACTCAAGAATCAAGGTGTTGATTAGATTAAAATAGCTGTGAAAAGGTGTTGATGAATAAGTATTATATTAGTTATTCGGTATTATATATTGTTTCAAGTTAATGACTACATGTTTTTAAAATCGATTTTGTAAAAAAGTATATGTGGAATGTGTTTGCATACCAGTTTTGTTTATTTATTTTCTAGAACATACTTGTTTCCACCTTATTCACTATTTAACAAATGAATGAACATCACATTAGCTAGACCTTAACATAATTACAAGTGTATATCAATCACTGTCCAATGATCTATATCTCTCACAATAAAGGTGTTGATTATGACATACATGTGACATCCCGGCGGGATTTAAAAAAATCCCGATATTTCAACACTGATCCCGATTCCCGATATTACAGCTTGAATTCCCGATATTTAAAAAAAAAATGAACATAAAAAAAATCAAACACAGCACCTGTATCTAAAATGTAAACCGTGCCTCCGGGCATTGATTGTTATCTGTCCATATCCTAAATTATAGCGGATTAAATGTTGAGTCGCTAATTGACAGCAAGGTGACGTAATAAACAGTTCCAATACCCAAAGTTATTCTCACATGTTTAACTTATCACGTGTCCTGTGTCAGTCAATTGACCTCTTTTGTAATTTGGCAATAGGTATTACACACTACGTCATCAAAACGACCCTGTTAATTTACATGTATGAATTCGGCTCATCCTTTGATTTTCTTTGATTAGTGCCGCACTGATAAAGATAAAAGGGGAGCAGAATCATTTAAAGTAGATCATTCAAAACCTGTTTGAGATGTCTAATTAACCTATTTTTAGTGAGTGGGTAATTTTTTGTTTTGTTTAGGAATTACGCAATCATCGAGGCAAAAATGTGGATTTAATAACAGAACGATTCTTGCATTTATTTTGAGTCTTTTACTTATGTTACGTTATTTAACTGTCATAGTCTTATGTTTATGAATAGTTGTTGCACGTTTTCAAATAGCTTGTGTTTAATTATTGAATGACTGAAAAGACATTATAATTCTTCAAACTGAAAATAATGAAATGTGAAAGTGTGACTGTTTTAGAAATAGCCAGTATGACTACACTTATTTATTTATCTATTTATTTATTTTTTTGGTGAAATAAATTAATATTGATCAACAAAAAAATCATAAAAAGTATTATCATTTAATGATTTTGAGGGTAATATAGATTCTTTGAACCAAATGTGCCAAACACGCACTGAAATTCGAGTCGATAAAAAAATCCAGTTTTGAGCCTCAAAATCCAGCTGAAAATCCAGATTTGGCCCATTTCATTTGTCACATGTATGTTATGATAGGATTAAAATACTGAAAAAAGGTGTTAAATTTACAAACACTTTTCAGCTGATAAAACATAAAATGCAGTTAATATCAAACACATTCTTTTAATAATCTTCATTAAGAAATATTATTAGATTAAGGCAAAACTAAAATGATAACTTATAAAAATTGGGGGAGAACTGTCTGCATATTTCAAATTTGGGAGAGAACCGTCAGGGGAGGAAATGGTTAGGGAGAGAACCGTCAGGGGGAGGAACTGGTAAGGGAGAGAATAGTCTGTCATTCATGTGCACAGATCAAACCATCAATACCAATACAAGATGGCCTGGCCTGCTGCTACACACGCTATAGTACGTATTTTAGTCATAACTGCAAGTGAAAACAATCATGGCAGAAGTGTTCAAGATATGATGAAGATAAACTGAATTAAGTTGAAAAGATTGTCTAGTGAGCAACTTGGCGTGCACAGTCACTGACTTCATTAAAATGCGTGATGTGCAAAAATATGCACAAATCACGCAGCCTAAATGCAACACAGAGATGTGGCAGTAATATAATCATTTAGATCTTGCTTCATGTGTAATTCAGTTTCCATCACATAGTATATTAATTATATAGGTAAAACTGTTAAATTTGTTGCACAGACGGCTATGCCAAATTTAGCAACTTCCATATTGCTTCCAGCTATGACATATTTATCATCATTCACATGTAAATTGTAATTGCAAAATTGAGAAGTATCATTTAAATGCTTGATTGAAAATAAATCAACTTTTCTGGCATCCTACTGACAATGATGCATTAATTATCATCACTACACTCTAAGCGGGTGGGGTACATACTTATTGCCTGGCTCCACTGTAGAGAATGCCCGAGAGATCTCTGCCCAGATTGCGTAGCACAAGTTTCTTGTGGATATACCTGGCCACCAAATAAAGACTGGCATACTTCCTGACAATCAATATTTGCAGTAAAAACCACAAAAATCTGAAATGCAACGAAGAGTTTCATGCCGTAGACGCCATTTTTCCACGTCAGCTTAAAGAACACACTAAAATCTGTCAAAGCCGTGTAATTATTATCCCGTACTTAAATAGATTCCGGACTTTGCTCTTCTCATTTTATAAAACTGTATGTCAGTTAAACAGGACCTTGCAAACAATGTCTTCCAGTTTTGGGTAAGTACTTAACTCGCAAATTCCATAATGAAAGTAATAAGATAAAAGACAAAAAAATATTTGTTATTAAAAGTAACAGTATAGAAGTGGATTTATTTCTACTTCATTTTTAATGATAGAATAAATCAAGATTATGTAGAACTGATTAAGCGCTGCCTAGTAGTCAAAAACGTAATACATGGAGATGCAGGAATAATTTTTGTTTGCCAATGATTTGCTTAGAAATTTAAAAAAAAATCTAAAAACTAGATATTAAGAACTCTTATAGGCTAGCTTTCGTAATTACAATCTGAAAGCCTTTGTATTTGTCATTCAGGCTGCAATATTTCACATTTACCCAGTGCACAGGAAAGGTTTTCAAATCCTAACAATTGAACGACTTTTAAAAGAGATCTGATGGCCGTTAAACTCAGCAATATGTCTTTAAAAGAGCGGCATTTTAACAGGTACATGGCGTACATTATCCCAGCTGGTCGATCTCAGCCAGAATGTGTACAGGCTTTCTCAATAAGGCGGTGCATTATTGACATTTCTTCAGTCGCCAAACCATACCAACAATATCCAATGTTTTCGAGAAAATTAAATCATTGTTTTACTTGACGGCTCGGTGACGATTAAAGAGCGGGAAAAGTTTTTGTGTACACTGTTTCGGCTCTGTGTCATAACTGGAAGCATGTCCGTTTCTGTAAGGTTCGTTACTGTCGCCATGCACAACAACATACATGTTTTTTGACAATTCTCGATCAAATCAAGCTTACAACATTTTTAAAATTATTGTATTGGACTGTATGCTTACAATAATATGTTTGCCTTATACGGTGGGAGAAGGGGTGTTGTATTTTTGACGATGTATTTCAGCCGTAAGTTGGTGAAAATATGAAGACATGTATATAACAAGAGCCGGTTGAACCGGGTGATGCTCCCCGAATAGGTTTTGGACACAGGAAGGTATACCTCTTGTAGTGTCAGAGTTATGTCACAGACAAAGTTCAAATTGTAAAAATAACCCAAATATTGTGCACGACACATTGTCTCAATATGGTGATCATTTTTGTGAAATAGTTGTAAAATCCAACTTCAAATAACGAAGTTATGGGCCAGACACGATTTTGCTGCAAGGTCCTGCTGTGACCTTGACCTTCAAGGTGGCAACCCAAATGTTGCGCTTGACACATTGTCTCATTATGGTGATCATTTCTGTGAAATAGTTGTAAAATCCGACTTCAAATAATGAAGTTATGTGCCGGACACGATTTTGCTGCAAGGTCATGCTGTGACCTTGAAGGTAGCAACCCAAATGTTGCGCACGACACGTCATCTCAATATGGTGATCATTTCTGTGAAATAGTTTTAAAATCTGACTTCAAATAACAAAGTTATGGGCCGGACACGAATTTGCTGCAAGGTCATGCTGTGACCTTTACCTTCAAGGTAGCGACCCAAATGTTGTGCATGACACGTCATCTCAATATGATGATCATTTCTGTGAAATATTTTTAAAATCGGACTTCAAATAACGAAGTTATGGGCCGGACACAATTTTGTTGCAAGGTCATGCTGTGACCTTGACTTTCAAGGAAGTGACCAAAATGTTGCGCGCGACACGTCGTCTCAATATGGTGATAATTTCTGTGAAATATTTTTAAAATCCGACTTCAAATAACAAAGTTATGGGCCCAACACGATTTTGCTGCAAGGTCATGCTGTGACCTTGACCTTCAAGGTAGCGACCCAAATGTTGCGCGCAACATGTCGTCTTAATATGGTGATAATTTCTGTGAAATATTTTTAAAATCCGACTTCAAATAACAAAGTTATGGGCCGGACACGAATTCGGGACGTACGGACGGACGGACTGACGGACGGACGGACTGACGGACGACTATATGCTCCCCCGAAATTTTTCGGGGAGCATAACAAAAGCTAAACTGGTCCTTCCTCAAAACAGACTAACCTAGTCATTCCGTAGACTATTATATAGGATCTCCATGTCGCTTTTCCCTGCTATTTTACTTTTTTGTGAATGCAGACGGATTTATGTTTTGTGGTATTGTACGGAGTTAAATCATCATCACTTTAAGCTTCAAAATAACTCCTTTAAAGTGTTTCTAACACGGGCAATAAGACCTGATTACAAGACTATTCAAGGTAAATTCTGGGAGTCACACATTATTTTTCCTTTAGTTTTTAATTCAATTTTGCATATATGTATATTATTTAACCAAATTTAGAATCGGCAAAAAATAAAGTAAAAAAGGGGCACAATTTTGCTAAAAAAAGAGATAATCTGGCCCTTTGATATGGCGTTACATTTTGATAATCAAAAAATATATTTACAAGTAAACTTTTTTTTCTTTGAATCTAGAACTTATAAATAGAAAGTCTCACTACGCGTATCTAAAATTTAATTTATTTTCATATAAATTTTAATCTAATATACAGCGGTATGTGCTATAGTGAATCAAATATTTGTAAGCATAAATACCAAATTTATAAAGAAAAACGAAACTTGTAGTTCACTGTTGTTTTTCTTTTTATTTGCTAAAGGCATATAAATACACAAATGTTGTACATCAATATGTTCTACTTGTTTAACTTTATAAATGTAACACATTTAAGAATTTCAAACCGCGTAGTTAATATATGTATTTACAATTCTTACAAATACATTGCGACTTCTTGACGATTTCTTGACAAGACCAAGAAAGAAAAAAAGAAAGAAAGAAGGAAAGAAAGAAATTTAAAACGACAATAAAGAACATTTTAATAAGGATAAAAATTTGTTGTCCTATTACAGTTTCAAAAACGTTATTTATCCCCCATACAGCCGAACTTAATATTGCATCTTTTGTGTGTGTGTGTGTGTGTGTGTGTGCGTGTGTGCGTGTGTGTGTTTTAGCAATTTGATGATTAAGTTATGTGTATTAAACAAAACACCATTTTTTACACCGCATTTTGATATAACTATTAAACATAATTTCACATTCAACTCCATTTTCTTAGCATTTAATATCAATCAGCATATAGAACGCAGGTGTGCCCTTTCTACGGAAATATGTTAATTTCTGAGGCTTAATGTGACGTTAACAATAAATATATTCAAATAAAAACATATAATTACACATATACAACTGTATATGTTCATGTAATTAAGTCAGAATAAAACATGCACTTCCTCTAAGAATCCCAGAGTTTCCAGATCCAGCGCTGATTCGGGTCACTTCTACACTTGTCAAGAACTAGTTGAGGTTTGTGTTCTCCTTGTTTTACACATAGGCATGTGTTCGTGTAATTATGCTTTAACTGCTTGTCCTGTCATGAAACCAAAATAAAATGTGTTTTATTCTTTTTAATGAAATTCATGCACAGATCTAATAATGAACTACGATATGAAAATCTCTATAATCATATTGATATAGTTGGGTGAACTTATTGGAAGTAACAGTGTAAAGACAAGGCGGCTCATGGTCTAGTGACGTTTGTACTAGGCAAAATTAAAAAAAAAGTTTAACGGTTCGCAACGAATGAGACACGACACATACGTGATTTGCAATCATTTATAAAATACAAACATTTTCTCAAAAAAAACACATATCTTAATTTATGTAATATCTAAATAGTACTCTATCACAACACCATTTAAAGACTTGGTATGAGAAGGACTTAATTAAAAAAATATTAAATATTTACCACAGTGTAAATCCACTCCGATCTCTCCGGGGTGAGAGCATAACATTCATCTCTAACTAGGACAAGTGACGGCTGGTTTATCATAGACGCCGGAAATAGACACCAGCCGTCATGTCGTATGTGATACTCTTCCGTATGTTCATAAAACTGAAATTTCAAATGTGATATTGGACTCAACAAATAATGTAGAATACTATATTATTACTGAAAAAGTAATCTAGAATACTATGTATTATTTTTATCATTTAAATTGATGTCATTTCGACCTATCGCATTAACAGAGACCCATTATATGTATTTGGTTTGTGTAATATTTCTAAAGCATTAAAGAGCTGACGAGTAAAACAATTCAGTGGTATCTATTCAGACTATATAAAAGCAAAAATGATTCGAGAGGATGTCCGTGATCGAGTGGTTGAGGTCGTTGACTCAAACCACTTGCCCCTTATCATTGAAGGTTCGAATCCCGCCAAGGACTTTGGATTCTGCACAGGAGGAAGCTGTTCAGCTAAATTACGGTACGTCGATGCTTCTTCTTAGGTGCCCGCTCGTGCCTGAAATAATGCACGGAGGACACCCGAGGTTTTCCTCCACCAATAAAGTTGAAAAGAGTCGCTATAATTATGACTTCATCTGTGTTAGTGCGACTTAAAAAAACAACCAACCAAAACATTTAATGAATCCAAAGTGCAACAACACTGAAAACGCACCTGAAAAACTGCTTGGAACTTACTGCACTTTTCCAACATTGTATCCTTTTCAATGCATAGATCAGTGCCTTCATTTTGAATCTAAAATAAAACAAGAAAAAACTTTTATTAGTTAACCAAACTAAATATACAAATTTGCATTAAAAGCATATGTAATATGTGGTCCTTGCTGGATTTCAGATAAAACGGTTTATTCTAGAATTGAAAAAAAAAGTTATATGTTTAATATTTCCTTGCAGTAAAATATACATGTATAAAACATAATTAAATATAAGATAGATAAATGTAAGATCAAACGTCTTACCCATCCGTAATTTCTTAAATTTTCAGGAAAGTGTATCATCCCAAATTCTTTCACCTTGTCAATGTAATACTGAAATGGTTTGCATCGATTTTGTCGTCTGATGACCTTTCTTTCTCGAAGTCCAGGACCTAGGTCATACTGCATGTAGATAAATAAATAAATAAATAAATAAATAAATAAATAAATAAATAAATAAATAAATAAATAAAAACAGGCAAATATTGATATGCTGATTTACTGTTATATTCTTTTCTAAAATAACACATATTCTGACCAGCGTGAAGACTCGATTTGACTCAGTTTGTTCATGAGAGAATATGAAAAGTAAAATTAGATTTTTTTGAAGATTAACACTTAATCTTTTATATTAATGATTCAACTAGATAATTATCTTATCTAAGATAGGGATCAATAATCCGTCAGAATTAATTTAACTCACGTTCCGTTTAACCGTAGGCCAGTATTTATCCAACATTTCTTTGTAACCATCCATCCAAACTTCTGCGAATCTGAATGCATTTATAATTTTGGATATTCCCATATCTTTCCATACAAGCCGTGTCTTAAACAAGTGAGCAACGTAAGAACATGGTATTATTTCCACGATACCGCCACATGTCCAAACCTTATGTACAATTTAAATACAAAAAACATGCATTATTATTAGACCATGTAGACGTTATTATCAATGTCCATTTTACCTTTTTTAACTAAAAAAGTTATGGATAATATGAATTCGATATTCTATTTTTATATTTCAACGTCTATAATATACACATTATTTGGAGTGTAACTCACTTGGAGCTCCACACCCACATGTGTCTGTGCAAAACTTCACACAGCTGGCATACGTACAATGTGGACAGATCCGGAATTCACAGATTTACATTTTAAATTACACAATCAAAATATCATAGGGGAGAACAGGGGTGGGGCGTTAACTGTGATAATTTGCCCGCTATGTTAGGGCGTTGGTCCAAGTAACTGGAATAAATCGTTAGCAATAAGCAAATACATGAATTTAGTCCAACTATAGAATCTGTTCATAATATGTTCTGTAAAGGTTTATTAAATGTTCGAAAAAATACAAATACAAGCATGGTGTTAGGTGAATGTGGTAGACTCCCACTTTGTATTACTTATTATACAAATTGCATCCGTTATTGGTGTAAGCTATTAGTTATGCCACCATGCCGTTACCCAAAACAATGTTATTTAATGTTAAAATCACTAGATGAAGCTGGAAGAACTTGTTGGGCTAGCAAAATACGAATACTTCTGTACAGTTACGGATTTGGTTACATTTGGATTTCTCAAGAAATAGGAGATGTGAATATTTTTGTTAGCATTTTTAAACAACGCATAATAGATTGTTTTATTACCCCTCACTTTTTTCGTAATGTTAATTTCCCATAGGCCTCTGGGAGTTATTCTTACTGTTAATGCAAGTGTACCACGTGACTACGAATTTTGTACTGTTACATAGATAACAGTATTTTTTAACAGTATAAAATCTGGTCACGTGGTCTTTTTTCTAAATAAATTGAAATAAAATGGCCGCCATTTTTTTCTCGATTCATTCTTTTTTTCGACGATAGGGCATCGCCGAAGTAACTATTACTCTGATAAAATTTAGTTCTTTGCACCCTAGAGTCCCTTTCGCGTATTAAATATCTTTTTGTTGAATAGTCAACAGGAAACATCCGTTTTCAACGGAAGTAATTGTAATGTAAATAATTTTGTGTCAAACTGGAACATGCAGACAATTAAAGCATGCAACAAAGGATAATTTAACAATTTTAACCAGTGAAACGTTACAGATAGAGTTTTTGGACAGACAACTGTAGGATATCATCGTTATTTTCTAAATGCACTTTTGTCAAAAACCATGCGAAGAATATTCTGGATGCAGAAGGATCAGATTTCACAGATCATAACCTTATAAATGGGTTAGTGTTTTGTTTTCTGAATAAAACACAGCTTATTTTATGTTTATGACTGGTAGATATCATCACTTGCCTAAAGAATAAAAGAAAAACAGCTTCTCAAGTAGGCCTACAGTGCACTTAAACTTGCAAGGTAAGGACAGTTTAGTTATTCCTTCTCTTGGCTTATTTTTGTTACAGTTAGATTTAGTTGACAAATGCAGATCATCACAGTATTTGTTCGGGGTAATAAAATAAATAACACATGGGTTTGTGGGTAACAGAAAAAATATCATCCCTCGTATAAATACGCCTCGGGTAACAGTATTTTCCTCGGGATGATATTTTTACTGTTACCCACAAACCCGTGTGTTATTTATATAATACTCAAAATTGGCATGATAATATTAACAATGCCAGTAGATGTCACCATTATTGTTATTTTAAAAGCTTATTAAATGTAGAACGGTATCTTCTAATAGAAATCCCTGTAAAACATAAGAAAGCATATGCTAAATTTCGATGTTCAAATCACAAACTTAATGTTGAAATTGGTAGGCATTTAAATATACCTTTTCAAGAACGCTTTTGCAACTTTTGTCTTGAAAATCATTTAACTTATCATATTGACTGTGAATATCATGCTTTTTTTCATTGTAAAAATATTTAGAAGTTAGAAAATACCTATTTACTAAACTGGTATAATTCCGGAAATGAACTACATAACTTTTATGAATTACTTTCATCAAATGATATTTTTATAATTAAGAAAATATCTACTTATATTTACCACCTCATGATATCTATAGCACAGTAGCATTTAAATGTAATGATTGTCAAAACTTGTAAAAGACACAACCTTATAATGTTAAATACCATATTTTGTATGACATGTATTTTGGGCCGGTGGCCTTTATTTACTGAATAAATCTTTTGACTTGACTTGACTACATTAATAACCAAAGCATAAAAGGATAAGTAAAGCTGTATCAATTTTAATTGAGTATGACTCGGGTGTTTTTATTTTAAAAAAAAACAACAAAAAAAACAAACAAAAACAACATAGAACACACCCTTAAACTCTGGTTTGTATTATCAATTTGAGAAATTCAACGAAAGCGCTTTCAAAGGTCATTTCATTTTATATTTGAATAGTTCGATTTAGAAGGGATGAAATCATTTCATTTAAACGTACCTTAACTGAGAGTTCAATTTGCTCACCACCCCAAACTTTCATACCAGTGTCAAATCCACCTAGTTGTTCAAACCAAGACTTCTTCATTGCGATCACCATACCTTGGTTTATACCAGTCCTGTAGCATAACATCATAACCCTGATTCTTATAAACATTTGATTTATTTAAATTATTCAACACAAATAATCAAGCCCATTATGACCCAGAAATGCTATTACATGTATTGCTATTTCTAAAAAAACTTTTTTTTTATGTCCTGTTATAGTTTTCTTAAAATTACTCATTGGCTAATTACCTGATAGATAGATAGATAGATCTTTAGATAGATAGAGCCATCTTTTCCTTTTTTGCAATTACATGCAGTTATTTTTGAGTGATTAAGTACTTTGGCTGGAAGTCTGGAAGTCAAAATACTACATGTACTTCGTTTACATTTTGCTATGGCAAAAATTTCATATTATGGGCTATTTTCTTCAGAGGAAAAAATCTAGCATTCTCTAAAACCCAAACATTATAAAATCCATGTGCCCTTTCTAGAGAATGACGCTTTTATTCATTTCTGAGGCTAACGGCCTTTTATGTTTAATACAAAAATATACTTAATATATAACTTACGGTAAGGGTTCCGATCTATTTCTTTCAGATAGAAACTCCGTCTTATAAAAGCTATGTGCTTCTTCTAGATTAAATGCAAACATTGGGAACTTGGTAAACTTCAATCTGTCTGAAAAATCCACACCTAATGTGTCCCTTTTGATAAGGCCAACGTTTGGCGATAAGCAAGCCTTTGGATTCTGTTTAAGGCGATGTAGCAGAGGTTCAAGCCAACCTTGAAAAGTCAGAAATGTTTTTTTTTATTTTGTTTCAAAAATAGCTGATTTTTTTATTAGTGCAAATTTTTAGACACCAAGTCCAGATTATTAATAGCAGCCTAGAAAAACTTGATATATATAATAAGTTAAATTCGACATATCATTTGATTGTTTAATAGAGTCCCCTATATCTCTATATCTTCCGACCCTAATGGCTTGCATTAACTATGGCGTCAAACAAGGTTGGTGCTAGCCATGCCTAACGTAATTATGAAGTTTAATGATTTTTTAATGTAAAGTGCTACTATGTAAACTTGCAAATGATAACTTTGCCCACCTTTGACAACCTCTATATGACAGTCCATCGTTATTAAGTACTCTGCCTTACACTGGTTTATCCCTGTTTGTCGAGCCACCATTAAACCTGCGGAAGGTTTCAATCTTATCAGGTGTACCTTTGAGATAGTTTCAATATGCACATCCAGTTTTGCTTTTAGTTCCTCTGAAACGAATCATACAAAAGTGTATATTTTAATAGGTATATATATATATAGATATATATAGATATATATTTCACAATAATTATCTGAGATATATATATTATATCTCAGATAATTATTGTGTAAAAATCTTTAGGTAGTTATGTTAACAACATTACATCCATGTAAATGCTGAACTTCCAGTTTTATTGAGCTCAATCGTTAAAAGTCGCCACGTACTTCAATTCAGTCCTGAAGATTTAAAAACCGCTTTAGTCGGTGCTAGGGGCGTGAGAGATGTTGCACTTTAACATGATCTCTGAACAAACTGAGACTGCAAAAAAAATATTTATATAATGTTCAGGAAATAGATATCAATCCCGAGTGCATTGTTGTAGAATAATGCACGGTTTGAGTTCAAATGCGTAGTAATTTAATCACGAAGGCCGAATGCTGTATTTATTGCTTCCGAGGGATCACACTTTACAACATTAAGTCTTTTAATTTTTTATTTGAAATTTAAAATAGAAAACGTTCCATTGCTGTATCTACCACTGACTTTTGTGTGATAAATAATACTTTTATAGTCATATGAAAAGCCGTGGATTTTGTTTGTCTAGCTGCTTCTACTTCTTCTTTTACTACTGCTGCTACTGCTGCTGCTGCTACTACTACTGCTAGATAAAATAACAATATTTTCTCCTTTTTTCCCCCTTCTTTTTTAAAAAATTGTGAGTTTGTAACATACTGACATATTTTTTACACACCTGTTTCAGAACCATCGTCAATAATGATAATTTCAGCTAGTAGTTTGCTCGGTGTATTCTGTAGAATACTATGTATAGTTCTCAGTAACACACTCAGTCGTTCATCTCGGAATGGTATGATAATACTCACTGCAGGCAAGTCCTCGTACTTCATACGTTTACATCTAGTAAATAGAGAGATTGTGATAAATAATGAAATACATACTTTGATGAGAAAAAAACCCACATTTTTTCTGACCTACTTGAAATTTTTTGATAAAATTCAAATTACTTTTTGACCAATAGAATTTCAATATTGTAACTTTACTGGCCAATTTATGTTGGTAATGCTTCCTCATGAACACTATCTTATACTTGCACACAAAATTTTTTTTTTGTAGGAAAAGAAAAATAATTATTTGTATGATTGTTATAATTTTAAAAGCATCCATGTTATGTCAAAAATATTTCAAAATGCATTATGATTACAAATATCAATTAAGAAGTGTGGCATCAATGTACGCATCCCCGAACATAATCCAGGAACACAGGACCACCCACGAGAAACCCAGCAGGGCACCAAACAAATACAAGAGAGTGCATAAGTGCGAAGCTTGACCGAGTGTTGTTAAATAATACCTCGAAAAGGTAACGTTTTTATTTAGTTGTAAATCTATTTGTTAGATATGGTATTATCGTGATTTCGGTTCTCAAATACTAACTCCAGATGACTAAATATACAAGGTCCGTTAGCAATATCAATTTCAGTGACTTAAAGCTACATGTAAAACTATATAATTAAAGAATAAATCAGTTATGCACAAGTCAATAGTAGTAAATAGCGACTTAAAATAAGTACGCCACATTTCTGCTAAAGCCACATTTTTGCAAACGTTATAATATTGATCAGAGCAGCTGCAAGAGTGCATTTTATATACACGCACTCGTGTATATACCTTATCTGTATTAATTAACTACGTATGCGATAATAGAAGTTTAAATGTGAATGAAATTTGTAGGTGATATTATAGATTTACAACAGATATAACAAGTTGATTAAAACCAGTAGTGAATTCAAAGGTCGAAATATTGAATATATTGTGTCGGCTTGTGCCGAGAGACATTTCTAATTGCGAAGTGCAGGAGTCTACATTGAGAATGAACGAAAATATTTTAGATTAATTAGATATACCTAATATATTGACCATACCTCATATAGAATATACGCAAAAGTAATATATGATTATCATCGCATAGATTATTTTTACCGTTAACAGTATGAACATAATGAACAAAATAAACACCTGGCGTTCCAACATTACAAATTTAAATCACCGATCTCAATAACCGGAGCTTATCAGAACTGTATTTACCGCTTGTATGGAGGAGCGATCTGACAAAAGACAAAAAGAAGCTGAGCAAACCATACAAACTAATACATTAATTCAAACTGTTTGACAATTTTCTCTAGGTGACACATGCAATAGTGTTGTGCTGTAAGTTATATAAGACAATAAGAGTTGATTTTTCAATATGTGGTCTTCGTTTGTTATATTAAGTGATGCAATATCATTTTCGTAGCTAAAGTACAACAAAACTAATAACGGTTTTTTTTTGTTTCATTTTATTTATTCCATTAACATGTTTTATAAATGTAGAACCAATGTCACTATTGGTATTGAAATGACATTTTTGTAATACAAAAACAAAACATTTTGGCGTCAGTTCACTTTAGTAATTGCATGTTTATTTATAATTTATCATCGGTTGATATTTTTTCAATAGTTTATCGAACAGATATTTCCTTTTACTAACGGCTGCCTTCCATGCTTCTTCTGATTCAAAGTCATCTTCGTCTCGAAGCCTTCTCATAGTTTGTTTGACAGCTCTGTGAAAGCGATCCTTTTTTACCGATTCAAACCACATAATCCTGAACAGATACTTTTTCATCACTGCCCTTCTGATCACCGGAAGTAGCTTGTGGTAAGCTTTTTTGCTGGCATCCTTTTCGCTTATGTCATTATCATCTTCCATTATCTCGGAAGCTAACGAGTTCACTTCTTCCTGATGTTCATCATAACCGTATTTGACGATATCCCACCAAGGGTCAATTGTTTCTTCAGCTAGTTCTTCATCCGATTTACTTTCCAAATCCGATTCCTCTGTATCGTTGCTGTCACTGATTTCTGATTCCTCATTCTCTTTCGAACGGGTGTCCTCTTCGTGAACGGATTTCTTATGTCTGAGCAAATTGTACTTCTTTGCAAAGTTTTTGTCACAATCGCTGCAGGCAAACATAATTTTAAGTTGAATGCACTCACTTATAAAACCTCTGTGTAGTTCGAGTTACGAACGATAAATGACTGAAACGTTAATTCAACGCTAGAGGTAAATATACTATTGTCGAGCAGCCGGCTAAATGACAGTCTGGGAATGAAGGAGCAATCTACGAGCAGGTGTGAGCAGGCTAGATGGCCTTTTTTAATAAATGAGCAATATACGAGCAGATATGAGCAGGCAAGAGGACAGTTCGGGAAAGGAAGAGCAATCTACGAGCAGGAATGAGCGGGCTAGAGGACAGTCCTCTATGGGACTTTAATAGACTCAAATATCGTTTTAACTGTCTCATTATGAGCTCAAGTCTGATCCTGCTCGACAATAGTATATTTACCTCTAGCGTTGAATTAACGTTTCAGTCATTTATCGTTCGCAACTCGAACTACACAGAGGTTTTATAAGTGAGTGCATTCAACTTAAAATTATGTTTGCCTGCAGCGATTGTGACAAAAACTTTGCAAAGAAGTACAATTTGTTTAGACATAAGAAATCCGTTCACGAAGAGGACACCCGTTCGAAAGAGAATGAGGAATCAGAAATCAGTGACAGCAACGATACAGAGGAATCGGATTTGGAAAGTAAATCGGATGAAGAACTAGCTGAAGAAACAATTGACCCTTGGTGGGATATCGTCAAATACGGTTATGATGAACATCAGGAAGAAGTGAACTCGTTAGCTTCCGAGATAATGGAAGATGATAATGACATAAGCGAAAAGGATGCCAGCAAAAAAGCTTACCACAAGCTACTTCCGGTGATCAGAAGGGCAGTGATGAAAAAGTATCTGTTCAGGATTATGTGGTTTGAATCGGTAAAAAAGGATCGCTTTCACAGAGCTGTCAAACAAACTATGAGAAGGCTTCGAGACGAAGATGACTTTGAATCAGAAGAAGCATGGAAGGCAGCCGTTAGTAAAAGGAAATATCTGTTCGATAAACTATTGAAAAAATATCAACCGATGATAAATTATAAATAAACATGCAATTACTAAAGTGAACTGACGCCAAAATGTTTTGTTTTTGTATTACAAAAATGTCATTTCAATACCAATAGTGACATTGGTTCTACATTTATAAAACATGTTAATGGAATAAATAAAATGAAACAACAAAAAAAAACCGTTATTACTTTTGTTGTACTTTAGCTACGCAAATGATATTGCATCACTTAATATAACAAACGAAGACCACATATTGAAAAATCAACTCTTATTGTCTTATATAACTTACAGCACAACACTATTGCATGTGTCACCTAGAGAAAATTGTCAAACAGTTTGAATTAATGTATTAGTTTGTATGGTTTGCTCAGCTTCTTTTTGTCTTTTGTCAGATCGCTCCTCCATACAAGCGGTAAATACAGTTCTGATAAGCTCCGGTTATTGAGATCGGTGATTTAAATTTGTAATGTTGGAACGCCAGGTACGTGTTTATTTTGTTCATTATGTTCATACTGTTAACGGTAAAAATAATCTATGCGATGATAATCATATATTACTTTTGCGTATATTCTATATGAGGTATGGTCAATATATTAGGTATATCTAATTAATCTAAAATATTTTCGTTCATTCTCAATGTAGACTCCTGCACTTCGCAATTAGAAATGTCTCTCGGCACAAGCTGACACAATATATTCAATATTTCGACCTTTGAATTCACTACTGGTTTTAATCAACTTGTTATATCTGTTGTAAATCTATAATATCACCTACAAATTTCATTCACATTAAAACTTCTATTATCGCATACGTAGTTAATTAATACAGATAAGGTATATACACGAGTGCGTGTATATAAAATGCACTCTTGCAGCTGCTCTGATCAATATTATAACGTTTGCAAAAATGTGGCTTTAGCAGAAATGTGGCGTACTTATTTTAAGTCGCTATTTACTACTGCCAATTGTTATACCGGCCCCAATTCCTGAATAGTGGAGACTTATCAAAGTTGGACAAGAGAGAAAATCACGTTTTTTTCTTTACCAAGTACGGGAGAAGAGGTTAAAACATCTAATTTTTTCTACACCCCGGAAAAACGGCATGGGTTACAATTGACTGATGCATTTGTTCATTTTGTTTTAATACTATTCGGAATACTTGCACATCAGGTCTGGTATCTGGAAGAACGCGGTATATAGATACCAAATCACTAACAAAAGCATCATAGTCATGTTGAGCTAGAAGTTTTTGCCTCTTTCCTTGTTCACTGTCGCTGAGTGATACCCTACTTAGATCAACATCTCGGCCGAGCGACCCTGTAATAGTTGGTTAAACGCATTTATAGTTTTTTCTAGTTCCATTTATTCTAAACTCTTATCTCGTTTTGTTAAAATTCGTTTAGTATTAGATAACTTGTAATAATACTAACGGGACAAAGGTGTACGTTCTTTTATACATAATACGTTATATGAATGGCTAATTTCATAAGCTTAATTTGCATATTAAAGCAGCTGGTGTAACAACACGTGTTCTGTCTTCTACTATAAGACGACAAATTGTGCACCAGTATATGTCTCTCCTAGCTGTTACTATTTCGAGTGTTTGTAGACATACAAAAAGCAGACTATTTATATAAATTGATTTGTATATCACAATGACTCCATGTTGTTTTTGCAGGTGTAGATAGCTACTATTCAACAAATCAAAGGTCACTTTTTGAAAGATACTTATCAAAGAGATGTTCTAAAACTGTTCGAACTAAAAATAATCCTATGGAATTAAAACTGACATGTATTTCAGGGTACATCACAAAGTCGATTATAGTTAAATTGTGGTATTGGCATTTTATGTCCGTGGCAAAAAAAAAAATATTTCCATGAAAACTCATTAAAACTCAGTATTTGTATAACACACTAACCAAAACAGTTTTAAAGACATAGAAGGAAAAATTGTTACTTTATTAATTAATAACAGTGCTTTTAACTGTTGTGAAACATAAGTTATTTCAGACTTGTATACTGCATCTCACTATAGGTAAGAAAATCCAATTTAACTTTTTTATAGGCAGTAAGTACTTTAACTGTAATTTATATTAATTATAAGAAAATCTTACCTGGTCCGATATCTTCATCAGAAGTTTCTTCTGTGTGATCTTCCTTTTTAAGATTTTGAACGGTTTGATTTAAAGTATGTTCATACTTTTGAATTATCCGGTCTATTTCTCTTTGACACTTTTCATTACTTTTATCCTCCGTCACTCCAATTTCGGGAAAGAACATAAGAATGGATACGAGAGTCAAAATATATGCTATAAAAACCAACTTTACAATTAGCCATTTCATTTCTAAGACAGAACGATAGAAGAAAGATAACCATTGTTTACTACATGTGATAGTTGATAGAGAAAGTAAAACACATAAACGTATGTAAGAAGATTAGTATCAGCTGCCTGTGTAACAGTTGGTGAAATAAGGAAAGAGAAAAATTACACGTTTACATCAAATTATCAGAAATATGTTCAATGTCTCTTATTAGGGCTAAGTGTGGAATTCAAAATTGGCAAAGATGAAAACATAACTTATATATTCCAATAGCATCCAAAATAGGAGAACGAATAAAAAAATCTTGGTTTTAAAAAATACGAAATGTCTCTTAGCTTGTCATGATACATTGAAATAATGTCCGTGTATCGATAATAGTTTTAATGTTTCTTTATCGCCTAAAAACTGGTAAAACTTCAAAACTCTTTACTTTAATGATAAAATTTTTCAATGTTTGATATACATAGAATATGTAGCTTGATTAAATACGATTGTTACATAAAATATAGGTATATATAAATGTCATATTTCAGCAGATTCTGATCAATATTCTAACAACATTGGAACCTTAAGATAATTCTTCAACATTCTACTAGTGCAAAACAATAATAAATAAATAAATAAAAATAATAATGATAAACGCAGAGTGCATTAACTGTTAATCGTTTGGTCTGATCTGCCTCTAACTTAATTAAAATAGGTATTCTTATATCTTCATTTGTGCAATTTTCGTTGTTATAGTAGCAGTATCTGTACAGTGCCATCTTTGTCCGAATATGAAACTTAACAACGTTGAACCCTAGCGAGGGCGAAGACATGTTTGCGGGTCAAAAATTCGAAAAAGTTAAAAAGAGAATTTTCTATAGTCTGAAGTTGCTGTAAATAACACATAATAGTATGCAGATAACTATGTTTGGAGACGGGGAATCAAGTATTTATCGATGGGAAAAATAACCAAACCATGGTAAATCTTGAGGGAAAGAGATTACGGGGGACCCCATATGTATCTAAAATGAGCATCGGTAAAAAGTATTTGTGAATTTCCGCTGCTCCAGATGTGAAGCATAACACCAGATGTGACTGTGAAATAAGGTCAATCGCAGAGTAAGTTTTCAACTTTTTAAACAGTTATATGAAATTCAATCCTTTGCTACTAAAATTGATGATGTTCAGGATTTACTTGCTGTATGTTAGGGTCTTTGTCTTCCCGAATACTACTTGTAAATCCGCACATGTACCTATAGGAATACTAGACAATTTCCACTCATGTAAAAAAACAAGGATCGAGAAGCGTGGGTCTGAATAACCCAAACATCTCTAGAAACAAATCAAGTCATCAAATCAAAATTTATTTATTGTCTGTATACAAGTAAAACATTTCACAAAACATAAGCTATGTAAAGCTTTCGACCGACATACATACATGTAAAAAAATATAAGGCCAGTGTTACCTATAAATAAATAATATTAAAATGGACATTGAAAAAAATCTGTCATCTGTTTCGAAGATTTCTAATCTCCAACAAGGGACTTATTTTCATTTAGATTTATCATCATCCATATGATAGATCTTTAAATTGGGATTGTAGATCTGGCATAACTAGTAACGTAATGACATTGTTAAAATAATGGCAAAGAAAAGTGCGTGTCGGTTAATGGTTTAGTAAAGTCATCATGCGCGATTCGTAAAGTTTTATACTAAGCCGTTATAAGACACCTGCCAAATATTCGAATTAATCAATTTAAACAAAATACACTTTTAGAGCTTATTTTTTACTTTACTTTCAAATTTTATATTTATATATTTATTCTAAAATAAATATAATTAATTACTTATTTGACAACATTGTTTATTCCGTTTTACATAAAATATTGGAATTCGAAACTAAATAAACAAAGCAGGTGGTAGCATTGCCAAGTGACGGATCCAAACAATTCTGTAAAAATTGAGGTCGATTGAAATATGGCTTCTTGACATTGGATTTTGAACTGGTAACGGAATTTATTGTTGTCATTTTCACGAATTGTACAGTATGGATATATTTCTTTGAAAAATTATTTTCACTTTCTTGAATGTTTGAAAAATGCACGGTGTGTTGCGTGTCTAATCCTATTCCCCTCCATTTTGTGAATATTGCTGTGAGTGTGAAACGTAACATATGATGAATGAATGTAACACATTTAATTAACATGAAGTAGATCTGTGTAATAAATTGTTATCTGAAGTTTTGCGTTGACTTTGCTAGTGTGAAGCAACTTGAAATTAATCTTAACATTCTTATTTGTCAAATTTCCCTCTCTTTTTAAATGCTGAAGAGTGATTTATTTATACTGTTGTGTTCCCAGTGGGTGCTGTGAGCATCCCCTTGAAAATAACGGTAATCAGAACCTATGGATCTTTGCATAGGGACATTTATTGTTCTGGCAGATTGTCTTAAGTATTGTTAGACCAATGCTTGGCGTAAAATCCTAATAAATGTTATGAAAAAACAATAATTTAATGAAAGTAAATGCTTCTGATCATAAGAAATCAGTGCATTTATTCCTACAAATGGATTCAAAAAAATTAGCATGATGTTTTAAGTTTTAACCAAAAACAAAAAAATACAAAAAATTTATGAACATTTCTTTAAAAATAGTTCAATAATTTGATAATCTTTACCAGTAACCTGTGCCTGTATTTTGCAGCCAAAATGTGGCTATTTTATCCACTAGACTAAGAGTTACTCCCCTTCTGTCTGCTGAGGTTGGGCAACATACTATGCTGGAATTTTAAAAAAGATAATATGATAGTGAAAATAGTTTTACAGTGTCATGCTTTTATTTAGTAAGATATTCTTTACATCATAATACAACATGTATTTGCTTAAAGCATTAGTCTATGCCGAGAGTGATCCAACCACTCAAGATGTTACTTGTCTTTGATCATTTACTTAAACTGATACTTGTACTGTGATTTATTTTAAGTAAAGATTTCAATTACAACTTGGTATGCACACTGGGTTTTTAAAGGAGTACATATAATTGTATCCAATTTTTATGGTACACAAGAACAGTTTCCCTGAAATTAATTAGTACTACAAAAGAATTGATTTTGAAAACCACATTGTGATGCAGCACACAAAAATTAGCATAGAGAAACCCAATACTATTTTAGCAAAAATTCAGAGTATCTATAAGTTAGTGGTACCTTAGTATTTAAATTGTACATAGTTTTCAAGAATAGTGTGTATTCCAGATTTCTTTTTGTCATTTTTAGGGTAGTTAATTTTAATGGGCATTTTTATTATTATGCCCCCGCCATTAGATGGCGGGGGCATATAGTGTTACCCTATTCCGTCCTTCCGTCATTCCGTCATCATCAGTTTTCGTTCATTATCTTAGTAACTGTTGCACACATTCAAATCAAATTTGACATATGGATATGTCATGAGAAAATACAGGTCAAGTTCGAATTTGGTCATAGTTCGATGATTTTTGGCAGAGTTATGCCCCTTTTACTTTGAAAATAATATGAAATTTTCAGTTTCCATTCATTATCTCCCCAACTGTACAACACATTCAATTCAAATTTGACATATGGATATGTCATGATAAAATACAGGTCAAGTTCGAATTAGGTCATGGTTCGATGATTTTTGGCACAGTTATGCCCCTTTCACTTTGAAAATAATATGAAATTTTCAGTTTCCGTTCATTATCTCCCCAACGGTACAACACATTCAACTCAAACTTCACATATGGATATGTCAAAGGAATGCGCAGGTCAAGTTCAAATTTGGTCATGGTTCAATGATTTTTGGCAGAGTTATGCACCTTTCACTTTGAAAATAATATGAAATTTTCAGTTTCTGTTTATTATCTCCCCACCGGTACAACACATTCAACTCAAATTTGACATATGGATATGGTTTTGGAATGCCCAGGCCAAGTTCTAATTTGGTCATGGTTCAATGATTTTTGGCAGAGTAAAGCCCCTCAACTCAAATTTGACATATGGATATGTCAAAGGAATACCCAGGTCAAGTTGGAATTTGGTCATGGTTTGATGATTTTTTGGCAGAGTTATATCCCTTTCACTTTGAAAATAATATAGATACATCTTAGGAATAAGCAGTTTAAGTTTGAATTTGGTCGTGGTTCACTGATTTTGGACAAAGTTATCTTTCTTTGATGTTGGAAAAATTTTGAACTTTCAGTTTCAGCACTCATACTTTTGTGGAAATGTATGTAGCCATTATTTTGGCTACAAATATGAAATATGCTATTTTCAAAAGGTTAAGACTGAATAATTTCAGTGCCTTGAACATTGTAATGTATGGAAATGTTTTGTGTTAACATTGAAAAGTTTTAAGGGCTTTGAACTTAAAATAAAAAAAATAATTTGTGCAAACAAATTTGGAACTAAATATTATAACATCTGAAATTTTGGCTGCATCCGTGGCATGATGACACATTTCTAGTTTATTTACATGATTCACATAAATTTGATGTGAACATATGAATGGTGACTTTTAAGTGTTAGTGGCAGAGGGAAACTCCGGGTGCATTATTACTTCAGGCACAATTGTATATGTGGGTAGAACCATAAACCTTCCATAAGTGAGTGGGATAGCATCTTCACATGAAAGAATGCAAAGTTCCTGGTGGGATTCAAACCAAGAGTGGTTAAGGGCAAGATGGTTTGAACTTGGTAACTTTAACCATTAGCCCAGTGAGACCCTTGACTATCTTTTTTTGGAATTAGAAGGTCTAAAAGTCAAAGATTATTCAAAGTCTGTCAAATATACATATAGAATGTTAGATTTCTTTTTCTTAACAATGTATTCTGTGTTCTGCAGTGATCATAAGCTTATACAAGTAATAAGTTTGAATTCAACAATCTACCTATGTTGTTGTAGCTGTTTCTTTTCAGGCAATTTTAGAATAGTTATACAATTCTATGTTTCAAACTTTAGTTTCATGTGACAACAAGTAGAACTTGCACACCTTCCAGCTTGTTTAATTACTTTGTCATTTCTAACACTAATCCTATTGTTTGTTACAGATTCTGTTGCAAATCTTTTATAGTAGACTCTCTTATTGACAGTCTGAACTTTTTTATAGCAGACTATCTTATTAACAGTTTGGCCTTTAACATAATGAATAAAATGCTAGTTTAACAGTGAAAACTAAGTCATTAATATCAGAGAGTGCTGCATGTTCAGTGTTTCACATTAGTATGTATTTGATATTACAGGATGATTCAATATGGCAAGTACTGAACTTGATGATTTTGAAAAGGAGTTGAACTCTTATATTGAAAGTGAAGAAAAAAATAAGAAACAGAAAGAGGTGATTTTGATATCTCATTATTTTTTTTTACAAAATTCATCTTGTCACATTGTTATTATTTTCACTTAAATATTGTTATAATATTACACTGTATATTGTGCATAAACAAATGTAATGTAACATCATTTAAGATCATATTTGGATTTTGGACAAAAATGCATGAAAGGGAAATATGATATGTTTACCTGTCAGGAAAAGTTAATTTGTGGCAATGTTCAACCAAAAAATATGGAAGATACAGTTTATTTCTTATACATGTTTTTGTATGTGTAAATGCACTGTCTTCGGGCCAAGGGTATTTTTGTCAATGGTATAACACTGTATTTTCAATAAATGTTAATAGGGAGTACTGTCTATTATTTAACACAATTTCTACTTACATGTATCTTAATATATATGGTGTTTAAAAAAGAGAAAAATGTAACCAAGCAAAAACTATTCTATCACTTTATCTAAGTATAGCATCTCTAGTCTTCATTTATTATTCAGCTGTTCAGTTAGTGTGAAATTTATTCTCCTAGAACACATAATTGATGTTTGTAATGCGAGTACCCTCATGAAATATTGACTTTCTTTAAATTATATATTTACTAATTCATAGCAATGAACACGTCATATAAATCTAAAGCTCATGTACTTGATGATTCTTAGTCAATATTAACCGAAGTCCTAACATACGGTAACACGTTATGTTAAAATGATGCCATAACATATTCCTTAATAACTAACAGTCATTTCAGATGTTTTATAAAGGCAAATAACAGCTGACATGTATCCATCATATAATCATGACAACAAATCCATTCATATTGTTATTATAAACTTATTTCTTGAAGTTATGTTTAATCTCAAAAGTAAACTAAACATTAAGTGAATAAGTTAAAGACAGCCTTAGCTACATGTACTTTCTATAGATTTTAGTGTAGTTTTAACTTAATTATACAATATTTCAAGACTGAGATCTGTTTGTATTTGTATATTAACATAGGTACACAAATCTTAAAAGTTTTCACCTGATTTCTTAATATTGCATAATACTTGTATAACATCTTTCAATTTTTGTTTAATGTTGTTTCCTAAACATTGAAATAACTGTTTACAAACTTTACTATATATGTGCCTTGGATGATTTATTTCAACCAACTTTTCATCGTATTAATAATGCATTTAATGATTGTTTATTCTACTTTATTTTATCCTTCTGACGTGTGTATAATGCTATCTACTCTTGACAATTCATCTTTGGGGATTTTATCTATTGATCCAGCAATTAAATTGTTAAAGTGTTAAAATTTATTGCACTGAAATTTGGCTTAATTTGAATTCAGAACTTTTAAAGTGTAAACTTTTGCAAGGCATAGATCTGTTCTTATAAATTTTGCATATTTACATTATTTCCTTAACTAACTTTATATGAAAATAACTAGTAATAGTTTAGCATAGTAGACATTTAACTTTAAATCCTGGCTCTTCTTTAGCATAGATTAAACATTTAAACCTATCAGAAAGGAAAAAAAATATATTTAATCTGAAATCTTTGAATTTTTAAGAAAACTTTTGATTCATGAAATCTTCTTACTTGATATAGTACTATCAAACATAATGTAAATTCAATTTGTGTATCAAATTTATCAAAATATTTTATCAAAACATAATCATTGAACCAAACTTAATCCCGGCCTTTTTGATGTACATTCATTTTATAACTTGGTATTTGTGTGCGGACATTGCCTCCTGATACACCTCTATACCTAAACCTTTCAACTCTACTGTATAATATATACAACCTCTAATACCATAATAGTTGGCAATAACTTGTAACAGCAAGATTTACCTACTACTTGAAATAATCTAATATTATTAAGTTTTACTATTTATTACTTTACTGGCATTTATACAGGATCATAATGATATTGGGGCAATCTGAAATCTGATAAAGAGATTAGAGTTTAATTGCACCTTGTTTTGGCATGTACATTGTGTAAATTTATGTTTTGTCATAAAGAATATTTTGGTGGGTTCATAAATTCATGAACTGTCTATTTTTCCAAAAGGTAAAATGTTAATTATGTGATGAAAAATAATCTTATAGCAGACAAAATGATAATTGTCGCATCTTAAATTCGCGGATTGACCTTTCCACAAGAACCACAAAAATTAGTTCCCCACAAATAATAATCATTTTGTAGTAGTCTCAGAAAGTCAAATATCTGGACCTAAATGAAATATCTATATCTAAATGAAATATCTACCAACTTAAACAGAAACATTCATATCACAAAGCTAGCAACCAATCAAAATGTATTATGATCATGTTATAATGAATTTGTTTAATGAAAAATAGATTTGTCTAAATGATAATATTTAAAAGATAATTACATTTTTTCCCTTTCAATTGATTTCAATAAAACATAATTTTAAGTTTATACATGTATATTATTATGTAACTTTATGTATGCAAAGATATGTTATTATGACCTTTTATTAGATTATTTTGAACACAATACATTGTACTTTATTATGTCATTATTACTTAAAACTTGCTATTCAAATGTATGATAAAACCCGAAACTGTTCATGTTATAAAAATGTTGATATTTTACCTTTGTAGAATCAAAACACGATGGAAAAGGACAAAGATGTGTCTAAGGATGACAAAACAGAGAAAGTGACTGCACGAGAGCAGAGTGATAATGAAGATTCAGAAGTAGATGACTATAATTTGACTGAGGATCAGAAAAGAGCACTGGAGGAACTGGATAATCTCAAAACTGAATTAGGCTGTTTGCCTGGTAACTGCAAATTCTCACCTTAAAATATGTTAATGATTTGAATAATCTAAATATGTAACAAATATTTCACAAATTTAAAGTTATATTATATGAAATATATCTTATGTTTTAAATAATACTTTATGATATACAAAGGTAAATGGTTATGCTTGATATTTTCTATTATAAGGTTATAAGTTTCACCATTTTCTATGATAAGGTTATAAGTTTCACCATTTTCTTTTATAAGGTTATAAGTTCCACCATTTTCTATTATAAGGTTATAAGTTTTACCATTTTCTATAATAAGGTTATAAATTTTCATTGTTTACTTTTATAAGGTTATAAGTTTCACAATTTTTAGCTCGACTATTCGATAAGAATAAGTAGAGCTATTGCAGTCACCCGAGCGTCGGCGTCGGCGTAACCACTTATGTTAAAGTTTTTGTAATAGTTCAAATATTTTCAAAGTCCATTGACATATGGCTTTGAAACTTTGCACACTTGTTCACCATTCATGACCCAACCTGTAGACAAGAGGAGGTAACTCTATCAAGCATTTTGACAGAATTATGCCCCTTTTTCGACTTAGAATTTATGTTAAAGTTTTTTGTAATAGTTCAAATATTTTCAAAGTCCATTGACATATGGCTTTGAAACTTTGCACACTTGTTCACCATCATGACCCCAACCTGTAAACAAGAGGAGGTAACTCTATCAAGCATTTTGACAGAATTATGCCCCTTTTTCGACTTAGAATTTATGTTAAAGTTTTTGTAATAGTTCAAATATTTTCAAAGTCCATTGACATATGGCTTTGAAACTTTGCACACTTGTTCACCATCATGACCCCAACCTGTAAACAAGAGGAGGTAACTCTATCAAGCATTTTGACAGAATTATGCCCCTTTTTCGACTTAGAATTTATGTTAAAGTTTTTGTAATAGTTCAAATATTTTCAAAGTCCATTGACATATGGCTTTGAAACTTTGCACACTTGTTCAACATCATGACCCCAACCTGTAAACAGGAGGAGGTAACTCTATCAAGCATTTTGACAGAATTATGCCCCTTTTTCGACTTAGAATTTACGTTAAAGTTTTTGTAATAGTTCAAATATTTTCAAAGTCCATTGACATATGGCTTTGAAACTTTGCACACTTGTTCAACATCATGACCCCAACCTGTAAACAGGAGGAGGTAACTCTATCAAGCATTTTGACAGAATTATGCCCCTTTTTCGACTTAGAATTTACGTTAAAGTTTTTGTAATATTTCAAATATTTTCAAAGTCCATTGACATATGGCTTTGAAACTTTGCACACTTGTTCACCATCATGACCCCAACCTGTAAACAGGAGGAGGTAACTGTATCAAGCATTTTTTTTACTATCAAGCACTAAGAATAGTCGAGCGTTGCTGTCCTACCGACAGCTCTTGTCTATATTAAGGTTATAAGTTTCACCATTTTCTATTAATATAAGGTTATAAGTTTCACCATTTTCTATTTAGATGAAGATCCACCAGAGTATGATGTCACTGAGCGACTCAAAGTTTTAAATGAAGAACTCAAAAATGATCCTACTCCAGTTGAAAAACAAAATGAATCAAAAGTAGGATTTAAATCAGATCTTATTGATCTTGTGGCTCCCCCACCTGACTTTAGTGATGATGAAGGGGAAGATAAAAAACAAAATAGTCCAAAATCAACTAAAACCTCAACACCTAAAAAACAAACTGACGATAAAGTTGATGACAATTCAGAAACCATTTCTAGCAGCAAAAAATCAAATTCAGGCAAAAAAGACGAAGTGTTGATAGAGATTGATGGACAATTTAAATTAGTGAGCGCAGACGATGTAAGGGCCAAAGATTTAGGATATATATTAGACCAGGATACAAATAAAGAAAATGAAAAGAAACAGAATGAGAAAAATAAAGCAAAGCTTCAGCCAGCACCTCCTGGGAAGCCTAGACCTTCGACAGCAACTTCTAGTTCTCGTCGTAACGTCAGATCTGCTCCTGCTAAACAGAGACCGCAGTCTGCTCATGGGCCGACAAACCATGGATCATCATCTTACTGTGACAATTATAATTCCCCTTATGCTCTGTCACCAAGAGAAAAACAGTTGATGGAAGATAGGAAAAAAGCCCTTGAAAAACAAAAGCAAGACAGTGAAAGGCGAAGACGACAAGAGGAAGAAAACAAAGAAAAGGAAAACCAGGAGGCGTTTGAATACTGGTTAAAGAAGAAACGAGAAAATGACAGAAGACGAAAAATACAAGAAGAAGAAGATCGCAAAAAGAATGCGAAAGAAGATAGGGTATGGGTAAATTTTTATGACAGATTTTAAACAATTATGTCTTACATCATCAGCATTACTTGAATCTTGTACTGCAGCTCATTTCTGGTTTCTATTACAGTTTTATCAAATTAGAAGTAGATTAAGACAGGAAGGCTGGTTGAAGTATATATATATACTTTATTTTCTCCTTCAAAGCTTTTACTCTAAAAGATGTCTAAATGGCAGATACAAAACCGTAATGTTTTACAAGGCTGTCGAAATTGGATTTTGACTTATTTGTCTATTTTAATCTAAAGCATTTTTTCAGCTTGTCAGTGTGATGTCTATACAGTAAATTTTGAAAATTTCCACTTGTCCATACAGGCTGTTGGACAACCTGGGCAATACAGATAACTGATTTTGCAGCCCTGTTTTATATCTATAAGTTACAATGATGATGATGTTTAACATAGTTGATTGTATAAAGTGTTGACATTAGTGCAGTGATTCAACTTTAGAACAATGTTTTTTAATGTAGGATGATTAGATTAAATAACACTTAGATATGAGCCGTGCCATGACAAATCCAACATAATGTGTTTGCGACCAGCATGGATCCAGACCAGCCTGCGCATCCGTGCAGTCTGATCAGGATCCATGCTGTTCGCTATCAGTATCTTTACTTGTAATAGGGTTTGTAAGCGAACAGCATGGATCCTGATCAGACTGCGCGGATGCGCAGACTGGTCTGGATCCATGTGGCTAACCCATTATGTTGGTTTTGTCGTGACGCGGCTCAATTATTATGATAACTTACCATAATGTTGTGTATGTTTTGATTAAAAATGTCTATGTCATTTAAATATCTAATAAGTAGCATAAAGTTTCTTTCATAGTCTGAATGTTCTTGTACACTAGTTATTGTAAATCTATATTAAGGTAAGAATAGCTTACACTGTCATTTTATGTTCAATCTCTAATTATGATATCTACATAATTCTTCCCTTAAATCCATTATTTATGTTATAATAAATGTGTTTTATTGAAATAACAGCAAAGAATCCAAGATTTTGAGCAAAACAAGGCTTTTGCAACCTATGACATTCTCTACTATAAGGTATCATAGTATATCTTAAGTTTGAGGTGCTTTCTGAACAGCCCTCACCAGTTGAACTAATTGTCACGGGAAACATTTTAAAAACAACCCATATTTACTCAGTATTTTATCTTGTTTGCTGTAATTTGTATATGATTGAAAAAAACATGAAAAGAATCATTCTTTTTTTCTATTTTATTCTGTATGATTTGATTTTCCAACAAACATGTACACCACTGACTGGTTTATATGAAATATGTTTAACACTCATTCTTCTCATTTTAATGTTTTTCTTCTTTATTGACAGTTTGAATAACCTTAGTAATTAAAATACTCTTATGTGTTCCTGTTTGCATGAATTAATGTACAGTAATTTGGCATTTATTCATTTTGGCATTTATTCATATAATCATGTATATTTCATATCCCTGTCAGTGCTGTAATGTTGTATTTGGATTTATCATGTATTTATAAGTTTATGTTGAGACTGTGAATAATTTTCTATGTACATTTGGCTGTGTGTTTTTGGGGTACATTTAGTTTTGACTCTTGTTTCTCCTGGCAATGTTGTATGCATCTTCAAACAAAAACAAATGGTTCATTAGTATATATAGATATCAATATATAAAAATCTGAATATTTGGAAATGTCTTAAATATTATCACAATAATTTGGTTTTTAGAGGGGAAAGTGCAACAGTAAGCTTTAGGTTACGAGCATGAGAGATGTTAATTTTCAAGGGGGCAGGCATTTAGATTTGCTCTTGACCATTTATGGTTGCATGCATGCACTCCATATTATGTCATGTGCAGCTCTAAAAATGCTTGTATTAGAGTTTACAAACTGTACAGGAATGATGATCATTACATGAAGTTATGCATGTAGATTAATTCAGTTTTGTTAGTGCCCTTGACTTTGTGAAAATTTGAAATTTTCAACTTGTGTCGCACATAGCTCAAAAAGTATTAAACCTGGAGTCATGAAACTTAACAGGAATGTTGGTCAGCAAGTGCGGGTATTAGCTTGGGGGTTTGCTTGTGGATTTATTCAGAATTTTGTAATTTCCCTTGACTTTGTAAAAAATGCAATTTTCAACTTGTCCCTTGCATTACTCTAAAAGTTTTTGACCTAGAATCTTGAAACTTTACAGGAATATTGGTCAGCATGTGTAGTTATTCATGTTTTGCTTGTTTGTTTTTTTAGCTCACCTGTCACAAAGTGACAGGGTGAGCTTTTGTGATCGCTTTTCGTCCGGCGTCCGTCCGGCGTCCGTCCGTCCGTCCATAAACTTTTACTTTAAATGACATCTCCTCATAAACCACTAAGCCAATTTCATCCAAACTTCACAGGAATGTTCCTTTGGTGGTCACCTTTAAAAATTGTTCAAAGAATTTAATTCCATGCAAAACTCTGGTTGCCATGGCAACCGAAAGAAAAAACTTTAAATATCTTCTGTTAAAAAACCATAAGAGCTAGAGCTTAGATATTTGGCATGAAACATCTTCTAGTGAGTGTCTACCAAGTTTGTTCAAATAAAAGCCCTAGGGTCAAAATTGGCCCCGCCCCAGGGGGTCATTGATTTTCCCTATATGCATATAGTAAAAACTTAAAAAATCTTCTTTTAAAGAACCCAAAGAGCTAGAGCTAAGATATTTAGCATGAAACATGTTCTAATGGGTGTCTACCAAGTTTGTTCAAATAAAAGCCCTGGGGTGAAAATTGGCCCCGCCCCGGGGGTCATTGATTTTCCCTATATGCATATAGTAAAAACTTAAAAAATCTTCTTTTAAAGAACTCAAAGAGCTAGAGCTTAGATATTTGGCATGAAACATCTTCTAGTGTGTGTCTACCAAGTTTGTTCAAATAAAAGCCCTGGGGTCAAAATTGGCCCCGCCCCTGGGGGTCATTGATTTTCCCTATATGCATATAGTAAAAACTTAAAAAATCTTCTTTTAAAGAACCCAAAGAGCTAGAGCTAAGATATTTAGCATGAAACATGTTCTAATGGGTGTCTACCAAGTTTGTTCAAATAAAAGCCCTGGGGTGAAAATTGGCCCCGCCCCGGGGGGTCATTGATTTTCCCTATATGCATATAGTAAAAACTTAAAAAATCTTCTTTTAAAGAACTCAAAGAGCTATGGCTAAGATATTGAGCATCAAACATGTTCTAATAGGTGTCTACCAAGTTTGTTCAAATACAAGCCCAGGGGTCAAAATTGGCCCCGCCCCGGGGGTCATTGATTTTCTTTATATGTGTTTAGCAAAAACTTTAAATCTTCTTTGAAAAAACCCAAATAGCTAGAGTTTAGATATTAAGCATGAAACATCTTCTAGTAAGTGTCTACAAAGTTTGTTCAAATAAAAGCCCTGGGGTCAAAACTGGCCCGGCCCCAGGGGTGTCATTGTTTTTAACTATATGTGTATAGTAAAAACTAAAAAAAAATCTTCTTTTAAAAAGCCCAATGAGCTAGAGCTTAAATGTTTAGCATGAAACATCTTCTTATGGGTGTCTACCAAGTTTGTGCAAATAAAAGCCCTTGGGTTAAATTGGCTCTGCAACGTTGGGGGGGGGGGCCTATATACAGGTGAGCGATCTCAGGGCCATCATGGCCCTCTTGTTTAATTTCTTTTAAGCATACTTTATATAGGGTATAAAATTGAGATTTGAAATTCTTGCAGCTCAATATTGAGAAAAATCAAGGTGTCGCCATTGTTTAGATTGGATGTCATTTTTATGCCCCAACCACTTAGGGGTAGAGGGAGTCATGTAGACTCCTTTACCTATCTGTCATACTGTCCCTCTGTATGTAGACTTACAAAACAGTGGAATGTGGGTGCATCCATGTCATATGGACATTTTTCTAGTTTATATTATCTCTCATGAACAGACTCAGTACCTACTGAATCTGCAGTTTTCATTAAGTGTTGTTTAATAGCTTCTAAGTGATCACCCCTTTTTCGAGATTTTTAATACTAATTGATTAAAGATACCTCTTTATTGGGATTATTTTTCTAAACCAATACAGCAATGAAATTTTGAGTCAATGACTGAATGTTTCATCCCTTACTGCCGTCCATTATTCCTTTCTCTAAACTGCACTCTAAACCGCACATTCATATACATTGATTAAATTTCACAACTGAAGACAGGTATATCTGTAAATAAATTATGATGGTATGGTACAAAATTAGCTCCATATGTCATTGAAGATGCATGAACTGGCTTGTGTGTGTCTGAAGCTAGACTAAAACAAGACATGTTATTTTGCTATTTATTTAATAGTTTGTTATTTTATTTAGCTAACTGCATCAAGAAATTTAAATTATATGATAATTTTATGTCATTGATTACTAAACACTATACCCCTATATATCTTTTGGTCTATTACATGGAATATGACTTTTATATCACAACTTCGCACATTATTATTTAATATGAAAATCTGCCTTTAATATGAAGCATCTAAATGGTTGATTTTGACCTCATATTTTGAGATATTAGGTAGGAAAGTTGGCCAAGATAAGAAAGTTAGCCAAAAAAGTTTATAGTTTATTTTCAGACTTTTTTCGCATCCTGGATATAAACCGTTATTAACTTTTTGAGATTTTACAGTTGTATAGTGAATATCCTGGGGGAAAATAGAGGATTTTATTTTTACAAATTTTTACAAATTAACATACTTTTTATTCAGTGGCTTTCATTTCCACATAGATCTATTTTTGTTTGATTACTTTAAAGATATAAGGAAAGAATTTATAGTTGAATCAATCGCTTTGTAGTTTATTATCATCTTACTGGTAGCTATTCTTATTCAATTTGTCTGCTACCTCCAATAAATTCATACTTGTATATTCAATATTTAAACATGTTAATTACCGTTGAGATATCAACTTCCCCCTGGAGATAAAATGGCTATTGTCCAACGTAATCAAAGAGTAACAAACCAATGAAACATATGAAAGCTGAAACCCTCTACTCTAATATAAAATCAATAATATTGGCTCCAGATCTATACCTCAAACTAATTATTGAGCTATATATGTATAAGATTATATAGGTTAAATGTAATGATAAAAATAATAGATAATTGCATAGCCAAATTAAACACTAAACATACCTTCAAAGTTATAGTAAAGACGGGTCTTCCTTAAATGAATTTGGTGTGGTCCTTAAATGAAGTTTATGTGATCCTAAAATAAAATAAATTAATTTTAAACGCAAGGCTTTCACAACACATGTTGTATAATGGTCAAGCCCTGGTTTGAATTTGGACCTTTCCATTGATATTTTAAGCGTTTTTGTATAAATGAAAAAGCTAAAATTGAGCAACCTGACTATAGAATCAGGTGAGGCTCTATGAAAATGTGACAGGTTTAAACCCTTAACCTGCTGGAACCGAAAGTGATAAGAAGCATGGTTGGGATTAATTGCTATCCACATACATGTAATTTAAACACAGTGTGTTGACACAAAATGATCTAACAATTCTTAATGGTGTGTGTATGGGGCTGAATTAAGAAGGCCATGCATGTTTGTAACAAAACAATTCTGTATTTGTGTTTGTTTTCATTTCATATAACAGAACGATTCTGAATCCGATGAGGTAAGTGAGAAAATTTGTAATTCCGCCATTTTGAGTGGCTCTGAGTCATCAAATGTATTTCAAATATTTAAACCATGACACTGTAATTTGTTTGGCTGAAAAATTTTCATTTATATCTATCAGACTATGTACCTTCCATATCTTAGTATGTATAACACACAGAGTTCCCGATATGTGCTTGTAATGTGTGATATATGTTATACAATACTAAAATATGGTAAGTTTTGTTATTTTAGAATTTTAATATAAAGCAAGCACCATAATTGGGCATATTTGTCAAATTTAATGAAAAGAAATTTTCTTGCTTACCTATTAAACATGGTTGCCAATTTTATGATAAAAATAAGGAAAATAAACAAAATTATAAATTTGTTTTCAAATTGAAGTTTTATGAATAAATAATACTTACCTGGAATAACAGTATGAATACTCTTTTTCTGATCCGCATAATAAACTTTCTCCCGGAAGTTGATAAACTTTTCGTGAGGCGCATGCGCACTCTCGGCAAGTTATCTACTTCCTCCTCTCCCAGTAAACGTCAGTTCCTTTTCTGGCGAAAGTATTCGCCCCAGGACTGAAAGAAAGAGGGGAGGTTGGGAGGGTAACTGTTATTCCAGGTAAGTATTATTTATTCATAAAACTTCAATTTGAAAACAAATTTATAATTTTTATTTCATAAATAAAAACTTACCTGGAATAACAGTATGAATAAAACCAGATTTTACAGCAATGTAAGACTGGTGGTGGGAATCTTTCATAAATAATCATATACTTCAAAAAACTAAGAAATTCATTCCTACTCACCTTAGTAGAATGAAATGAGCATGATCTTCATCATCTGTTTCTTCCAAACATACAAATGAGGAATTCCTATTGCTTCTTAACAGTCATATATACAAATGTATATTTACAAAATAGTTCTATCCCACTGTATTTACATACAAACATCATCATTTAATGGACATCTTCCTCAATGTCTTGACATCTTTCTCGATGTCTTAACATAAAAATAAACAAAATATCCTGCGATCCGCAAGAATTAAGAGAAAAGTTCCAAATGAAGTGATTACACATTCATATAATCTGTATTTATAGTCCTTAAATAGTGCCGAGTAAACGTAGTTTCTCTTGACCAATCGGCACTTTCCATTATCTGCTGAAGTGAAGCACCTTTAAACAATGCAAAGGAAGGCCCAATGCTGCGAGTAGAATGACCTTTTATTTTACCTACGTCTTTACTTTGTGACTTGTAACAAAACTTAATAATGCTAACCAACCATCTGGATATAGTCTGAGCTGAAACTGGTTTATGGGGTTTCTTTGTTGCAATGAACAACTTAACAATTTCTTGGTCAGATCCTGCATTACGAAATTTTTCTGTTCTTTTTAAATAATGAAAAAGCACTCTTTTAGGATCTAAAGTCCTGTTTTTTGGTAATGCTGGAATGAAAATATTTCTATCCGAATGATTCGGTCTATCTTGCTTTGATAAGCCAGTTCTTATAAAAGTCAATCCTTTCTTCTGGACATTAACATAGTTTTCACCTAAACGTAACGATTGCAAATCACTGCAACGCCGAAAAGTGGTAATCGCCAACAGAAAACAAACTTTCCAAGTAAGGTAACGTAAAGATGCATCCTTCAGCGGTTCAAATGGAGCTTTCTTCAATGAATCTAAAATGAAAAGAAGATCCCATTCAGGTACTAATTTTTTTAAAGGAGGACGTTCGTTGAAAACAGCTCTTAACAATCTTATAATAAAAGGATGTTGTCCGATAGGTGTATTATCAACTGGGCCCAAAATTGAAGACAACATCGATCTATAACCATTAATAGTTCTGTATTTGAGACCTTTATCAAACAAATATGTCAAAAAATCTGCACATTCCGCTAAAGTGGCAATATACGGATCAATTTGTCTTTCACAACACCAGCTATTAAATTGTTTGAATTTGCTTTGATAATCCCTACGTGTGCCAGATCTCCATGACTTAGACAGTAATTTTCTTGTGTTTCCAGAAAGGCCCTTTGACGACCAATGTCTGTTGACAACAGCCATGCAGTCAAATGCAGAGACTCTGGATGAGGGTGTGATATTCGACCCCTGCATTGAGTCAAGAGCATTTGGCTGCATGGCAGATTGATTGGATTTGCAATTAACATTTTCAGTAACAGTGGATAATGATGTTGTCTTGGCCACTGATTTGCTATTAGTATTATTGTACAATGATATTTTTGCATGTGACTGAGTACTTTGGGAACAAGTTGTGCTGGTGGAAACGCATAAGCAAAGAGATTTTCCCATGGAATTGACAGAGCATCTAGGGCAAATGCTTGAGAATGGTGTATCCAAGAGCAAAACAGTGGAGTCTTTTTGTTCTGGAAAGTAGCAAACAGGTCCATCATTGGATGACCCCAAAGCTCGAACAATTTCAGAACCACTGTCTTGTTCAAGGACCACTCTGTCTGACATACTCTCTCCCTGCTCAGTGTATCCGCCAACACATTCTTCTTTCCCAAAATATGAGCAGCTTTCAGCAAAATATTGTTCTCCAGGGCCAGTTGCCAAAGGCGCATAGTCATATTGCATAATTGGGCTGATCTCGTGCCCCCCTGCCGATTGATGTATTGGCAAACAGTTGTATTGTCTGATCGGACTAGAACATTCTTGCCCTTCAGTTTTGATAGAAAATGTTTGAGACTGAACATTACTGCTAACATTTCCTGACAATTTATATGAAGCATTTTTTCTGACAAAGTCCACTGACCTTGACATGTCAAGCTGTTCATGTGACCTCCCCAACCGTAGCCACTGGCATCTGTGGTCAGTGTTATTTGAAAGTTGTCTTTCAGTAATGATCTGCCCAAGCCAATGTTCTGATCCAATAAGAACCAATTCAGATCCTGGATCAGTTGAGGTGTTAAAGGAATTTTTGTAGACAGATTCATTCTGATAGGGCTCCAATTTTTTAATAAATGAAGTTGTATAGGTCTCATGAACAGCCTGGCATTTGGAATAAGCTCTAGACATGAGGCTATCATTCCGAGTAGGACTAAGAAATGTCTTGCAGTGCATTGACCCTTTTGAATGTTTGACACAGCTGTTTTTAATTTTTCCAGTCTTTCCATGCTTGGAAACACTAGCCCTTTCATTAAATCCCAATAACTGCCCAGATAATTGAGAGTTTGCATTGGAACAAGTTGTGATTTTTCCTTGTTTATGATGAACCCTAAATGAAAGAGAAGGCTGAGTATTTGATAACGATCTTTCAACAATAACATTTTTGTTTTGTTTACTGCTAACCAATCGTCTAGATAACTTGCTAGACGAATATTGAATTTTCTCAGATGTGCGACTACCACTGAAATTATTTTGACAAAGACTCGAGGAGCACTTGTTGGGCCAAAACATAGTGTTCGAAATTGGTAAGTTACTCCTTGAAAATGGAAGCGCAGATACTTGCGATGATTTTTGAAAATTTTTATATGGAAATAAGCATCTTTCAAATCTATTGAAAAAGCCCAGTCTTCTTTTTCTACAAGGTTTAATATTTTTGCCAAAGTGTCCATCTTGAAATGTTGTTTGCGGAGATACTTGTTGAGGGGTTTCAAATTTATCACTGGTCTCATTTCCCCGTTCTTTTTTGGAACTAAAAATAATGTGCTGTAAAAACCTGAATTTGCTAGTTTTGGATTGACAACTTCTATAGCATTTTTTTCTAAAAGAGATATTATTTCTTGTTTGATTATATTTTGACTTTTTGCAGGGACACGTGTTGATTTTATGCCTAAAAACTGAGGTTTTTCCTCGAATTCTAACTTGTAACCCTGACTTATCACGTCTAACACCCATTTGTCTGTGGTGATTTGTTGCCAATGTGATAGGAAATGAGACAGTCTGCCCCCAACAGGTATCTCCGGATATTTTACTATTACACTTACCAAGTCATTTTTCATCTGTTTTTGCCACTGGCTTTCCTCTACCAGATGGGGGTCGTCTCGTCCCGTAGCTATAACCTCTGCCACGAAACTTTCCCCGGCTGTCAGATCTTGAGATCTTAGGGATACGAAAATTGTTCAACCCATACGAAGAAGTGCTTGGTTTTTCAGTCAATTTCTCTATCGGTTGTTTCTTTTTATACTCCGAGAAATTACCAGATGCTGATAATTTCCGTTTCTTGTTCAGATCTGGGATTAGATCATCAACTTGTTTACGTTTTTCTTTCTTGTCTTTCAACAAAGTTTCTAGTTCTTTGCCAAAAACACCATCCCCTGACAAAGGTAAATTGTAATAGTCCCATTTATCAGTTTGTTCATGCAGACCTGTATCCTTCATACAACATGATCTTCTAACAATATGATGGAAAGCACCAGTTCTTCCAATTTGGTCTAAACACTTCGTACTCATAGCAAAAATATCTTTGACCATCTGAGAAGCTTGATCTCTTTCAAAATCAGTAGAATTTAGCATTTGAAGTAGGTTACCGAGACTTTGTTGTATATACATTTGAATAACGAGTCCTAACCGAGCAGCTTGCTGCCCTTTATATGCAACTTTTTCTATCATCTTAGCTGGTTGTGTATATAACTGTTTTCCTTTAGCAAAAGAAGCCCTAGGCCCATATCTTTTAGTAAGACATACTTCTACCATATCATCCAGTGATGGCACCTCTAGCAATTTTTCAGCATCTGCATCAACTGGAAAAAGGTCAAAATTTTCCTCGGCAAAAGCAGACAAAAAGTTTGGTTGTTTACATCTATAACCACTATCAATAACCTCAATTTGTGATTTGTCCAAGGTTAAACCCTTTTTCTGTTCAACTTTTTTAACAACTGCATCTTCACCGAACATTTCAAATAAACATTTTCTTGTATTTTCAGAGAGATTTTCCACATTTTCCTCCCTATTGTTGTTTTTGTCCAACATGGCGCTATCATTATTTTCATGAGCAGGAGAAATTTGACCGCCAGCAAAAATTGACAACATGTCAGAGTCAGAATCATCTTCACTGGAGTCAAATAAAAATTTGTCACGATTTCCTTTAGAATTTGACTTTTTTCTTTGTCCATTAGTATCATCATTTAACTGATTTGTCACAGTTTGTTCATTTTTTTCACCGGATTGTTTATCTAAAAAAGTTTGCAACATTTTTTCCATATTACACATTCTGTTGCTCAATTCGTCGTATTTTTTCGAACGACTTTTCTTTTTGCCTTTGTCTTTAGTCAATAGCAATTTATTAGCAGTATTTTCTCCTGCCGACACGTAAGAAACGGTGTCATTTCTACTCGATAGATCTCCACGTGTTGGCGACGCCATATTCTTGTCATGAGGCTCGTCAGAAAATCTGTCGTTTTCAGACGTAATTTCACCCTCTTCTGCATGATGACACGTCGCCATAAGACAAAACTGGATAAATCTCAAGTAGAGAAACTAATTTCCACTAAAGAAACTAATCAAAACTAAAAATTAACCGCGGACGAAGCGAATACTTTCGCAAGAAAAAGAGAACTGACGTTTACTGGGAGAGGAGGAAGTAGATAACTTGCCGAGAGTGCGCATGCGCCTCACGAAAAGTTTATCAACTTCCGGGAGAAAGTTTATTATGCGGATCAGAAAAAGAGTATTCATACTGTTATTCCAGGTAAGTTTTTATTTATGAAATAAAATCAGGCATGTTCAGGAAACTAAAAAATGTCTATCTTTTTCAATGAAGGGCATATATTTTTGTATCCCTGCCTGCCATACACTGGTATTGAGTTTGTCCTCAGTATAACCATACCTCATTACACTGTATCTTCAATTCTTGTGTGTTATATTTTATATGTATACACCTATATATGTATGTATTATGTACATTGTATATCCATCACATTTTGGTTTGGTATATTGTCATAATAGAAGTTTTCTTTATTTCATCATGGTCACCCATCCTTGATAATTTAGAAAGCATGTTGTTTTGTCCTTGTCCTCATGCATGTGTGAAATTTGTGGGTATTTACTGCATGTATATAATTATGAATAAGTTGTAAAAAGATAATTTTAAGAAATGAGTCAAATAGATGAAACTGAAAGCTGAGGTCCCATATTATAGTCCTTGACACCTTGTACATTTTAGAAATTATTGTTTCAAATTGTTAAGAGACTTTATTAAATAGTGATACACTCATGTTACATGTTAGTTTTAAGTGGTCACAATAAATAAACAATTTTAAGCAATGGCTTTGTTCTTAAGAATGACATACTTCAAATTTATTTTACTCTTCTTGTTCCTAATACCAAAAAGAAAATCTTTTTATCAAAATTATCACAAAAGACAATGTAGAACGATTAAGGTCAGAGTATAAAACCATGGTTTTAAAGTAAATATTTTCACCGCACCATGAAGTATTAGAGATTGTAGAGGTCTATGCCTTCACATTGTGTAGTCCTGGGGCATTCATTTCTTTACTGACTCATTTCTAGCTCTTGTATATAGCTTTTTGTATTCAGTATAAATATTATGTAACAACATTTATATAGGGAATTATATCTACTTTAATCTTATTGTATGAAAGAAATACTTATATAATACACCAACTGAATCTACCTTGACCATGAGGTAGCGGGAATGTTTATAGAAGGCCAAAATATACTTGTAGGTAAACAATTATATTGTCAAGGTGTTGAAATTAGTTTATGATTTGCACTTCCTTAAAATGATCCTTGGTCAATAGTATAGTTTTAACATAGGAGCGTAGATTTTCAAACTAATAATGTTTATAAATTTGCAAAGTTTTGATTTTTATTTAGTAATCTGTTACATTATTAAGGTATAACTTAATATAACTAAATGTGTGAAATGCAATTCCTTACTGTTATTTATTTAGTCGATAAAAATACAGACAGGGTAATGAGATATAAATAATATCACCTTTTCTCATCCATTATGATAAAACTAATTTCTGTAAGAAATATAAAGCAAGAAAAGCTTCATTATTAAAACATTGTGCATGACTTGTATTGTTTGTTTGTTTTTGTGTTGAAGATATTGGCATTGAGTTTTGTTTTACTTTGAATTTTTTTAATTTATTTTTTTTTTGCAGTTTTATGGTTTTTGATTTATTTTAAATTAATAATATTTTTTATGAATGTAGTTGTATTATTGGCAAATCATGTATTTGATAAAGTTCATTCATTTGTTTGGTCTTCATGAAATACTGTATCACATTGGCAAATCGTAGTGTTCATAAAATAATGTATTGTTTTATCTGTAGTATTCTTTACTTTATGTCCACCACATAATGTGGAGGGGAGGGGGGATTGTATACTGGAATCACTTTGTAAGGTCAGTCAGTCAGCTGACCGGCCATCTGTATCCATAATGTCCGCTGTATAAATCCTATACCCAATGAATGAGTTTTTTTATAACTTTGCTCAGCATTTACTCTGAACAAGGTAGTGTGCAGAAGTCATGCTATTATTGTGACAGCTCGAAGTCAGAGGTCAAATGTCAGACAACGTTGTGTCCATTCTTTAAATCTTTGCTCAAATGTTCACTCCATCAAGGGAATGTACAGAATCAATGTCAGGTCACCCTTGATGGTCAAAGGTCTAATATCAGTCAATTTTGTGTCTGTTCTATAAAACTTACATCTCTTAAAGTAGTCTAAATAAGCCAGTGTGCAGGGCCCATGCCACAACTGTATAGGCTTAAGATCTAGGTGGCCCTTGAAGGTCAACTATCAGACTATTTGTATCTGCTCTATAAATCCCATACTTTTGAAGGATTTCTTCAACCTTGTCTCTAATCTGGTGTGCAAAACCCATGTTGCTTTTGTGCAGGTCTAAGGTCAAGGATACCCTTGATGGTCAAATATTAGACAATTTCTTGTCTGTTCTTTAGAGCTTATACCCCTTGAAGGGTTTTTCCTCAAAATTGGCTCAAGTCTTCACTTCAACAAGGCAGAAGCTATGCTGTTATTTCTCAAGGTTAAGGTCAACACTGAAGGTCAAATGTCAAACAATTTTGTATCTGCTTTATAGGATTTTTTTTAAAATTTGCTCAAATGTTCACCTCAAAATGAGGATCTGCAAGACCTATGCAGCTGCTGTTCAGACTCAAGGTCAGGGTTACACTTGAAAGTCAAATGTCAGACAAATTTGTGTCACTTTATAAATCTTTTACCTCTTGAAGGATGTTTTTTACTTGGCTCAAATGTTCACTTTGACTAGGTAGTGTGCAAAGCCAATTCGGCCCCTGTGCAGACTTAAGGTTAATGTTTAAATCCTATATGCTTTGAAGTAGTTTTAAACTTAACCTAAATGTTTACCTTATTATGGCTGTAAAGGTGTTCTCTTTTTTATTTCTTTTATTATTTTTTATTACATGTAGCATATTGTGCTTTTCAGCGTTGGTTACACGCTACCTTATGATCGACCTGGGGTCATTTTTAGCCTGTCACAAGTCCAAAATTTTCTTGGCGATGAGGGGGACTCCACCCCCTTCAAACCCCCCAAACAGAAGGGGGCACATCCCCCTGATGTATCTTTTGGATGGGGGACGGCGCCGAAAAAGTGCTCACTTTTTTAAGCAACATTTCTCAAACGAAAACATGTGTTTGGGGCCCAAATAGGACATTTTTTCACTATTTCAGGCCTTAAAAGGTGGGGGGGGGGTCGAAAGTGCGTTGTTTCACGTAGATATGAAGTAAAGGGTTAAGTTTCTTTTTTGATGATTTTTTTATGAAATATCTCATGGGGTTTGGTTATGTCCATGTTTCTATTATAGCTTATTATAATATTTACTAACATTATAAATAAACCTTTCCAGGGATACAAGCTTCAAAAGTAATTCAAATTATATTGCCTTTGTATTTGTTCTAGCAGATGATTGTATTTGATTTTGCAATACATGATTGCATTTGTTCTGGCAATAAATTATTGTATATGTTCTAGCATATACATGATTGTATTTGTTCTGGCAATACATAATTGTATTTATTCTAGAAATACACATTAGTTTATAATTATGTTCTGGCAATACATGATTGTATTTGTTTTAGCAATATATGATTTTATTTGTTCTGGCAATTCATGATTTTATTTGTTCTAGCAACACATGGTTGTATTTGTTCTAGCAACACATGGTTGTGTTTGTTCTAGGCAAAATAATGAATTGTTTTGTTCTAGCAAAATATGATTGGGTATTTGTTTATGGTTATAACAATAATTATACCCCCAAACGGAAAGTTTGGGGGGTAATATAGGAGTCACCCGGTGGTCGGGTTGGTCGTCGGGATCGGTCCCCAGACGTCCGTTGCATTTTCCTTGTCCGGAGCAAATACTTGAAGAACTAATGGTTGGAAATATTCATATAATACTTTCATACAATGGGTCAAGCACATTGAGAGGAAGTGCAGTGCAACAAGAACCATAATTTCTATCTTGGACTAATTACAGAGTTTATTGCCCTTTGTTACTTTTTCCTTGTCCGGGCATAACTTGAAAACTACTGGTTGGTAATTAAAAAACAACTTCAACAATTTACAATGTCAAACACAATAAGGGGAAAGTGCGATGCACAAGAAAACATAACTCTATCTAAAAGTAATTACAGAGTTCTTGCCCTTTGTTACTTTTCCATTGCTTTCTTTTGTCCGGTCCATAACTTGAAGACTAATTGTTGGAATTCATTATAACTTCATACAATGGTCAAGCACATTGAGAGGAAGTGCAGTGCAAAAGAACCATAACTCTATCTTGACTAACTACAGAGTTATTGCCCTTTGTTACTTTTCCTTGTCCGGGGCATAACTTGAAAACTACTGGTTGGAATTACAAACAACTTCATACAATTGTCAAACACAATAAGGGGAAGTGCAGTGCGACAGAACCATAACTCTATCTAAAGTAATTACAGAGTTATTGCCCTTTGTTACTTTTCCATTGCATTATTTTGTCCGGACCATAACTTGAAGACTAATTGTTGGAATTCATTATAACTTCATACAATGGTCAAACACATGGAGAGGAAGTGCAGTGCTCAAGAACCATAACTCCATCTTGACTTATTACAAAGTTACTGCCCTTTGTTACTTTTCCTTGTCCAGAGCATGACATGAAAACTACTGGTTGGAATTCAAAACAACTTCATACATTGGTCAAACACAATAAGGGGAAGTGCAGTGCACAAGGACCATAACTCCATCTTGACTAATTACAGAGTTATTGCCCTTTGTTACTTTCCCATTGCTTTTTTTGTCCAGAGCATAACTTGAAGACTAATGGTTGGAATTCAATATAACTTCATACAATGGTCAAGCACATTGAGAGGAAGTGCAGTGCACAAAAACCATAACTCCATCATGACTTATTACAGAGTTATTGCCCTTTGTTACTTTTCCTTGTCCAGAGCATAACTTGAAAACTACTGTTTGGAATTCAATACAACTTCATACAGTTGTCAAGGACATTAAAAGGAAGTGCAGTGCACAAGAGCCATAACTCAATTTTGACAAAATACAGAGTTACTGCCCTTTGATACTTTTTCTTGTCCGGAGCATAACTTAAAAGGTACTGGTTGGAATTCAAAACAAACTTCATACAATGGTCAAGCACTATAAGAGGAAGTGCAGTGCACAAGAACTATAACTCCATCTTCAGTACTTATAGAGTAATTGCCCTTTGTTCCTTTTCCTTGTCTTTCTGGACTTATTACAGAGTAATTCAATAAAACTTCATCAATGACCAACCACATTGAAAGGAAATGCAACATACAAGAACCACAACTATCTTTAATTGCCCACAACCATAACTCTTATTATATTTCAATTGTTTTACAAGATATTCTGTTACTAGTAACATCCTCATTTCCGAAGCAGTCTTGTGGGGGTATTAATCACATTTAGTGATAGTTCTAGTTTGATTTAATCTGGCAATAGATGATTTTATTTGTTTTAGGAACACATGATTGTATTTGTTTGGACAATACATGAGTGTGTTTATGGTCAAACTTAAAAAAAACAACAACTAAATAGTAGTTACTAAAATGATCCTAATGACAAGAAAATATGGAATGATGCTGAAAGGCCCTTTTCCTTAAAAGAATGACAACTGACACTATCTGTTTCAGAAGGAAGAGAATGAGGAAGCATTCAAAGCATGGTTACAGGAGAAACAAGGACAGTTCAAAGAAGGAGAATGACCCGAAACGTTTAAAAAACAGGGAAAAGCACGACCCTTACTATGTTTTCGGAGTAGAAGAAAAAGTTGAAAAAGGGTTATAAACATGAGTATATGTTACATTTATCAGGAAAATTTTTTTGAAAAAAATTGTAAAAAAAATCATTTGTAATATTGATTTTCAGGGGAATTTTTTTAAAAGGCCAATTTGGCAAAGTATTTTTTTTATTAGTTTAAAAGATTTTTTTACAGGGTTTTTTGGCCTATAAAAAAATTTTTTAAAATTTTATGAGAAGGTTTTTATTGCTCTATATAAGGGGGTTGGGGTTTTTATTTAAACCCCAAAATCTAGCTTTTGTATCTAAAATTTTAAAAAGCATTTCCCGATCATCCCAATGTAACACAAATGTTACAAAACTGCAGTATTATAAACAGCCATATATAAATATATCTTTAAGTTTTATTTTAGAAAATTGAATATACTGCACAATGGCTTTCTGTTATTGAGACAATGTCATTATGTTTTATACTTTCATGAAGAATTTTGATTAGATTTAATGAAGTAGTAATTGCCTTGGTATTATTTGGTTAATTTATTTCATAACTAACAATTGCATGTCATTGTCACATCCTTCAGTTAGAATTTATCAAAAGATAAATCATGATTATGGTATTTCCTTGGTGAATCTTAATAAAGTAAGTCATACTTCATGTACAATGTTTAAGATTGACATGAAAATCAAGAAAAAAAAGAAAAAAAAGAAATTTTTAGGAAACATTTTGGTCAGTAAATGTTGTGAGACAACTCTATATATTTTAAAATTTATCTCTTAGCCTGCTAATGTTAACTATAAATTCTGCCAGTAACATGAAAATTAGGGGGGAAAAAACAATAAAAATTTTTAAAGCAGAAAAAAGCTTGTCACTTGTAAAACAATTGTATTTTAAAGTTTTAAAATGGGAACCCGATTCTACCCATGGTGACTTGTTTCAAAACCAAGGGTCAATTTAGCAATCTGTTTCCATCTGATTTTTTTGGGCTGGGACTGTTTAGTATTCAATCAATAAATATTTTCAAGTGTATAAAGCTATATATCTGTTTAAAAAAAGAGAATTTGAATTTGAAAAGGATACTTCCAAAATACATGTATGAAAGAAATATGTTTGTATAATGCCTGTAGAGTGAATGGCGCATACACAAAATCATTGTTAAACACTTTACACCCTAGTTAAAATAAAAAGCATAATATTTTGTTCTGAAACATTTTATACTGTTTACATGCAATATCCTTGTGTACTTAATAACAGAGACATTCTATGTTACAACTCTTACAAGAATCGACCATTACATTATGGAAACAACATATTTTTAATATTTAAAACTTTAATAAAATTTGTTATAGCTTTATACCCTTTAGAAGACTCCATTTAAGATATTAAACATTGTATGAGCTGCTAGTTAATGGTGTTTTCATGACATGTAAGTTTTTATTTATTGTTAGTTACTCTTATATTTGTATAAATATATATGTATAGCAAATAAACATAAGATATGTATGTTGTGACAAATCTTTTTTTAGGTGGCTGAAACATAAAGCAATAGAAGCGCGTAAGGCGAGGTCAGCTGAGCGTAACAAGGCTAAACTACAGCGGCTAGCTGCACGGAGGTCTCGCAAGTCTATCTCATTGTCTAAGTCAATACGGGAGGCACAGTCATTTAGATATGTAGATTACTATGGATACAGGTTCTAATATGTGTTACTATAGTAACAGAAACACTAAACAGAGAGGGCAGCTTGCCATATTCATGCACCCACCAATGTACCTGCTAATGCTTTCGGGAGTAGGATTGAGTTATTGGATTGTGATGGATTTTGATTCCAGCACTGGAGAATAAGAGTTCAAAAGTAATTCTTGTCAGATATTTAGTCTCATTCCTAATGGCTGTGGGACAGAATTGTATTCTCTTTTTTTCCATTCCAAAATGTTTGTTAATATATATTATTGTACATTTAAAGTTTAGGTAAGAAACAAATATCTGTGATAAATTGTTCAAGGATCTTAATTCTAATACGGACTTGATTTACAAGTATACATTTTGTTTCAAGTATGTTTATGTTTTTATTTCAAGGACATGGAAATTTTTATCAACTGACAAAGTTATATTTTATATATAATGTTTCGTTTATTAGCAGGTTTTAACATAAGGTGGTAAAGTAGATGTATCTTTAGTCATGTTTCTTATATTGGATGTTAAGAAGTAAAACATTGTATCTACCATTGTTTATAGTCATAAAAACATAAAATTATTGTTTCATCATCAGGGCGTTTGTGGCCGAGTGGTTAAGGTTGTTGACTTCAAACCACTAGCCCCTCACCGCTTTGGGTTCGAATCCCACCAGGGACTTTGAATTCTTTTTGTCTGAGGAAGCTATCCAGGTAGCTTACAGAACGTCGGTAGTTCTACTTGGGTGCCCATTGGTGCCTGAAATAATGCACAGAAGGGCACCTGAAGTCTTCCTCCACCAGTTTTATCATACTGTAAAACTATACACAGAAATTCAGGATAATGTTTTGTCAATGTACATTGTTTGGAATTTCCCTTATGAATTTGCCAATTTCTTTTTCATATGTTTATAATTTTGATCCTATCTTTAAGATATTTAATGTGAAATATTCAACATTTCTTCATAAAATATTTTTAACATTTTTTTTTTGTTGCCCTCACATGGATTTTGAATAAAGCAATAAAAAATGGAGACTAAATTTTATACTCACTTGCACATCTGTCGATTGTTTCACTACCATTCACACAGCTGATAGTGTGTTAGTTGTAATGAAATGAAAGCAATTGAATTTCAAACTTAATATGTCTAAAAATGTTTGCAATGTTATCTTGTCGGTCTCCTTTTTCATGATTTGATAAAAGTTTAACAATGGTATTTAAAAATTTGATAATTTTTCATATCAAACCAATGAAAGCTAAATATAAATACACTGTAAGAATATCTGATGCAGACATAGACCCTATAAATGTCACTACGCAAACAATAGTGTAAGTGTGACTTATATTTGACAAACATGTTTCTAGTGTAACTTTCCCAAAGAATTGTAAAACTTACATGTTTAATGCATTCCAATTTTGTTAGATATTGATAAGATTTTTTCATAAGAGTAACAAATGACAGTATGTTAATTAAATGAACAGAATTATCCGAAAATTAGTTAGAGGTTCATTTATTGCTTCATTAAGGTTTTATATTCACAATATTCTCTTCCATTTTATTTCCATATTTTGCATACTTTGGAATTGATGAACAGTGTTTGTAGATTTTTGAGGTTTCATAGTTGCATGTTTCAGTGAAGTTTTAATCAAAGTTAAGTTCCAAATTCCATATCAAAAGCAGATTTTTCAAAGTTTAGATGAAACATTTTTTTTGTGTGTAAAATTGCTTATGTTTAAAGTTTGATATTGGGTGTTTTAAGTAGAGTATAATGTCATCAGTACAGTTCAATATTTGTAAAAAAAAAATATATAATCATTTAAACCTATGCAATGTATTCCGTCCTTGAGAAGTATTTATTTTCTTTTGCTATGCAGATGATTGATTTGATACTTTGTTTACATAGGCATAAAAATTCCAACTTTCAGTGATAAAAAATGGCATTGTAAAATTTCATTCTTTGAAGTTCAAGTCATTATGTTAAGGTACATATAATTTCCGGACTAATAGTTGTGTCTGTTTGTTATGCCACAATATCTTTTTATGTCAGGGAGTTTGAAATAATTATGTTGTGTCTTACTGTGTTTTTGGTATGGTAGGTGTTTCTTGTAGATACTTTTGCTATATTTCATAAAGGTCTTGACACTTTCTTTACATTTTATTTTGAATACATAGTAAAACTTAACTGTATACTGCAGAATTGAAGATATACAAACATATCTGTGGTGGTTAGAATTGCTATTTAGTATAGAAAGTCTCAGGTCTTTTTTTCCATGGTAAAGCTAGCTAGTACATTGTACTTCTTTCTATTACGTAATAAATTTTGTTGTGCATTAATCAGACAAATAGCTAAGCAGAACATATCAGTAGGGATATTCTATTTTGTGCGGAGCTGTATCAAACTTTAACTATTTGTTGGATGCACAATTTATTTGATTGTCTGATCTCCATCATAGATCTTATTCATTGTATTTTAACAGTGGTATTTAGCACCTAAATTTTCCTAAAAATAAAAGATTGATCAAATTTTGAAATCAAACCTGTGTCTTATAAGAAATGCGTTTAATATGTGAGTTAATTCAGAAATATTTTTGTATGATAAAATTTGTTAATTTATGGCATATTTAAACGTAATAACTTAATATTGGGTAAAAAAACATGACATTTAGGGTATGATGTTTAATTATGTTGATTGGAAGGATATTATATACATGTAGTATATTTGAAAAAAAAGCATTCCATATAAACAAATCAAAATAGTTTTGTTTCTTGGCATTATTTATTTATATACATGCATGTGATAAATGTTTGTGTTTTATTTTATTTAGATTTATGGCACACTATAATGACAATTTTATCTTGTGCTTGTAAATATAAATGTCTGTTTAGTGAAAATGACATGCTTAGTATTTTTGTCATAAATCTGATAAAATTCATATACTACTCGGTGTCTATTCTCCTGAAAATAATTTTACTAATTCTGTAACAAACAGATTGATAGTGAATTATTCATTTTCACATAACTATCAACTCTTCTATAGGAAATGAATGTTACATGAAAGTTATGTTTACGAGGGATATTTGTATGTTAAGCCATCTCCTGCCACCTGTATCTGTGATATATGTATGCTATATACACATTTATGTTATATATACAAATCCCCTGATTTCTACAAATACATACCTTAGACACCTACATACACATGTTAACACATAGCAGAATTTGTCATTGTACACTTACTTACCTTGCTCCAATATTAATGTATTTAACAAGTTTTCCAGTTCATTCAACTATAATTTCTTAAAACAAAACCCTGTATATTGCAATCATTGACATTGACTTTATATGATGTCTTCTTACCTAGCATTTTTCATACCAAAATCCCTTGCATACAAAATGGGCTGTTCCAAAATATAAATAAGTAAAACTCCATTACACAAGTCAGTGGAGTAAATCAATTTTGAGATGGTTTAATCAAGAAGTATATTTTAATGTTTTGTCTTAAAGAAAATATGAAAAATAAATATTTTTAGAGAATTAAAGACACACATTTGCGAAAATATTTGTTTAGTCTTCAACTTGATATTCAGAAGTATCATTTATTCCAGTTTTCCGATTAAATGAATATGTTCTTATAGGTCTGATTGTTTTTGATTATTCTATATCATATATGTATATTATGCTAATATTATTTCAATTTTATTGATAGTTCATGTTTTCATATTTTAACATAACATAGTTGTTTAGAGATTTGAGAATTTTACAACAAAATCATGTACACTATTTGTTGCTCTGACCATATTTAATGTATGTTCTCTTATTAAAATGTGCCAATTAAAACGTAGATCTTAATAACTGGTTTGTTGGTCATTCAATTCTCTATATATATGTAGTACCTGGGATACATGCGTCACATTTTGATTTAGAATCTGTTGGTTAGAAAACATGCCATATGCCTAGTATTTACCTGTAGAATTGACAACGGCTTATCCAGTTAGGGAGCTAAGCATCGTATTTGTAATCCATTGGAGGCTGGTTTGACCTTTGGGCGAGGCAAAATTTCTCCGAGACATCTCATCTGGGACATTTAGTCTAATGACGGTGTAACACCAAAACGGACACGGTCTGTTTAAAGTTTTAACGGAGGTATTTGTTTAAAAAAAAGAGAGAGAGAAAATGCTGCAGACCGCCTGGTGTACTTAACTCCGAGTACATCTAGTGTAATAAGATTTATCTAATTGCGAAACAGTAAAATACTTCTGTTTTTATGGATTAACTGATTTTTATACACCAGAGTCAATTCACAATGTTTCTGCATGATATGATAGATTACTGGTGTTGAGTTGGGGTTTGAATCAAAGTAAAAAAAACGCGGCTCGGTAACAACACTCGTCATTTATTGTTTGGGTCTGCAAATATCATGGAAAATCGGATACATAACAATGTCTGTTCGTCTGTGTATGTTACAGCAGGAAGTGGCTCCAGCTATAAGAAACTGACGGTTAGAAATCGCTGGGCATGGAACAAACGTGGCGCAACATCAATTACACTTAATCTTAGGAAGTAACACAAATTGGAAATTACGAGTAGCTAGCCACAAGTGTATATTTACATAATACATATTTATTATTAGACTATTACACGTATCGACAATAGAAAAGAAAATGTTAAGTACGACGTTACAAATGTATGTATGAGATGATGTGGTACTAAAACGTGTGTGTTGCTTTAGTAGTGTGTTCCATAAACGTACATATAAACGCAGTCTATATTTTCATGTAATTTTCTAAAGAATGAAACAATTTGCTGTCGTTCATACACTGCCATGTTTCCTTCTTTGGTTTTAAATTTCAGAGATGTTGGGTTAAAAAAAACTTAATTGTAACATAAACCAGATATGAATACAATTATGAAATTATGTCATCGTGTTTTAGCAAAAGCAGACCATGTGACTTCGAAGTTTAACCTTTGCTTTGTTGTGAAAGTAAATGCACACCTTGGGTGTCTTTCGTAGAATATCAATAAAACTATCACGTTTGTTGGTAAAGTGCATTAACCATAAATGAGTAAAAAAGTACATGTAACAAAGAATCAATGTACAGTTTAAAAGAATAAATCAAAGCACAGAAGGCGCTGAATTTGTTTGGGTCTCAGAATGTCAGAAAGATGAAGGTTGTGAGATTATAAACCAATTTGTTTTTGTAAAGTGCCATCAATGCTTTCCACCGTTTTAGTTGTAGTAAATTGACTATAAGACTAATTTAAACACTGATATTCAATTTTTATTTGACTTAAACAATTTGAAAAAAAATGAGTTGCCTTAACTGGGATTTGAAATCCAGACCTCTCGCTACCTAAGCGAGCGCACAAACCCCTCGGCCACGGTGAATTTATATGTTAACAGCCTGAAGAAAACTATATTATTATTTTCTCCCTCACTTACGTTCGTCCGAAAATAAAACAATTATTTGCTATACTTGACAAGGAAAAACAAAAACAGTATCGAGTTAGAAGGCGGTTTGCTACTTTTTATTTCTTAAAGTCGACAAATATTTTCTCATAGCAATACATGAATAATAACGTATTTTATCATGTAATAAAGACAATATACATCTCCAAAGACAATATTCAATCAACATAATTATACAGATAATTGAGCCATTGGACAGTTTTGTTACAACATAAAGCAACAATCTCACTTGTTTAGACCTTAAATTAACTGAACAAAAGTAATGTTACTTGTACAGTAGCAAACATCGAATGACTATTTAGCCGCGAAATACGCACGAGAAAAACGAGAACTATTCATACCAAATACTTTTAAATACCACAAAGCAAAAACTAGAAAGTACCGAAAACAATATTTATTCTAGATTAGGGTTTGTAACGCCGCTAACTGTTGTTTAACACGGATGTAAATAATCATGGAGCTTACTATAAGCATGTATATCTATAAAGAATATAAAACAATATTAGAAATATTCGACCATTCGGGAATTATTTTGCTTGAAAATTAATGCGCCTGTCATTTGACCATCTTTACGCAGTGATCTCACCTGAATTTTTCGGCGTTAGTTTACATATAAAGGGAAGTAACCGCTTCAAAAAAGCGGACTACTTTCGGCACTTGCAATTAACAGCATATTAGAGTCTGAAATTTCGCTACCATTATTTGTTTGGTCTGACGACCGAAACAAATTAAAATGAAGTTAGTCTTAATAATACTGACTTCTGCGTTTCTTCATGCTTGTTAAACAGACCGAAGAGAAAACCAACATAGAAGAAAAATAAAAGCATGAAATATTCTACTTAACTATGGATTTCGTTCGAGTTTTTTTCCACTTTTCACAAAAGAAATGACATTTAAAAATAAAATTCTCAAACATTCTATATCTACGCTTTTTTTCTTAGACTGTCTGTAGCATTGCTATTTTCCTTATACATTTGTATTTAATGCATACGCGTTGTGACAAAATATATCAACTTAAAAGGGCGACCTTTGGTTATTGCTGGCCAAATGATGTCTGACTAACAGGTGCTTAACAGACGTTGTCCGTTTTGGCCATATACTAGTATACGCCTTGCTTATGTCCATCTGTCTCTCGGCGCTAAATCAGGAATCACGTGGGATAAATAGTTATACTTTCAGAGAAGTTAGGTATTCAGGAAAGCCGGGGAGGTGGACCCTCCGGGATATGACAAAAATGTAAAAATAAAAAAACCCGGCAAATCTGACAAACAGACAACTCGCAATACAATTCTTACAGACATGTACATGTTGTTTTTATTTGTATCTCATTAATGTTTGGTCAGTCGATAAGGAATTACTGAGACAGAGCATCCATTTCATATGAAAGACACAATTTTCACCGACTCACAACACGAACATACATGTGCAGTTTTTTTTAAAAGCATTGTATTGGGAAAAAAGATACTGTCATCATAATGTTTCTTTTAAAACATCCTTTACGCAATCTATTATCATGTATCCAAATTTTTTTAACAATAGATAAACTGATATTAGTTCTCAGAATATGCCAATGTCATTGAAACCAGAGGATGAGTGTCTTGATAACTTCATAAGGTAGAAAATATTGGACGATCTACTTGTAAGAATTAGTCTCTTTATTTGTTCTTGTAATCTCAAAGAAATAACTGCTATAAAAGGAAAGTCATAAATACTTTTTGGTTACGGATATATATTTCAATACATATAAATATGTGTAATTTATTATCAAGCTCGGTATGTATACTTAAATTACAGTCATGATAATGTTCTGATAAATGTACTTTATTTATTGTAAGCTTAATGTAAAATATTTTATTATGTCATGTTATTACAATGTCATGTCTAAATAATTGTTTGATTTTTTTAAAAGGAAACATTGAAATAGCATAAATTAATTGAAAATGTTGCAGGCTCAGTTTGATCAAATTTGTTTGTAGTTAGCATTTTGTTAAACGGACTCCAATGAGTTTTTTTGACATGACATGGTTGGAAATATTTTTCCGAGATCATTGGTCCATTCGATGTAGATCTGAATCAATAACTTGTGTGCAATTTTCAAATCATTCCCTGTTGTTTTTTTTTTACAGAATTTATTGTGCCATATGACCCAAAACTGAAAAGCGTTGCAACGTTTTTCACTTAAATGGCCTAAAAATTGCACTTACAATCGATTTTCAATTTAAATTCTGTGTATATTTCTTTACCATCCTTTGCAAGCTTTTCCAGACTTAGTGCTTAACTTTATCTACGTAAATTTTATGTTTTTAGGCTTTTTGACCTCCGTAGAGCTCCTTTAATTGAATGTAAGCTACTACCCGCGCTTCCTAGCACCTACTTCTAAAGCATTACATTTTGAATACGTTGCAAATAGAATATTGATACTTCAATACATCTATAGATTTATCACCTCATCACACGACTATCATGGAACCTTCAATAAGACACTGACTTGCATGTGTATCATAGTATTTGTGCTAGAACAGACTAATGCGGGTGTTGCACCAACAGCCTCAAAAAAAACTTCAAACTAATATGTCAACATCTATAAAAAAAATAATGCTTTCCTCAACTGAATTTCACCCACCTTTAATCCAGTTACATTCAGTCATATTCTCTTTTCAAATTAAAATACATGTACATACAGTTGTATAAGATATTCAAAGTAATTTTATCCGGCTCTCTGAATGACACTTCAAAATGCATGCAAACAAAAATAAGCAGACGTCTTTTATCGTGACTGGTAGCAAAATAAATGTGGCCATCGACATGCTGTATGGGTGCAGAAACGTCTCTTTGAGATTGTTCGTGTACCATATGAGGACGTTGAAACATTTGATAAAGTACACCTATACGTTGGAAGGCATGCAAATGACTCGAAGGATGCATATGTTGCATATATGGCGCCATAAAATGTCCTCACCCCCTCCCAAAGTGAAAGATTACTGTTCAGTGAATGTCCATTAGAAAGATTTTTAGATGTGGGCAATCGTTTTAACTATAGCCCATTATTGACAGCTGGACTTAGCAAAAGTAAAGAAGAGCATTTATTTTGTTTTGTCGCTTTCAGTAATCGAGATCATTATTGTTTCAAAGAAAATGGGAAAGTGTCCTAATTTAAAGGTTCTATCCATACCCATAATTCACCCTTTCGCGTATTTTGTGTAGGTGCGTGTAAGAGAAGAAAAATGCAGGAGAAATAAATGATGCCTATTGTTCTTGTGAGAACATTGAGATAAAATTGGGATAATAAGATGAAATATGCACTCAAGATTGACAACTACATTTCTACTTACACTGCAGTCCCCACATCTCTTTTTTACAGCAATTTATCTAGTAAATAATAATAATAATAATAATAATAATAATAATAATAATAATAATAATGATAATAAACACCTAAGAAATTTATTTTTACAGACTGAATATTTCACAACTTTATTGCAGAAACGTAACATTTGATAATATTTCAAAGACAATCAAAAATTTATAAAGCCTGTAGTTATATACATGTACATGTAATTGTTTACATAAAAACAAAGAAAGAAAATTTAAACTAGATAATTTTCTTTAACTTTGCTTAACTAAAATTTACAGTGGTGTCAATTTCACAGGAGTTCGTCCCGTTGATTGGTCCCTTCGCAAAAAAGATACATATATACTATGATTTTTTTTTGAGTGCGAAGTACCAAATCAACACGCCGAACACCTGTGGTCAAATCAGGTGCAAAGAGGTTCTGTCAGGTACCAAGCCATGCAAGCGAGCGGCTTTACGCTGTACCATCTCGATCTCTTTGCTAATGGACTCCAAACTGTCTGAACTATATGGCTCTAACGCGGGTTTTGAAGGCACACTATATAAAAATGATTGTTTTCTGTTAAGAAGCTGTTGCGTTATCAATTAAACTTTATATCATTTCACCAACTAAAATCATTGTTTCTTCCTTCGTTTTCCCCCCTCCCGAACAGTTTACGCTTGTGCACACTGAATTATAAATTACCAAGCTTTAAACATATTTATGTAAATTTATTATATACTGATATGCGAGAAGTTCCCGTATAAAAACCGTACTTACGTAAAAACTATAATTTAATAGAGCTACGCCCACCCACCAAAAACAAATTGATTGTTACACATTAATATTCGGCGTGTCAATCCAAATATGTTCTTAATATATAGAATCACTTTTAATTACGGACCCCTAACGAAATTACCAATTATTTTCTATGGAGAGAAGTAGTTCCCGTACATCTACAAAAAATATAGCCCATAATGATAATACCATGTGGATATATATCAGTCCTATTTTACATTTATAATTGTTGCAGAAACCGTTTTTCCAGAGGTAAATCTGCATGGACTATAGATCTAATCATGATAATTAAACACTGGTATATCTACTATTATTTGACGAGTACCGTACGTTGTATCCAAACACATGAATTCGCTTGTATGCATGATATTTTACCCATTGAAACTATAACTTTATTTAATTTGGTAATATAGGCCAACATTTTGATAGATCTATCTATACAAGTTTTCATCCTATTGCACACTTATCTGTACACAGGCATGCAATACATTTTATATGAGGTAGATCTAAATATACATTTAAAAAAAAAAGGTACTTGACACGCTATTTTATATCTTTATTATCCTGTATTGGATCACGGATCAATACCTCATCATCGGATCACGACTATCATGGAACCTTCAATAAGACACTGACTTGCATGTGTATCATAGTATTTGTGCTAGAACAGACTAATGCGGGTGTTGCAACCAACAGCTCAAAAAAAAAATTCAAACTAATATGTCAACATCTATAAAAAAAATAATGCTTTCCTCAACTGAATTTCACCCACCTTTAATCCAGTTACATTCAGTCATATTCTCTTTTCAAATTAAAATACATGTACATACAGTTTGTATAAGATATTCAAAGTAATTTTATCCGGCTCTCTGAATGACACTTCAAAATGCATGCAAAATCAAAAATATAGCAAGACGTCTTTTATCGTGACTGTAGCAAAATAAATGTGGCCATCGACATGCTGTATGGGTGCAGAAACGTCTCTTTGAGATTGTTCGTGTTACCATATGAGGACGTTGAAACATTTGAGTAAAGTACACCTATACGTTGGAAGGCATGCAAAATGACTCGAAGAGATGCATATGTTTGCATATATGGCGCCATAAATGTCCTCACCCCCTCCAAAGTGAAAGATTACTGTTCAGTGAATGTCCATTAGAAAGCATTTTTAGATGTGGAGCAATCTTTTTTAACTATAGCCCATTATTTGACAGCTGGACTTAGCAAAAGTAAAGAAGAGCATTTATTTTTGTTTTGTCGCTTTCAGTAAATCGAGATCATTATTGTTTCAAAGAAAATGGGAAAGTGTCCTAATTTTAAAGGTTCTATCCATACCCATAATTCACCCTTTCGCGTATTTTGTGTAGGTGCGTGTAAGAGAAGAAAAATGCAGGAGAAAATAAATGATGCCTATTGTTCTTGTGAGAACATTGAGATAAAATTGGGATAATAAGATGAAATATGCACTCAAGATTGACAACTACATTTCTACTTACATTGTAGTCCCCACATCTCTTTTTTACAGCAATTTATCTAGTAAATAATAATAATAATAATAATAATAATAATAATAATAATAATAATAATAATAATAATAATAATAATAATAATGATAATGATAATGATAATGATAATAATGATAATAAACACCTAAGAAATTTATTTTTACAGACTGAATATTTCACAACTTTATTGCAGAAACGTAACATTTGATAATATTTCAAAGACAATCAAAAATTTATAAAGCCTGTAGTTATATACATGTACATGTAATTGTTTACATAAAAACAAAGAAAGAAAATTTAAACTAGATAATTTTCTTTAACTTTGCTTAACTAAAATTTACAGTGGTGTCAATTTCACAGGAGTTCGTCCCGTTGATTGGTCCCTTCGCAAAAAAGATACATATATACTATGATTTTTTTTTGAGTGCGAAGTACCAAATCAACACGCCGAACACCTGTGGTCAAATCAGGTGCAAAGAGGTTCTGTCAGGTACCAAGCCATGCAAGCGAGCGGCTTTACGCTGTACCATCTCGATCTCTTTGCTAATGGACTCCAAACTGTCTGAACTATATGGCTCTAACGCGGGTTTTGAAGGCACACTATATAAAAATGATTGTTTTCTGTATAAGAAGCTGTTGCGTTATCAATTAAACTTTATATCATTTCACCAACTAAAATCATTGTTTCTTCCTTCGTTTTCCCCCCCTCCCGAACAGTTTACGCTTGTGCACACTGAATTATAAATTACCAAGCTTTAAACATATTTATGTAAATTTATTATATACTGATATGCGAGAAGTTCCCGTATAAAAACCGTACTTACGTAAAAAATATAATTTAATAGAGCTACGCCCACCCACCAAAAACAAATTGATTGTTACACATTAATATTCGGCGTGTCAATCCAAATATGTTCTTAATATATAGAATCACTTTTAATTACGGACCCCTAACGAAATTACCAATTATTTTCTATGGAGAGAAGTAGTCCCGTACATCTACATAAAATATAGCCCATTAATGATAATACCATGTGGATATATATCAGTCCTATTTTACATTTATAATTGTTGCAGAAACCGTTTTTCCAGAGGTAAATCTGCATGGACTATAGATCTAATCATGATAATTAAACACTGGTATATCTACTATTATTTGACGAGTACCGTACGTTGTATCCAAACACATGAATTCGCTTGTATGCATGATATTTTACCCATTGAAACTATAACTTTATTTAATTTGGTAATATAGGCCAACATTTTGATAGATCTATCTATACAAGTTTTCATCCTATTGCACACTTATCTGTACACAGGCATGCATACATTTTATATGAGGTAGATCTAAATATACATTTTAAAAAAAAAGGTACTTGACACGCTATTTTATATCTTTATTATCCTGTATTGGATCACGGATTTATATTTCATGTAATTTAAATCCGAGATTGGATAAGCAATATATTTAGAAAAGAGATAGCACAAGTAGGCCTGCGCATAAACGTCAGTAGTTCACAGGCTTTTAATTTTACCGCGAAAGGAACTTAGTTGCCCCCGCTGGACCGTAGGCCGTATGATTTTCTCGTTGCTCGTGTGAAACAACGTGATGTCACCAAAACAATGGCCGACGAAGATCCTGCAAAATACGGTTCATCTCCGGCAGAACAATATAATCCTTTAGAAGATGAAATGTATGTTTATTTTTCGTTGTTTTAATACTTGATCCAACAATCTTCAGACTGCATCGTGATTTTAACGATATGCGTGCCATGATTCCTTGCAATTACGCAATATTTTTTGCAGTTCAGAACATGTCTTGCAGCATGCAGTGGGTGGGGTACATGCAATTATTGAGAATCATCAGAATGTGTCGTTTTTTTTGAAGATATACCGTTGACAACTTGTTTAAGGTCACAGCATATTCAGGCCAATAATAATTACGCGTTTAACACAGCTTGTTGTATGTTAAAATTGCTGGCTCCTGATCTTACAGAGTGATTTTATGAACTATTTTTTTATTTTGTCTAGGAGGTAGGCTATGACTGTGATGTAGAAAGCAGTTATATATATATTAAAATAACAATTAATTTTTAGTGTTATTTGTACAAGAACTTGTTGACTTCTGTATATGTGTAGTGGAATTTTTAAAGCAACATAAAAGGATCAGCCACTGACTAAAAAGTAAACTATCAGTTTTGCTACAGGAATTTTTGCCCATGTTTTGCTGTCAGAAAATTACTATCTATCTATCTTCCACTAATATTAAACCCCTTGTAGGGATGTCAAAATCGCAAGAAAGTTAAAAGAAGTTTTTTTAAAAGAGGATAAAAGAATAATATGAAAATAGGCAAAGCTTATGAATGGGGAAGACAGTTAAAATAGTTGTTCATTTTAAGAGTGTTATTCAGAATTTCATGCACCGCTTCTGTTTTTACTAGGAACACCTCAACTATTATTATTGAGCCGAAAAGTTGCGATTGTTCCGTTATCGTAATACCCACAGTCATCGAATTTAGCACTGGCCCAGTGGCCCATGGCCAATGAAAATTAGTTTGGGTCAGTGAAAATTTTAAGAAAATTTAGTTAAATATATAGTAGAATACATTCAAAACTGGAATTCGGGCTAGTAAATTCAAAATCTTAAATTCATTGACAGTACCCACATTATTATCATTTAGTTTTATTGAAATTGTCAGTGCCCAACAAGATATGACACTGAAAATTTCACTGATAGGTATAGAGGTATAGAAATTTATATATTTTTAATGGTTTTTAATTGGTTTCCTTTAAAATAATTATACATGTTTAGTCTATAGCTGGCCAAGCTGGGCAAGCTCCGTGGACCCGGCCCTTGACTTCCCCGTTTAAAATGTTAAAAATGGGGCATTGATAAATATGGCTGAAAGTAATTTTTAACCAGATCTTGGACATAATATAATGGAAAAAGCTCCTACTTACTAGGTGAGAGGTCTTGTGTTGGCATCTAATTGTCAACCATATGATTATGACAAAATGGTGATGCGTGATCATACAGTTTGGACCAAAAGTTAAATTTTGTGGTACAAATTCAAAGTTGATAGACCCAGTATAACTATATATTACATGTATGTCCCAGACTATGAACAGACAAATAGAATACCAATCAGTGTTTTTTTTCTCCACTTTTTGGGGAAGGAGGTCGGTGCCCTTTGGAGGGGGAAAAATGCAATAGGAGGGGGGAAATTTATTACTTCACAAATGAGGAGAAATGAAAAAGAATCCAGTGCATATTTTAATATATCACTTATCACTATAAGATTTACTGTTGTGCGACTAGGGCTGGGGCAAGTATCAGAGTACTCAGATAATCACGGCTCAAAATGAAAAATTGAGTACAAATATTTGTCAATTCAGAGATTGTGGATTGCAATCTTATTTGTTTATATACATTCACTGTTTCTCAAACTCTAAAAATAAAAAAAAATGCAATTTGAGTATGAATTATGTGACGTTCATCTAAATACAATTTGCCGATTAAAGACAGGAAGTAAACAAACAAGTACCATGACACTGAACTAGGAAGTCATTAGTTTCAAAAAAGGAATTTCTTTATCTTTATTTAGCACTATGTTTTCCATGAAAATAAATACATGTATAGAAAACTGCTTTATTTTTGATAATCCAAAATTATGTTTACAGTGATTTTTTTACCTTTATTTTACAGCCGAATAAGGGCTATTTCCCCTTGTCCAAAAAAGATATATTTTCCCCTAAAATGCTAATATTTTCCCCAAATGCCCTGTGCACGTTCTTCACCAGAATCATTACTTAACAGCATCTGACTTATATCAGCTAGAAGACAGAAAGTGGTCCCTATAGATAGCCTGTGCTACGAACCATGCATGTTAAATTGAATTGAAATTGAAAATTTTATAAAATGTGTGGGTAAATTCTTTTCTAAATTGGAATTTGATTTTCCCCTTTTCTGATTTATCACGCTATATTTTCCCCTTTAAAAAGCCTAAGGTTGTTTTAAAAATCAATAAAAAAATCACTGGTTAATAATTACGTCAGTGTGACATTAACATCCTGTCTGCAACAGTGGCTAAAAAGGAGTCACGCTGATAAAAAGTTCAACCAGCAAAATTTACTTCCACTGTTTGGAAATACTTGATCTTTCATGTGATTAATCACGTTCTAATACCACTGGTATAAGTCAGTTTGCCATGGCATGTTTTACAAACTGCTTTTTATGCCCCCGCCATATAATGGCAGGGGCATATAGTGTTACCCTGTTCCGTCATTCCGTCCTTCCGTCATCATCAGTTTCCGTTCATTATCTTAATAACCTTTGCACATATTGAACTCAAATTTGACATATGGATATGTCATGAGAAAATACAGGTCAAGTTCGAAATTGGTCATGGTTCGATGATTTTTGGCAGAGTTATGCCCCTTTTACTTTGAAAATAATATGAAATTTTCAGTTTCCGTTCATTATCTCCCCAACGGTACAACACATTCAACTTAAACTTGATATATGGATATGTCATGAGAAAATACAGGTCAAGTTGGAAATTGGTCATGGTTCGATGATTTTTGGCAGAGTTATGCCCCTTTTACTTTGAAAATAATATGAAATTTTCAGTTTCTGTTCATTATCTCCCCAATGGTACAACACATTCAACTCAAACTTGACATATGGATACGTCAAAGGAATGTGCAGGTCAAGTTCAAATTTGGTCATAGTTTGATGATTTTTGGCAGAGTTATGCCCCTTTCACTTCAAAAATAATATGAAATTTTCAGTTTCCGTTTATTATCTCCCCAACATTATTACACATTCAACTCAAATTTGACATATGGATATGTTTTTGGAATGCGCAGGCCAAGTTCGAATTCGGTCATGGTTCAATGATTTTTGGCAGAGTAATGCCCCTTTCACTTTGAAAATGATATGAAATTTACAGTTTCTGTTCATTATCAACCCAACAGTGTTACATATTCAACTCAAAATTGACATATGGATATGTCAAAGAAATGCGCAGGTCAAGTTGGAATTTGGTCATGGTTCGATGATTTTTTGGCAGAGTTATGTCCCTTTCACTTTGAAAATAATATAGATACATCTTAGGAATAAGCAGTTTAAGTTTGAATTTGGTCGTGGCTCAATGATTTTGGACAAACTTATCTTTCCTGAATGTTGGAAAATTTTTGAACTTTCAGTTTCAGCACTCATACTTTTGTGGAAATGTATATTAGACTAAGCCATTATTTTGGCTACAAATATGCAATATGCTATTTTCAAAAAGTTAAGACTGAATAATTTCAGTGCCTTGAACATTGTATAAAAATGGTTTGTGTTAACATTGAAAAGTTTTAAGGGCTTTGAACTTAGAATGAAAAAAATAATTTGTGCAAATTTGGAACTAAATATTATAACATTTGAAATTTTGGCTGCATGCGGGGGCGTGATGACACATTTCTAGTTTCTCATTTTCAATTGTGAATAACCAAGATATTTGCAAACATTGGAAGTAAATTTTGCTGGTGAAATTTTATTTTGGCGTGACTCCTGTTCAACCTTTGAACCTATTTTATAGGTGCATATATGTTTAATTTTAGTATTTTTTAATGAAAAATAAACATGTTTTCGGAACTTATGATCATGTTTTTATTGGTGTCTTGATAACAAAAGATTCGTGGTTTGATTTGTCAATCGTAAGTGTTGAATTGTGGATCGGATCGAATCGTCACTATCAACGTTCCACATTCCTATGTGCGACATTGTTTTCTTTCCGGTAGAAAAGGGGGGCAACTCTTGCAACACAAGTTTAAAATACGTTGCTTACAGATCTAAAATATCGACAGCAGAATTTAGAGGGTCGCATGTTAAACTTGTTGGGACGCCCTGGGTAGCTCCCCTTACCTACCCGGGAACGATTTGATGCTTAACAGTAAGTCTTACAGGCATGAAATTTTTCGGCAGTTACTGTTAGTTGCAAAAAATGATATTCATTGCAGGCAAAGTCAGGCTGCCATATGGGGGAAAATTTCAGCTTGGAGGGGGAAAAAACATACTATTTTGAGGGGGGAATGGGGCCAAATTTCGCTGAATATTTTGGTGAAAAAAAAAACACTGCCAATTGACAATGATCAACAAAATAAAATGGCTGTGTGCACCTTATTGGTCATATTAATGATTAAACAGAAAATGATTGTAGCGAGTACCCATGCAGTTATGTCAAAATGTGCGAAAACAGTAAAAATTAAAATGAAGTTATATGAAGCTTTAAACAATAGAAATTTATTTATCAGAAAGTCTACCATTTTTTTCAAGTGCTGGAGTGATCATTATTGCAAATCATGTAGATCCGTTGAGATATTTGGAGGGGTATGGTTCAGGTGTACTCTTTCAAACCATTTAAAAACATTTATCCAAAGTTCATAAATGAGAACAATGTATAGCATTACAGATCATGCACAGTGTCGTTCTTGAAGGATCAGACTAAATATAAAACACTGATTTGGCAAAAACATAATACAAACAGGATTTACTGAAAAAGCCTGACTTTCCAGACGAGGAGTAACTTCTAACTGTTCTTGGTCTCGCATGATATATAGACATGGCAGTATATTAGAATAAATTTACATCAACTTCTATTCTAATATAGAATTTTTTGTCTTGGGAAATGGCATTTAAGGCATTAAGATACGCTATAATGCAAGACCATCCGCGGGCCTCCTTGACCTCTGGCCGGGCAACATGCAATTGGCTATCATGAGGCGACACATGTGATCTCTGATTGCTTTTGTTACTAGGCCTAAATTAAATATTGTTTTTTTTTCCCTTCTGCTACCTACCCACAAAAATCACAGCTACCCAACCTACACTATCCAAACTGGCATGGGTCATGGGAGGGGAAACAAAGATAATTTTAAGGCTTGTCCTACTCAGAAATTCCCAGTCCAAATTAGGTATTAACAGTTGAAAAAGCAGAAAATAGGGAGAAAAAAATATTTACAAAAAAATGAAATGGATTAAAAACATCTAATTAATATTGAATTCAGCAATATTGCAAGAAGGTTTATAAATAATGAGATTATGTTTGGAACTTACATTAGAAATAGTATAGTTATAGAAAAATGTTTTGACCTACTTTCAGGCCATATTATGATGCAGTTAGTGCCCAGACATCTGATCATGATGCAGATATGAGCCAAAGTGATGATAATGCACCAGATCACCATGATGGTGATCAAGAACATAATTCCCTCGAAGGTCTTCTTGAAGAGTATTGTGAAGCAGCAGCTGATCAGATACCATTTACACCTCCGACTAATTCTAGACTGTCTAAGAGAGAGAAAATGAGAAATAACAGTGGGAAGAAGCCACAGTCATTTAAAGACTTTAAAGCCAGTTTGGCCATTGATAAAGCTAAGAAACCTAAAAGTGTTGTAGGTGTTATAAAGGAAAGGTACACAGAGAGTAATGCATTACTGAGTGGGCTTCATTACACTGACTCTGATGCCGACTTAGAAAGAGATAATTCACGGGAAGGAAAGGAGAAACGTAGAAAAGAACAAAATGAAAAGATGAAGAGTATAACTAAATCTAGACAGCATGAGACATTTGTAAAGAGACATTCTGAGGATATAACAGGAATGAGTGAGTACAGTAATTCAATGAGCATTACTACTCCTGTTTTACCCATAAAATTAGAAGGGTCAGGCCGGTTCCTGTCCCTAACTCCTGGACTTGCAAATAAAAGTGTTTTACTCTCACCTGTTGCCCCGGATAGAGGAGAAAGGCGACAGATTGCTACAACAAAATCTGATTGTCCAAAAGATAGACAAATGTTTTACAAGACATTCTCTGCTCTTATAAACATGGGGTCTCATGGAAAGAAAAAAGACCAGAAAGAAAAAGATAGTAGGATATTAGCACAACGACAACAAAGTTCTGATGAGAAACTTTATATGAATTTTGTGTGGATAGGTCTACAGGCATGGCTGAATGGATTAACTCCAACAGAACAAGAAACAATGATGAACGAAGAGAGGGAAAAGATTCCGGCAGTTCTAAAGGAAGTTATGGAATTTAAAGTGTTGTTAGCACCATCTGGTTTGTATAATGCTGTGAACCAGTTGTCTCCTGGAGATACTGGTGATGTGATAAACCGTGATAGTGCCTGTAGTACAGACACATGTCAAACAGACATCTCAGAGACATATCATTCTCTCTTTCTTAAAGGAGAGATAATAGCCCAACAACAAGAAGCTGTGATACAAGTGCAAAAACTTCTAGAAAAATTGGACAAATGTGAGCAGTTATTCCCTACATCTTATTCATTTGCCTCGGAATATTCCCAGTATAGAGACCAAAAATTTATTATGAGGGTTGAAACATTAAATTTGTGGTTAAATACTACAAAAGATTTGTGTCATAAGATGAATGTGCTAGGACAAGTGCTCAATAATTCTTCTGTGCCTGATAGTTGTTGGCCTTTTGTGGACTTCAACAGTCCAAGAGGCAGTGAATCTTTTGTCGCAGAGCAGGTATCTGGACTTCATAGACATAGTATTCCTGAAATAGTTCCAGGCGAAATGGAAAGTGATGAGTATGAGTCAGATACTGAAGGTGACAATGGTGTTGATCAGTCAGAAGGTTCTCAAACTAACAGTAGTACAAATGATGTGAAAAAGGTCAGCTTCCGGGTATCTGAACCTAAGAGAGGTCATATATCACCCCAGTCACCTCTTACTAGTCCAATTCGTGGTCCGAGTCCCAATTCATTTGGCAGTCCACCTGTTTCATCAACTCCCTTAAAAGGACCATTTTCATCAACATCATTGTCAAGAGCTTCTAGTGAAGCTAGTTTAGATGAGTTAGCAAAAGCGTCTATTTATAGAACATATGTTGATAAAGGCTTGAAGAAAATGGGCTTGAACAAAATGTTGATTCGTTTACGGGATATATTATACAGATCTTTACGAAGAGCAAGGCAGTCGTTGGAGCAGCAGCATGGGGATGCAGAGTCATCAGCAAAGGTAAAAGCAAAAGCTTTACTTCTTTATGTTGAGCACCATATAGCTTGATTGTGAGAGTATTAATCACTATCTATTGATGATATTGGACCATCTATATATCCAAAATGTTGGTCAGCAAAAGTCGGATCCATATGCTGAGTAGTGACTTATAAATTAGTGTTGAATATAATTATATATCTTTATTTCAGTCACCTTCATCAGATGAGTATTATCATGGCAATGTTGTGTCGCCAAGTCTGGAGCTCCTGGACAACAAGATTCTTTATAAGCCAATGGAGGTCATCACACCTGCCCAGCTACAGGCATGGCGTGATGAGTTCCTAGAAATAGGTCTTCCGTCCTACAGACCAACATATATCTTCCTGTTACAAGTATTACTTCAAGTCATTCATGAGGCAATGAAAATACGACTGGAACAACTCCAGAATCCTATTGGGGAGCCTTCTTTTCTTAGTATTAGACAGGTATGAATCTCTGCATAAGCTTGCTTTGTTATGTTTGGTTTTGATGCAGTTTATCGTACAATGCAAATGGGAACTTATTGAATTTATTGCTAAATTCTGGTATCATATTTAAGTGTCAATGATTACATGTCATAGGTCTATAGTGACTTTATTAATGCTCTTCTTTGCCTTCTGCCAACCTATATTAAATGCTATAGATGGCATTGCAAGATAAAAGGAAGAGCAGAAACCATTAAAATTTTTGGTATTAGCATGAAATTGAATATCAATATTAGGGAAAATATAACTAGCATTGAAGTGCAATGTGTATTCTGGTAGAAGCTAAATTTTGAATTGATAATTATTAATCATCTGCATGGAAGTCTTTTACTATAGAAATTCAAAATGAAATCAGTAACTTTTGATATTGAATTACATAAATAATTAATAGATATTCATATATGTTTCAGCTGATTATTGAGTGTAAAGATGTGTTAGCAAAGGCAGTGTTGGTCAAACAAGACTATCAGTGTATGATACAGGCTGTGTTAGATGATAAAGAGGTGAATGAGGAGAACTCTCCTTTAGACTTGGAACTGTTTGATGATGATATGTCTAATATGTTTAAGGTATGCAGTCTTATTATTTCACTTTGGGTTGAAAGGGCCTGGGGCAACAGCAGGGGGATAAAGATGGGGAATTAGGTAATTAAAAATTAAAATTAAATTATTATGTTTGATGGAGGTACATGTAAATTATTATGTTTGATGGAGGTACATGTATTATGAAGTGACATTTTATGAAAATTTAAAATTGAACCTATACTTTCAAAAGTGAAGGGATAAATATATTGCTTAACTAGGGAGAATAACACTAACACAATGTATGTTTAAAAAAAGCTGAGATTTGTTTTTTTGTCTTTACGTGAAATACTTGCATCCTTTATATTCAGGTGACACATTTTCCAATAAGTCCCTGTTTCCAAGTTTGAAAAACTGGAAAAGAATTTGGGGTTAAAACTGAAATACCATAAAATGATGTTTTCTATAATTAAACATTTATTTGAATGTTTCTAACAGTTTTTATATTTTGTATTTCAGATGTATTTTCAGTATTTACAAAGCTGGTTATACCACCTACAGAATCTCCCAGATGCCTCTAGAACACTGAAAAATCCTCTTGAGGAAGAGTGGAGTTTCACAAAGAAAATATGTCCACATATTATAGGTGGTGAGGCGGAGGCTGGCAAGAGATTTAGGTAATGAACTGTTGTTAATCTGTTTTTAAAACCAGTTCAAGTTTAGTGTGGTTTTAGTATAACATTTTAAAAATAAAATTATCGCAACTGTTAAGGTCATATGAGGAAAACCTAGTTGTGGCCTCTGTAAGTCTTCAAGATGCGAGAAGACAATACCTTCACTATTAGACAACCTCTTTGTTCAGTTTCTATGTTGATTTCTTGTTTTTAGCATGTCGAAGTATTTGAGCAATGTGCTGGACGACATTAATGAATGTATTTGCAGACATTTCCTGAATTGTTTTTCAGCATTTTCCTGTTAGTTTGTATGTATTGTAAATGTCATTTATTTTACAAAATTTTTAGAAAATAAATTGTGATGCATGACATGCTAAATTCATCTAGTTTTGTCATGGAGAAACAAAGTACATGCATTGAATACATTTACAATGCTTTTTTGTTGTTCAACTAATTTTAGGGAGATTTGTATATTTTTATGATAGGTTTTGTTTATCTTTCCAGCACAATGGCAATCAGTTTGTTGAATTCTATCTCTGACTTCCTTGAGTCAGGTGTTGATGAATGTACGACCAATTTGTTTGACTGGACGACCAATGATATATCTGGCTCGGAGGACGGCGAAGGTGAGAGCGATGAAGAACATGACACAAGTGTACGAAGGTCAAAGTCTACAACCTCTCTTAGGTAAATACTCCGACCTTGTTTAAAGTTGTTTGAATTTTTAAATCCAATGTGAACGTATTTAAGCATATGGATTGATAAATGCTAACATTTTTGTCCATAAGCTTTCAAAAGCCTATATACATGTATATTTATGTGAAAAGTTTTCATTTATTTATAATGAATGTAAGTGGTTGAGTGATTAGGATTGTTGACATTCTTCTTTAACTACTGTAGTCTCATTCACAAATTTTTAATATTCTTGTATTTATAATATTTTAATCATTTAATGTATGTCTTATTCAGAACATCATTCCAGAAGACTTGTCGAAACTTCAAGAACTTGTTTCATGAAGCCAGAGAAAGAGCCTCGAAGGCCCTGGGGTTTGCCAAACTTCTGAGAAAGGTAATATAATAAAAAAAAACTAATTTCTTAACTCTTTTAATAATAAATTTTCATTGTAAAAGCTATACATTTATATACATAATACATTTTTCTGTAACTTACTTAAATTTTTAATCTATCAGTGTATTGATTTAAAGAGATCCATCACAGGATAAATGTAACAAACAATTTTAATATAATTTGATGTTATGAAATTAAATGATATTTTATTCTGTCTGCATGTATATATTTTTGTTTATATTACAGGATTTAGAGATTGCGGCAGATTTTAATGTTGCCGTACCAATTGCCGAATTCTTGCAAAAACTGAAAGAATCTGATCATATTAATGTAAGTCCAGATCTTAACATTTATTGTTTATCAGTCCACTACTGTTAAATAATTTTTGTCCAGTAAAATATATTTCTTTTATAGATGATTATTTTTCTTTTTAATGGGTGGTTTATTATAGTTACAATATTATATTGTAATATTTTCTGTTAAATTATATTTAAATATATCTCCTGTTTTGATGCGTGTTTGCTGTCTATTTGTCCATTTTTGTGTTGTATTAAAGTTATCTAACTAGCATGGCAGGGATAATTGAAGTCTAGATAACAATCTAATCCAGGTATCTAAGTTTTGTAATTAAATTAATAAAAGTTAAATTTGTTATTAAAATTGGAAGGTGTTAGTGGTCTGAATAATTCAGTAGGTTGAAGAAAACTTTGATTTTGTTTGTTGTGCAGAAGAGTTAATTTGTTGCTTTATTATTAATCAGGTGATAGCTCCAATGAGTGCTGGTTATTTTATGTTTATACCTGCACGTATAGCCGAGCACCGGCGTCAGATTATACAACTGTTGAATGTTACGTGCGGACGTGAAGATGTTTCTGTCAGTTCTGATCTGTCAAACAGAGATGATGGTTATCTGTTGATGGTGAGATGTGGTGGAGGGTTAGACCAGACCAATGAATGTCCACTCTGGGACGGTCCGAGTATACAGGTGGAGCCGACAGCAGAAACTGCTATTGGTCTTTCACATATACAGGTGAGATATAATATATACAAACCATTATTGTCTTAGACATAACATCAGTGTTGTGATGAATTTTTCATGGTCATTTATTCCAATACTTCCAGTGTGAAAGATTGAAAACTATATAAGTTGGCCAGTGGTGTGCATAAATCATGTTGTATATTTCATTATCTCAGTCACATTTATAAGGTTTTATCTGCTTTTTTTAAACTATTTGTTTTTGTTTTTCATTGATACAGAGGAGCATACCTTTCTAAATTTTAGATAAAATTTCAAGTGTATACTGCATTTACAATAATAAGATGATCTTAGGATGATTGACATTTTCATGTTCTAGAAAAAGTGACATATTTTCATGCTTAATCTATGCTTATTGAAAGTTTCATCTATGATATGACAGAGTTATTTTGACTATATAAGTAGTTACCCATTGATCAATTTCAGTATATCAAATAAATACTGTTTTCATTTCTGCCTTTTCATTATATTGAAATTGCCTTCCCTTGCAATGGGTGACATAAGTACTTCTTTGTAAAATGTTTGCTGCTAAAGTATCTTTACAATACAGTCTGATCTACACTATTTGCGAATCTGTCAGTATATATTATAAACAAACAAGCCACATGAACATTTAGTAATTATTTATTGTAGACGTTTAGGATAGATGCTTTTATCAGTGCATAATATAATAAAATTAATTGAAGCGACATCATATATTTGAGCCGCGTCACGACAAAACCAACATAGTGCGTTTGCGACCAGCATGGATCCAGACCAGCCTGTGCATCCGCGTAGTCTGATCAGGATCCATGCTGTATGCTATCAGTTTCTCTACTTGTAATAGAGTTGGTAAACGAACAGCATGGATCCTGATCAGACTGCGCGGTCGTGCAGGCTGGTCTGGATCCATGCTGGTCGCAAACACATTATGTTAGTTTTGTCATGATGCAGCTCATATATTGAATTTTTCCCTATAGAATATCAATGATTTTGTCCAGACTGAAAGATGGACAAAGTTTAAGATATTTTGGAAGCAGCTATTATAATTTATATTTATGCGATGTTACAGGTTGAATCATTACTGTTAGTTGTGATACATTCATCACAGTTAGGGAACCAGCGTAAAGAGTTTGAGGCATTGATGGGCAATACAGTAGAGCTGGTGAACGAACAAACATCATGCCATCAAGTTATAGCAGAATCACTTATAGAACTTAAGGTATGGTATATTTTACAATATGTATTCATTCATGTCATTAACTGTTAGTCTGCGTGCGACAGCTAATTATATCCATGCAACTAATACAGATCAAAATCAGCCAGGACAGAATTTCGCTGGCATATGTGCCATTTGATCTTTGTCTGTTCTGCTTGCTACTCAGTCGGTATATATTTTGAAATATTTCCTAAAATTGATGAGAGGTTAAGTCCAGATTAAAAGATTTACAAGTCCAATTTAAGATATTTAGCATGGTGAAGGCTAGATTATTACTGTTACACTTAAAGATACTGCTCAGTGGTTACTGCTCAGTGGTTAAATGTATCTGTGTTATAGATATTAGGGTATTTCATAATATTGAATCAGCCTTTGTTTAGTCCTTTTTGAAAATAAAAAAATGTAGAGAGAAAAATAATTATGAAAAAAAACACTGGGTAACATTTTCAGGAGTCTGCTATAACGTTGCGTGATAAGGTAGCAACTGTGATACGTCAGGTAGAGGAACACTGGAACTGTGATTTGGAGATGGAGGAAAGCGAGAAAAATCATATCTTAAAATTATATAGGGAAACAATGCTACAGGCTTATAACTTCGGCTTCGAGGTAAATATTTACATGTATTATCATTATGTATTATAAAAAATAGCACCAGGACTGGTATAAAAGCGAGGTGTGTAAAACCAAACAATCCACAAAATAAAGAATAGTTAAACTGTGTTATATTCATTTATCATTATGCAAAGGTATTCAGGAGTCTGTGGTGTTAAACTTTTTAAATAAAGTAAACTATGAGGAAAGCATTTGTCTTATTGGAGGATCAGAATATTTTCAATCTTCCAACATCCTATGAAATTTAAACTTGTATTTGTAAGTGAAGCAGTGGTAAGGCTATTCTTAATATATCTGATTTGTCTTTAACTTAAGTTCTGTTTAAGCTGTGTTATTCATTTGTTTTTGTGGACTTGAGTTCCGTGTTGTTTCAAGTTTGTCTAGTATAACATTGAGCAGATATTAAAGATATGATTTTTTTTACTGTTTATAGGTCATATATCTACCCATTGATAATATTATGTATTGATAAGAGTAATTTATTTACAGTATATGAAGGAGGTGACAAGACTCGTGTCTGGGGAAACTAGACATAAACTTGGGCGTGGTCTCATGCATTTTGCCAAAGATTGGATGAAGTTTGTATCAGAGAAATGTGAGAGGGGTAGAGGTATGAGGCCAAGGTAGGTTACCATACATTTGATTTAACCTTGTAGATAATTTGTCACTGCACATAGATATAAGAAGATTAATTGTAATATTCTAAGAAATTGTAACATTCTAAGAAAAGTTTTGATTTGCAGAATAATCTAATGGACTATCATGGTACATTTTATCTAACATTTAATAGGTATTCCATAGTATTGCTTGTATGTGGTAATTCATAGTGTTGTTTTCTCTTTATTAAAAAATACATCTGGAAAAGCTTTCATTTCTATTTTAAATATTTGTCAGTTTTGTTAAGACTAAAATTTTAATGTACTTTATTAGCCTCATTAATATTTAACACTGATCCTACTTTGCAGTTTGTACTGCTGACATGATACACAAGAATCTCATGTAATGGTTCTAACATAAGTACATTTTGTCTATGAATGATATATACAAACTAAAACTAGAATCTGCGGCCTTCTTATTTAGTGAAGGTAAAAAACATTCATTTAACTGTAAAAACATTGCTTTTACACTAGACAAATGAAGGTAAATTATTAGACTTGTATATATTATTTCAGGTGGGCCAATCAAGGTTTAGACTTCCTACTGATTGCATGTGAGCCAAAGATACTTGCTGTTTTAACTGAGGAGGAGTATAAGGTATAGCTTGCAGTTATTCAATACAATATTAGTGGTTTAGGTGATTGCCTCCTAACCCTTCTTTGGTTTCCTCATATTTCACCAGTTCTGGCAAATTTAAAAAAAGTTGACTTAAAAATATTTCAAATCAGCAACATGCATTTTAACTGTTGGCCTTAAACTATATATTTAACAATAATGTATTGGTACTATATCATCAGTCACTCAGGTCATTTCTTACTTTTAAAGTTTGCCTTATTGCTACTTGTATCATATCTTGAAATGTTTAAATATAACAAACATACGGTTATATATTACATGTAAATTAAGTAAAATAAACTTGAGTTATGTTATTGCAGGACCTCCAAGAAAGTTTGAATGAATTTATCACACATCTTATTGGTCATGCTGAGAAGGCAAGTTATGGCGGTAAGTTCTATATACTTATTAGTCCCCTACCGGTTTACCGGAGGGGACTTTAGGTTTACCCTCCGTCCGTCTGTCCGTCAGTCCGTCTGTCCGTCCGTCAGTCCGTCCGTCCATAAAACTGGATCCAGTGATAACGCAAAAAGTACTGAAAATATTTTAATGAAACTTGATATATGGATAGATGGCAGTATGGAGATTATGCACGTCTTTTTCTTTTCTTCCTATGTTGAAAATTCTGGTTGCTATGGCAACAAATAGACTGAAAATATGGCAAATTTTACACATAACCTGGATCCCGCGATAACGCAAAAAGTACTGAAAATATTTTAATGAAACTTGATATATGGATAGATGGCAGTATAGAGATTATGCACGTCTTTTTCTTTTCTTCCTACGTTGAAAATTCTGGTTGCTATGGCAACAAATAGACTGAAAATATGGCAAATTTTACACATAACCTGGATCCCGCGATAACGCAAAAAGTACTGAAAATATTTTAATGAAACTTGATATATGGATAGATGGCAGTATAGAGATTATGCACGTCTTTTTAGCTCACCTGTCACAAAGTGACAGGGTGAGCTTTTGTGATCGCTTTTCGTCCGGCGTCCGTCCGTCCGTCCGTCGTCCGTCCGTCGTCCGTCCGTAAACTTTTGCTTTAAATGACATCTCCTCATAAACCACTGAGCCAATTTCATCCAAACTTCACAGGAATGTTCCTTTGGTGGTCACCTTTAAAAATTGTTCAAAAAATTTAATTCCATACAGAACTCTGGTTGCCATGGCAACCGAAAGAAAAATCTTTAAATATCTTCTTTTAAACAACCCTAAGAGCTAGAGCTTAGATATTTGGCATGAAACATCTTCTAATGAGTGTCTACCAAGTTTGTTCAAATAAAAGCCCTGGGGTCAAAATTGGCCCCGCCCCAGGGGGTCATAGATTTTCCCTATATGCATATAGTAAAAACTTAAAAAAATCTTCTTTTAAAGAACCCAAAGAGCTAGAGCTAAGATATTTGGCATGAAACATCTTCTAGTGAGTGTCTACCAAGTTTGTTCAAATAAAAGCCCTGGGGTCAAAATTGGCCCCGCCCCGGGGGGTCATTGATTTTCCCTATATGCATATAGTAAAAACTTAAAAAATCTTCTTTTAAAGAACTGTAAGAGCTAGAGCTTAGATATTTGGCATGAAACATCTTCTAGTGAATGTCTACCAAGTTTGTTCAAATAAAAACCCTGGGGTCAAAATTGGCCCCGCCCCAGGGGGTCATTGATTTTCCCTATATGCATATAGTAAAAACTTAAAAAATCTTCTTTTAAAGAACCCAAAGAGCTAGAGCTAAGATATTTGGCATGAAACATCTTCTAGTGAGTGTCTACCAAGTTTGTTCAAATAAAAGCCCTGGGGTCAAAATTGGCCCCGCCCCGGGGGGTCATTGATTTTCCCTATATGCATATAGTAAAAACTTAAAAAATCTTCTTTTAAAGAACTGTAAGAGCTAGAGCTTAGATATTTGACATGAAACATCTTCTAGTGAATGTCTACCAAGTTTGTTCAAATAAAAACCCTGGGGTCAAAATTGGCCCCGCCCCAGGGGGTCATTGATTTTCCCTATATGCATATAGTAAAAACTTAAAAAATCTTCTTTTAAAGAACCCAAAGAGCTAGAGCTAAGATATTTGGCATGAAACATCTTCTAGTGAGTGTCTACCAAGTTTGTTCAAATAAAAGCCCTGGGGTCAAAATTGGACCCGCCCCGGGGGGTCATTGATTTTCCCTATATGCATATAGTAAAAACTTAAAAAATCTTCTTTTAAAGAACTGTAAGAGCTAGAGCTTAGATATTTGGCATGAAACATCTTCTAGTGAATGTCTACCAAGTTTGTTCAAATAAAAACCCTGGGGTCAAAATTGGCCCCGCCCCAGGGGGTCATTGATTTTCCCTATATGCATATAGTAAAAACTTAAAAAATCTTCTTTTAAAGAACCTTAAGAGCTAGAGCTTAGATATTTGGCATGAAACATCTTCTAGTGAATGTCTATCAAGTTTGTTGAAATAAAAGCCCTTGGGTGAAAATTGGCCCCGCCCCAGGGGGTCATTGATTTTCCCTATATGCATATAGTAAAAACTTAAAAAATCTTCTTTTAAAGAACCCAAAGAGCTAGAGCTAAGATATTTGGCATGAAACATGTTCTAATGGGTGTCTACCAAGTATGTTCAAATAAAAGCCCTGGGGTCAAAACTGGCCCGCCCCGGGGGTCATTGATTTTCCTTATATGTGTATAGCAAAAACTTAAAAATCTTCTTTGAAAAAACCCAAATAGCTAGAGTTTAGATATTAAGCATAAAACATCTTTAAGTAAATATCTACAAAGTTTGTTCAAATAAAAGCCCGGGGGTCAAAACTGGCCCTGCCCCAGGGGTGTCATTGTTTTTAACTATATGTGTATAGTAAAAACTTAAAAAATCTTCTTTTAAAAAACCCAATGAGCTAGAACTTAGATGTTTAGCATGAAACATCTTCTTATGGGTATCTACCAAGTTTGTTGAAATAAACAAATAAAAGCCCTTGGGTAAAAATTGGCCCGGGGGGGCCTATATACAGGTGAGCGACCTCAGGGCCATCATGGCCCTCTTGTTCTTTTCTTCCTACGTTGAAAATTCTGGTTGCTATGGCAACAAATAGACTGAAAATATGGCAAATTTTACACATAACCTGGATCCAGTGATAACGCAAAAAGTACTAAAAATTTTTTTATGAAACTTGATATATGGATAGATGGCAGTATGGAAATTATGCACATCCTTTTCTTATCTTTCTATGTTGAAAATTCTGGTTGCTATGGCAACAAATAGACTGAATTTCAAGATTTCTGATTCTAGTTTTTAAGTTTTTTCACTATAAGTTCTTTATTTCTTAAGGTATTTTCTTCAAACTTTAAATATAAGTTGCTTGTCATCAACCACATCATATGTGACAAGGTTTACAACTCTAGCACAAAATTTATCAGAATTACCTCCCTTGAACTTAAAATTTTCATAAAAAAAACATTGTTTTTTTTTAATAACTTCTTTTTCTGAATGTATCTACTTCAAACTTCATATAAATGTTTCTTATTATCACTCAACATTTGTGAGTGTTCAATACTCTAGCAAGACTATTTCCAGAATTATGCCCCTTTTGAACTTAGACTTTTTTTTTGAGAAATTGGTAATTTTTACTCCAACTTCTTCAATCATGATAGGATTTTAAAAATGTTATATTTTGATAACAGGGATGTTTAAAAAATAACTTTAGAGTGTCCTTCAGTCCGTATGTCTGTACATAAAAACTGTTTCCTGTGATCACTTTTAAAGAACTTTTTCAACAAATTTACTTAAAATAGGAACATGTGAATGGCCATGATGGCCCTTCAGAATGTTGCTTGGGCTCTTACCGGTAGGGGACTTATGGATTGCTTGCAATACTATGATAATTGCTTGTTTAAAAATGAAATGACTGGTTGACAGAGACACAGATAGTGCATCTCAAAATGTTAGTACTGAAAGCAATTAGCTATTGCTGGTAGATCATGTTTAACTATGGAGTAAAAGCTTATGAATTGACATCTTTCTTGCCCTCAAGAAAAGAATGAGACATGTTAGTACCAGAAAGGTTGAGGAGGCTGTTTTTGAATTGTTTAAATGTGCGAGGTCACATAATATGCATTTAATTGAAGTTACAATAAACTGTAGGATTCAAAACATATTTTCTCCAATTTTTTCCCTATATTAATCAAACACTTCCATGTTCTGTTTTTAAGTTTTTTCCTGTCGGAAATAACGATATCTGGTTATAACGATATATATTTGCACTTTTAATATTTTAATTTTCCATTTTAATTTTCCTTAAGAGGTTTGATTTTGAATTAGAAGATTTTCAGATACAATCATAAATATCATAACAGTTTAGAATATTTTAAAGCTATTATCTTGTTGTTATAATTTAGGATCACCTTCAATCAGAGGCTCAAGTGCGGCATCTGGTGACAACTATATTATGCGTCAGCAGTATAGCCGATATCCTTCCTGGCCAGCTTCTCACTTAGAAGGCAAGATGCCGCGATCTCAATCCTCCAAATCAGTCCAGGAGAACCCCACTAGTCCCCAGTCTGCCCCAGCGGCTTCTCTGTCTCGTAAGTATATTAGCTATTTTTCTATGAGATTGTAAATGGCCACAGACAAAGATATTGCTGCTTTGCTGAAACGGCAACTAAAAGTACTCATTTAACTGGGAAAAAAATCATTGTTCTCCAATCATGCTTTGATTTATTTTAAACGTTTTTATGCCAAAATATTCATAAACCTTAAAATAATATATTTTTAGAAGAGAATAAACAATTACCGATTTCAATGTCCAATTAGTCTTCATACTTTATAAACCATTTGTGTATTAAATCATTTGTGTATAATGACAATACCTGGATTGTAGTGCAAGCCTATGATAATGGTATTTTATCAAGACACTATTGAAATAGCACTGTTGTCTCGATTTCATTTATATCATGTTACTGTTTCCATAATAGTGAATAGTTCGATCCATTCAAAGAAATGTTTTATCGAGAATCTGTGAATATATGTCTATATAACACCACTGTTTTGATAGTATATTCTATTATTAACATAAGGTTGAAAGAAAAAGTTTTTTCATTACTGAATTAAAAGGAAACAAGGAAATAATTTTGTTGATCGTAACTATTTCGAATATAAAATATTTGACTCACAATTTAACTATTAATTGTTTGTACCACTAGCCCTTAGAGTGATTCACTCCGTACCATCTCTGGACAATGGGGACATACCCGAGTCCCCAGGTAATACCCTTATCACCCTTATATTGTGACCTGTTTTAGCTTGGTACTGTGTGATTGTGTGTGTATGTGTGTGTGTGTGTCCCACTGATTTGCTTCCTAATCAAGAGCACATGCTATGTAAAGTTGACATTACATCTGGTATATTTGGTATTCACACTTTTCATACATTTTTGCCTTGCCTGAACTCACTATAGTTGCCTATCTTAGACTGAAGTTTTTCGTTAAGAGCATATACTAGGATATTGAACATATATCTTCTGCACAATGAGTTACAATATACCTGACAGCACAGATATCGTCACAGTTTATGTTATGTGTAACTGAGTGTTGTACTTGACTAGTGTTGTCTTGAAAAATAAGGTTTAATGTATCATACATATGTATATTTCCCTGTATAAAATACTTATTTCAACATTTTTATGAATGTTTCTGACAAAAATGAGACTAAAACTTCACTGCAGAAGTTTCTCAAGTGTGAATGTTATTAGCTTTAATTTTACAATCTTTTGCAGCGGGACTTGTAATCTTGTTTTCCTTGCTGCATTGAAATGATTGCAAATGATTCTTTAACATACATTGTCTTTAATTCAGACTTCTCAGTCAGCAAGCATATCATCATGTCCTTAAAAACATCTGGTCTAGGTTTCCTTCCTAGAAGGTCATAAACAGTAAATATCTGCGTTCAGAATGTCTTTAATCTTTTCATTTCAGTTGAACTCATAAGGCTGTTACATTTTCATTTGCCATAGATCTCTTTTCAGTATTCTCTTAATGTTTTTCATTTTTCTCATATCATGTTATTTTAATTTAGACTTTTTAATGTTAACACTGATCATTAATGCATGCCCCACTTGCTATTAGGCAACAAGAAGCGTGTGTCAGATACTAACCTTGAAGTTGACCTTCATGATGGAGAAGATGGTGGTATAGTCATGGATGTGCACAGGCGCCATAGAGGTAATGTCACACACCAAATGTGTCATCATTCTTTTATAGTATTAATTTGTAGTAATTTTATCAGTTTACTATTCACTTTCAGGACTAGACATTAATGAGTATTTGTTGCAAATGAAATTAAAAACAAGTTGATATTACACAGCATCTAAAAAGGTTAAAGTTGTTGACTTAACATCATTTGCCCCTCAGCAATGTTGGTTTGTATCTCACTTGGGACTTTGAATTCTTTCATTTGTGGATGCTGTATAACTGGCTTAACTCTGGTTGTTGGCTGTTGGCAGCTGATTCTACACATTCAACCAGTGTAGACTATGATCAGCACAGAACAGACTGTCAATGGTCTGCATTGTTCATTATTAAGTTTAGATTTCCCTAAAAATGATAAATAGTTAATATGGACAAGTCCATCTCTGAAATTTTAGTGTCAAAGAGTTAAAGAAGGTTTATGATCTTACTCTGGTGTTAACTTGTGCCTGAAATAGCCTAATGAGGGGCGCCTGAGGTATACTAGTAAAGCACTTTATCTGTCAGATCATCTTTACATGTGATTTATATGATTTAAAGAAAAAAAAGGAAAAGAAAAAACTCTTAGCTTATGAGTGGCTGACTTGTCTGCACAATTACTCAGACCTTTATTCTATTTTGAATTAAACCTACAAAAGATAAAATTAAAACATAATTATGTAATTAAGGCAGTTTGCTATCTCTAAATCTTTATCACTATAATGACCTTTTTATTTCATAAACAAACAAAATAATTATTATTTTATATTAAGCATCCAATGTTCAAATAAATATTTAATGTCTAGTTCTAGTTTAAATACATTTTGTCTTTCTTACACATGCTTTGCTGCCATATCTTTAACATACCAATTCATTTCAAGTTTGCCTTCAATGCTATCTAACAGTTAAAATAATTTCCTAGCTCTTGTCTTATGATAAAGGTTGGAAATATTTTTAGATTTTGCTTTAAAATTTGGTGAAACGTCCAAGTTTTTATTTTATGTTGCAAAGTTAGGTGTAGTCCACTCAGCTATTTTTATCCGCCGCCGATAGATCTGCCTTTCGTCCGTCCGTCCATCCGTCTGTCCGAATTTCGTTTCCGGACTAGTTCTCTGCAACTACTGGCTGGAATTCAACGAAACTTTATGTCCCTTGATTATTTGTGCAGTATGCAAATACAGCAAAAATCGTTTCCGTGCTACTTCTCTGTAACTACTGGCTGGAATTCTACAAAACTTTATGGGAACCTTCAATACCAAGAGGAGATGTGCATATAGTCGCCTTGTTCCGGTCAGACACTTTAACTCAGAGTTTTGGCCCTTGATTAGTTATGTAGTATTCATATAGAGCAATATTGCTATTTCTTTGCAACTGCTGTATTAATTTCAACAAAACTTTATGGCAACCATGGATACACAAAGGCAATTTACATCTCATTGGCATGTCCAGATATTACTATCTAACACAGAGTTATGGCTCTGTTATTGCCCTGAACATTTATCAAGTACAAAGAATATTACTGTTTATGCCATGATAAATGTATAAATATAGCCTTATGTCTTCAGTTGTTGTGTTAGTAATAACCAGTACTCGGCGGGGGATATAAATTCAACGAATTTGCTTGTTTATCTCAAGTCTGCCATGCTGCTTTTCAGTTCAGCTTGGAATAAACTAAATAGAAAGCTTGACTATAAGTACAAATGATTTGTCCAATAAATTACAAGTTTAAGCATCTTATTTATATTTGCATGTGATCATTTTGTGCCTGAAATTAGCATGTTTTTGTTCTACAGTGTTGCATGATTAATATATAAATATTGTATTGTTGATATGTTCTACCCAATTTATATTACATTTAAGTGATTGCATTGAGGTGTTTTTTTGGTGTTACAGAACGGAAAATTATTTTTCAAGATTATTGTTCCATTTGATGTAGGTCTAGGTCAATGACTTGTGTGCAAAATTTCACATCAGTTGCTCACTCAGGCTCTGATTTTCCAAAATGGTTATCTAATTGTGTAAAATGATGCAAAATTGAAAAGCATTGCAACACTTTAAACTCAAACTGGGTTAAAATAGCACAAAAATATGATTTATTCTGAGTATATTTTTAAATATGTTTTACATATCTCTCTGTTTAATCTCAGTTGATCTGTGTAAGAAATTCAAATTTTATGTTTTTAGGCTTTTTGACCCAAGTGGAGTTCCTTTAAAATTACACAACTTCAGAAACTTATTACATTTATAGATAATGTTTTGATATTTTCTTGACATAAAAAATCTAAACTTTTTTAATTTTTGAAAAGGGGCAATTAAAATAAAAGATACTTTCAAGATTACATGTACCTTGGTCTATATTCTTAATGTTCTTCTTTTGATAATCATCTTATTAATGGAATCGTTTACCTAACATGGCATATATATATACATGATAAGGGAAATTGCTGACTACAGAGTATTATATTGGATTTTCATTCATTATGTTCTTACTCTTATTAAATGCATAGTCAACATAGAGCATACTGTTTTTATTGACATCTCAACTAAGAAATTCAGTAAAGTATCTAAGTCTAATCATGTTTCTTTAACATATATTTTTGTTTTAGAAGTGTATAAATCTATATCTTATGAAATATTTTAATAAAATTTATCAACAGTAAAATTATATTGGTTCCATTATTATATGGTTGATTCCCGAAAAAGTTGTAACATAGAATGTCTCTGTTATTTAATACACATGAATAATGTATGTAAAAAGAATAAAATGTTCCAGAACCAAATATTATTTTGCTATTTTAAGCAGGGTTTTATCCGTTTAGCAATGATTTTTGTGCATGCGCCATTTGCTTTTAAGGCAATAAATTACCATATTTATTTCATACAAGCATTCTGGAATTATACTTTTTTAAAACTCAAACAATAATTTTTTCATCAGTTATATAGCTTTTTTATACACTTATAAAAAAAATATTGAATGGAGAGTTTATTTATTATCCATGGATACCACTTCTAAATGAATGCAGAGCTTTATGAATTTAGTCATTTTAAGTTATATTTCAATGTTTGTAATTGTCAGTCAGGTTCTTACTGAAATGTAGGACACTTTTTATATGTTACATTTTAGTGGGTATTATATCTGTTAAAGACAAATCATTTAGAACATAATTGATAATTAAAGTATGAACTTCTCAACTCCATTAAATTTCAAAGAAGATGTAATAACTTTTATAATTATCAGAGAAATGTTCATGAGATGAAATATTTTATGATGTCAGGTTCAGACAGCGCTCTGTGCAGTAGTCATAATGTGTTCATGTTTTATGATGTCAGGTTCAGACAGCGCCCTGTGCAGTAGTCATAATGTGTTTATGTTTTATGATGTCAGGTTCAGACAGCGCCCTGTACAGTAGTCATAATGTGTTCATGTTTTATGATGTCAGGTTCAGACAGCGCCCAGTGCAGTAGTCATAATGTGTTCATGTTTTATGATGTCAGGTTCAGACAGCGCCCTGTGCAGTAGTCATAATGTGTTCATGTTTTATGATGTCAGGTTCAGACAGCGCCCTGTATAGTAGTCATAATGTGTTCATGTTTTATGATGTCAGGTTCAGACAGCGCCCCTTGCAGTAGTCATAATGTGTTCATGTTTTATGATGTCAGGTTCAGACAGCGCCCTGTACAGTAGTCATAATGTGTTCATGTTTTATGATGTCAGGTTCAGACAGCGCCCTGTATAGTAGTCATAATGTGTTCATGTTTTATGATGTCAGGTTCAGACAGCGCCCTGTACAGTAGTCATAATGTGTTCATGTTTTATGATGTCAGGTACAGACAGCGCCCTGTGCAGTAGTCATAATGTGTTTATGTTTTATGATGTCAGGTTCAGACAGTGCCCTGTGCAGTAGTCATAATGTGTTTATGTTTTATGATATCAGGTTCAGACAGCGCCCTGTGCAGTAGTCATAATGTGTTCATGTTTTATGATGTCAGGTTCAGACAGCGCCCTGTGCAGTAGTCATAAATGTGTATTTTATGATGTCAGGTTCAGACAGCGCCCTGTGCAGTAGTCATAATGTGTTCATGTTTTATGATGTCAGGTTCAGACAGCGCCCTGTGCAGTAGTCATAATGTGTTCATGTTTTATGATGTCAGGTTCAGACAGCGCCCTGTGCAGTAGTCATAATGTGTTCATGTTTTATGATGTCAGGTTCAGACAGCGCCCTGTGCAGTAGTCATAATGTGTTCATGTTTTATGATGTCAGGTTCAGACAGCGCCCTGTGCAGTAGTCATAATGTGTTCATATTTTATGATGTCAGGTTCAGACAGCGCCCTGTGCAGTAGTCATAATGTGTTCATGTTTTATGATGTCAGGTTCAGACAGCGCCCTGTGCAGTAGTCATAATGTGTTCAGCTATAAGCCACATACTCGTATTGTGGCGGCAATAAATAAGATAGAGGAGGAGAGAAATAAACGTCTACGTGAACAACGGGTCATCGGTTCTGTGACAAAACATAAAGAAGTCAGTTACCATATCAACACTAGAAAAGTCAACTTCCACTGGCAGAAAGGCAATAAAATTGGTATGTCGATATTTTATATGAACTCGCATAACTATAATATGAAAGTTTAAATTTGCTTTGGCTGGACCAAACTTTTTACATTATAATATCTACAGTATATAAAGGTCATGATAAAATCTTAATAAGTCATTATAATATTAAGTAATCAATGCAGTAGTGGCAGTGTGGCAGAGTGGTTAGTGTGTCTTACTAGTAATCTAAGAATTGCTGGCCAAGTGGGTTCAAACCCAGTTAGGGTCAAGACATTATTTCCAGTAATAAGCTTTGTACTACAGTGCTTAGTACTGGTTGGTTCCAAGAAAAGATTTGTGTTTCAATAAGCTTATAGCTTCCAAAACAAACTAAAACTTTGTATAAAAGTATGCATTATAACAATAGCCACAAACTCCACTCCTGAAATAAGCAAGCTTATATGAAGACCTGGGTTGGTATTGCATTTGGACCCCCTTGGATCTAGGTCAAGGTCGACATTACTAAAAGTAGAAAAATGGTTTCTGGACAATAACTAGAGTTAGGAATGAGATATTGTAATCAAACTTTATGAAAAGCAAGCTTATTTGGAGACCCCAGTTGGGATTACAATTAATTGAAATATTTCTTTGTACACAGTTGATAGTTTGTGTTCAAATTTTTCTTCAGACTACTTATTTTTCAGAAAGTCAAAGTTGCTGGTGGGGCTATTAATCACCTTCAGTGATAGGTCTAGTTTGTTTTAATCATTATGTACATTATGTATTATTGATAAGAATCTTGTTTTATACATCAGGTGAAGGTCAGTTTGGTAAGGTGTATTCTGCTGTCAATATGGACACTGGTGAACTAATGGCCATGAAGGAGGTTTGTATTGTTGAATGCTGTGATGCATCCTTTAACTTTAAATTTTCACTTGGTGTTTTACTGTTTCACACTTCATAATCACAGAATATTTTGAGCTTATTGTCCAGGATAATTGTTTGTGAATTTTCTCTTTGTTCTATATTATTATGATACTTGGTGAATATTTATTTTGGAGAAAATCTTCAAATGCAAACAAATTCTTTTTCTACAGTGTTAAGAGATAAGAAATTTTCCCATTGAAATTAATTTAAATGGAGATAAAGGACTATAGGTATATTTCCATTTTAAGCTTTGAAGAATAGGGAGAGCTTTTGTATTCACCCAGGTATCTGCATTGGCGTCGGCGTCCGTGTCCAGATTTCAGATTAAAGTTTTGGTGCAGTAAAATATTTTTCACTATAACTTTGTCATTTTTTAAGGTATCAACTTCAATATTCAAATATATGTTCCTTATCATCAACCACATCTTATGTGACAAGGTTGAAAGAATTATCTCCCCATAAACTTAAAATATTTTACTAGAAAAATGTTTTTACTATGACTTTTTTAGTTTTAAAGGTATCTACCTCAAACTTCAAATACTTGTTCCATATCATCAATTACATTTTATGTGACAATGTTCATAACTCTTGAAGCAATATTTACAGATTTCTCTCTCTTTGAACTTTGGATTTTCTTTAAGAAATACTATATATAACTTCTTTACTTTTTAAGGTATCTACTTCAGACTTCAAACATATATTTCTTATCATTACACACATGTTGTGTGACAAGGTTCATAACTCTAGTGAGACTATTTCTAGAATTATTTCCCTTGATCTTGGAATTTATGTTAACAATGTTATTTTTTTACTATAACTTAAAACATAATTATACATAATTGATTTTTCTTTCATAGTTTTGTCTTCCTTACTGCGTCCAGTATTTTATTAGTCGAGCTTCGCTGTCTCCTGTGACAGCTCTTGTTTAGTACAAGTTGTTATCTCCAAAACTACAAAAGGGAATGGCTTGAAACTTAACAAACTTATTTGAGAGCATAATACTATGCCACTGTCAAAGGCCCATACCTTGATAGAATTATGATCCTTATTGAACTTTACATTATCCAGGGCCTTGTTTTTCTATCAAGCTCTGAAAGTTGTCAAGTACACAGTCCTACCGACAGCTCTTTATTTTGTAATTTTATAGGACTATATTAAGTTTGATCTCTCGATTTAAATTTATCATGTTGCTTTCTGTGTATATATAAATTACCTGTATTAACAGATGAAGTTCCCAACAGCAGACATGCAGTATCATTTTAAGGAGATTATTGACGAGATAAAGATATTTGAGGGAATCAATCATCCTAATCTAGTTAGATATTACGGTGTAGAAGTTCATAGAGTAAGTTTTATATTGTTTTATACACAGTTTCTGATGATAGTTATATACGTACAGATCCTGGAAATATTTAAAAACATATACAAACATTACATACAATAAATTTTAGAATCCTCCTGCAGTGTAAGAAATTGCGATTTGAATCGACTAGGCTGGTCGGCCTACCAGATTGGAATATTCACTAGCCCAAAAGACATTTCACTAGCATGATTCATTTGTTCAAAACAGTTGTTTATATTGTCTCTGAAAATACAGTAGCCTGGTCGGGCTTGTTACTGTGAAAAGTTGGTAGCCCGAGGAGAAATTTAGTAGTCTGGGGGCTAAAGGACTACTGCTAATTTCAAACACTGCTTCTGTCATTCCAAAGATTTTAGGTTTGAGCCTTTGGATCTCAACCAAATATGGTCATGTGATATCACTGATCCATCAGGAAAGAGGACTTATTAGTGATCTATTGAAGCTTAAGTTAGAATGTGTTGTACATTTAATGTTTAGTTCAGCTGTTTAAAGCTGCAGCTGATTGGATATGACATTAGTTGGATTTCAATACTGGTTATTTTATTAAGCAAAAAAAAAAATTGAAAATAATTTTGATATGTAGGTAAAATTATGACAATAAAGTTTCAATATATATGTCTAATATATTAAACCATGCTGTTATATTATACCTTACATAACTGTTCCTTCTTGGTTTAAATAAGTGTCAACTTGCCTTAGAATGATATAATATTCACAATGATGTCAGTAGTCCATCAGAGCTATTACTATTGTCTGACTGCTAAAATTTAGCAGTCTGTAACCGCAATTGATATTTTGCAAAATGCCCATTATGTAAGCTGCTTGCCAATAGTTCTTAATTAATTTTACTGGAAATTATGTTTGTTATTAGAATAAGATTAACTTTCTTGTTGGAGTTAAACCTTTATATTTTAATAAAGTGTGGTATAATATAAGAAGTAGTACATAGTCCTTTGGACCTCAGCATTATAGTGACCTCCTAGTCAGCCCCAATCATTGAACAGACCTCTGCCTTAGGCTTCAGTCTCTTAAATGTTTGCAAACTCACTGCTATGAGGCTGTTAGTACTGTATAGTACTACTTCAATAGTTGACAATGATTTTTATATTATTCTGATATTTTATAACCCTGATGAAGACTCGTGAGAGTCGAAACGTCGGTTATCATCATTAAATAAACCTTAAAACTTATCCTGTGTTGATTGTTTGTTCCACTTTTATTGTTTTTCTTGTACTTCAATAGTTGATTATTTTGATTGTGTATATAGACAGAGATGTTGGTGTTTATGGAGTACTGTGATAGAGGAACTATAGACGAGGTATCGAGGGTGGGTTTGACTGAAGATCTCATACGTCTATACACAAAGGAATTATTGAAAGCCGTACAAGTGCTCCATGATAATGGCATTGTTCATAGAGACATCAAAGGTAGTACTGCATGAAACGTTTGGGCCTTCATGCCAGCCAAGTTGTTTAATCAAAGTAAATAAAAACATCAAAAAAAAATCAATATACCCCTGCAGAAAAGTTAGAGGATTTGATATATTGGAACATGCTTGTCTGTCTATCTATAATTAAGTATACACGTCTATTACAACTATTGCTGGGCATGACCAGTGTGGGGATTTATTATTTTTTTATTAACAAAATCAAAGTTTTGTTTTCTTTATGACTAATTGTGGAGTATCTGATATTGATTCACTTTCAACTTAACAGTGTTAATATTCACTATACATAAAAACACAATTACATGTGTATTATGAAAATTGTTGCTTATATTTTGTACATGTAGTACTTTTTCATTCTACATAATGCATCCATTTTGTAATGTATACTTATAATTTTCAATATACCTGAATTTTGCAATGTATTTCCATTGGTAAGAATGAAATGACTTTTTCCTGATTTTTTTTTTGTGAAATTAATAAGTGAAATTGAGCAGTTGTGTGATAATGATTAGGTTACAAGCATGTTTAATGTTAGTTATATGGTGTGATATATTCACTTTGTTTAATTACAGGGGCCAATATATTCTTAACATCAAGTGGTTGTCTAAAGTTAGGTGATTTTGGATGTTCTGTTAAGTTAAAGAATCATACAACCATGGTTGGTGAGGTGAATTCTCTCGTTGGCACCACAGGTAATTCATTCATATGTATCTCCATTAGTTTATTAGTCCCCTACCGGTTTACCGGAGGGGACTTTAGGTTTACCCTCCGTCCGTCTGTCCGTCCGTCTGTCCGTCCGTCTGTCCGTCCGTCCGTCTGTCCGTCTGTCAGTCCGTCCGTCCACAAAACTGGATCCCGCAATAACTTGAAAAGTACTGAAAATATTTTTATGAAACTTGGTATATGGATAGATGGCAGTATGGAGATTATGCACATCTTTTTCTTTTCTTCCTATGTTGAAAATTCTGGTTGCTATGGCAACAAATAGGCTAAAAATATGGCAAATTTTACACATAAACTGGATCCAGTGATAACGCAAAAAGTACTGGAAATATTTTTATGAAACTTGACATATGGGTAGATGGCAGTCTTGGAATTATGCACGTCTTTTTCTTTTCTTCCTATGTTGAAAATTCTGGTTGCTATGGCAACAAATAGGCTGAAAATATGGCAGATTTTACACATAAACTGGATCCAGTGATAAAGCAAAAAGTACTGGAAATATTTTTATGAAACTTGACATATGGGTAGATGGCAGTCTTGAGATTATGCACATGTTTTTTCTTTTCTTCCTATGTTGAAAATTCTGGTTGCTATGGCAACACATATACTGAAAATATGGCAAATTTTACACATAAACTGAATCCAGTGATAACTCAAAAAGTACTGGAAATATTTTTATGAAACTTTACATATGGGTAGATAGCAGTCTTGATATTATGCATGTCTTATCTGTTCTTCCTATTTTGAAAAATATCAGTTGCCTTGGCAACAAATAGGCTTAAAACATGGCAAATATAACAATATTTGTGATAAGTCAAAAAGACCTGAAAATTTTTATGAAATTGCATCTTTAATTCAAGACTTATCTCCTCTTTAAGAATTTTGCTTTTAAAATGTTATATTTTGGTAACAGGGATGTTTCAAATATTAACTTTAGAGTGTCCTTCAGTCCATCTGTCTGTCTGTCTGTTCATAAAAACTGTTTCCTGTGATCACTTTTAAAGAACTTTTCCAACAAGTTTACTTAAAATAGAGAAAAATTGAAACATAAGTGAATGGCCAATAGCCCTTCAGAATGTTGATGGGGTTCTAACCGGTAGGGGACTTATGGATTGCTTGCAATACTATGATAATTGCTTGTTCTGATTTATTTTAGTTTGTGTTGGAAGCTGTAAGCTTATTGAAACACTCGAATCTGTTCCTGGGAACAACCTGTACTAAGTAAAATTTCTTGCTCTAGGAAACAACAGCTTGCCCCTGATGGGTTTGAAACAACAGTCCAACACGGTTTACTAATCTGACGCTTTAACCACTCGGCAATACAGCAGTTCCATTGTTGAATTAATATAGGGACATGCATTAATGGATAATTTTATATAATGGGATCAGTATATAGTATTGAGAAAGAAATTTTGATTGATAGTTTACTTGATTGCTATAATATATATGTGATTATGTAATTTAAATGTGACTTACGAAAACAAAGCAGTGTATTAATTTATTAATAGTTCTACGGTATCTCATACATTAGCCTGGTGTCTAAATTCAGAAAAGGTAGCCAGCTTATAATGTTTTAAGTTGAGAGAGATTATGAAGTTTTTATAAAGAAAACATCATTGTTCAGAAGCATTTTAGGTCATGATTAATTAATTTCTTAATGCATTGTTCGCAAACACGACAAAATTTCTGTAAAATGTTGCCTGTAATAAAGATGAGATTATCTGTAAATAGTGTATATTTAAAATTTTTGTTTTATGACAGCATACATGGCACCAGAAGTAATTACTCGCAATGACAAAGAGGGTCATGGTAGGGCAGCAGATATATGGAGTGTGGGCTGTGTTGTGATAGAAATGTCTTCAGGAAAAGTAAGCATCATTTTGTGTGTATTTATACTGTGTTACAGTTTACAGTACATCAACCTATAGATACCACCTCTGACACCTGCAGCAAGGCATAGATTCTTTAACTCAGTGGTCTAAAGCAATGTTATTTTTGTAAGATCATGGTTGTGTGTTCAAATCCAAGCATCGATTAGATTTTCTTCTGCATCAATTGCATCTTTCTTTTATGAACTAAAATTGTTAAAATTTTATTTAGAAATTCATGGATTATGGTGTTTGATTAATTTTCTTTGTTTTCATTTAAAAAGTACATAAAGCTGTATTGGTTAAAACTGTTAGTGATGTATAGCACAGCATTTGAAGCTATGGTAATTTGATCAAGTACAGCATTGTTGTTTATGAATGAAAGGAATAGTGAAAGAAATGATTAATGGATAAATTATTTACAGCGTCCATGGCATGAGCTAGAGAGTAATTACCAGATCATGTTTAAACTGGGTATGGGGGAGACTCCCCCTGCCCCTGAGAACCTTGGTGATGAAGGCAAAGATTTCCTTGTGCACTGTCTCGAACAAGAACCTGATAAACGTTGGACAGCAAGTCAGCTCAGAGATCACCCATTTGCCAAGGTCAGTTTTTATTTATATTTTAAAATTGTATCTTATTTAGAGCCTGAAGTCTTCCTTCACCAGTAAAGTTGGAAAGTAATCTTATGACCGTGACAGTTTTGAACCCAAACAAATGAATAAGTAATCTAGACTTTTGGCAAAACAAAGCTGTAGTTATGTATTTATCTGATTGCTGAAATAAAAAACAAATGCAGACATACATGAAACTTCATTTGAGCTACATAACTTCAAACTTGGTATGTTGATTGGTCATGACCAGCAGATGACCCCTGTTGATTTTGGGGTCAAGGGGTCAAAGGTCAAGGTCACATTGACCTTGTAGGTAAAAACGGTTTCTGATCAATAACTAAAGAACGCTTAGGCATAGGAACTTCAAACTTGGTATGGTGATTGGTCATGACCAGCAGATGACCCTTAACGATTTTGGGGTCAAGGGGTCAAAGGTCAAGGTCACATTGACCTTGTAGGTAAAAACGGTTTCCGATCAATAACTAAAGAACGCTTAGGCCTAGGAACTTCAAACTTGGTATGATGATTGGTCATGACCAGCAGATGACCCCTATTGATTTTGGCGTCAAGGGGTCAAAGGTCAAGGTCACATTGACCTTGTAGGTAAAAACGGTTTCCGATCAATAACTAAAGAATGCTTAGGCCTAGAAACTTCAAACTTGGTATGATGATTGGTCATGACCAGCAGATGACCCCTATTGATTTTGGGGTCAAATGTCAGGGTCACATTGACCTTGTAGGTGAAAACAGTTTCCAATCAATAACTTAAGAACGCTTAGGCCTAGAAACTTCAAACTTGGTATGATGATTGGTCATGACCAGCAGATGACCCCTATTGATTTTGGGATCAAAGGTCAAGGTCACATTGACCTTGTAGGTAAAAACGGTTTCTGATCAATAACTAAAGAATGCTTAGGCCTAGGAACTTCAAACTTGGTATGATGATTGGTCATGACAAGCAGATGACCCCTATTGATTTTGGGGTCAAGGGGTCAATGTCATATTGACCTTGTACTTAATGATGGTTTGTGACCAATAACTCAACAACTCAAGTTGCCTTTGTTGATATTTTTATATTAAACTAAAAATGCTTTTGGTATACACATTTGAAGGTCTTATGTAATATAATAACTTGGCTGTCATTAATGAGGCCTACATGATTCATAAAATTTATGCATATATTATTTGTAAGATTTGTAATAACTTAAATTGCTGCACACAATCTATGGGGTCACAATAATTATTACCTTGTGACTAGCCATGACCAGTAGGTACTAGATAACCCTTATTAATTGTTTGTTCACTGGGTTAGAAGTCATGCATAATAACCTGATCATATGACTAATTGGCTGCCGATAGGGGGCATACATGTTTTACAAACATATCTTGTTCAAAGTGGCTTGCTGCCATGATTCGGAGGGTAAACTACTAACACTACCATCACCAGAACAGTTGAATCTATAAAAAACATTTCAAACTCAAAGTGAGATTTCTTCTATATTAATGAACGAGAATCAAATTTCTAGTGTTTAACCAAGAATAAAGAAAAGAACTGGATAATGTCTTGTATTAATAAGATTATTTCACTTTAACTATTTTTGTTTTTATTTCAGATCTATGATCCAGAGGGTGATGCTGAAGATACAAATAACAGTCAAAATTAATTCTGTATAGTAACTGTTATTTGTTTAAACTAATCTTCGAATTTATTCACACTTATCCTAGAAACACTTCTAAAAAAATAAGATGATATATTTTATATTTTAAATAAAGTGTTGGTTATTTACTATTTCAAAAGTGACAAGTAGCATTGTTGTGAATCACTGGACTAAAATACAGATCATGATATTGTTTTGTTAAATTATCTTTTTTCTGGTTTTTGCCATTTAGATGTTTATCTTAATCACTGTTAAAGGCAAGAGTCTGTAATATTTTAAAAGAAGATGTTTAGTCTTTATAATGCTAGCAACAGCAATGACTTGACTATACTATCATTGTTGAGTCAAGCCAGTCTGCTTATCCACACTGTCTCACCCAGGCTTTATGTTATTGCCTGCTCAATTATATTGAAATCCCTCAAACCCGCAATAAACATGTCCGAATAGAAAGCAGGAAAAGTCCATTAACAGAAAGGTGAACATGTGATGATACACTGATTTGTGATAAGCTCTAACATTTTCATTATAACTGTATTTATGTAACTATTTTGGGAATATCTTTGTGAAAGTGATCTGCATGCTAAGCTAGATTTTTTTTATTATTAAAAAATTAATTGTAATTTCAATTCATAGTTAAAGAACTGCATTTTTAGTTATAATAGAAAATATGAAAATATCACTTTATGTAAAGACTTTGATCAAGGCAAAATGCTCAAAATATTGTGATTTTATATTCTGCTTGTAACAAAACATAAAGTTCATAACAGAGTGGTTTTTTGCTAGTTTTAAATTTAGATATAAAGTAGGTAGTACCCTTAACAATCTGGCCTTCTGAATTTTGATAAACTTCTCTGATTGAAGTAAAGTTAAAGTGTTCATGTACATTAATATGTTGATAATGATGAGGAATGTAAGTGAGATTTTACATACAGAGTGGCCAGAGCTATAATTTCTTCACATAGTGTGTTATAACAGACTGTAGAATGTAGTTTAGAAATTGTCATGATTATATCTATAATTGAGCCGCATCATGACAAAACCAACATAATGGGTTTGCGACCATCATGGATCTAGACCAGCCTGCGCATCCACGCAGTCTGATCAGGATCCATGCTGTTCGCTTACAAACCCTATAACAAGTAGAAAAATGGATAGCGAACAGCATGGATCCTGATCAGACTGCACGGATGCGCAGGCTGGTCTGGATCCATGCTGGTCGCAAACCCATTATGTTGGTTTTGTCGTGATGCGGCTCATATGTAGTTGACCTTTTGAAGGTAGAAATTGTAGATAATTCACTACTAATTGTTAACTTACGCTAGGTAATATACAGGTATTATGTTGTTATCAGTTCATTTAAAAAATATGTCTGGTGTCAAGTGACACTGTCAGATCATCATGAAAAATAGCTTTAAAAAATAGAAAAAATAAGGATTAGAGAAATTAACTTGATAAATAGATGTTATTAAGCAATTTGAATATTGTTGAAAAATAAAGTTAGTTAGTATTTTTTGGATATAAAAATACAAGAGCTGCAAACATTGTATTTTGATTAAAATTGGTCGTATGATATTGTAATGCACCAGTCATTTGTTATCCAGGCCCCAGGATGGGGGTATGGGAGGGTATATTGTGATGTGAATTTACCTTGCAGCTGTCCCAGTCTTTCTGTTTCAATGCAGTAGCTTCATTTTCAAGTGAAAATTTTGGGAAATATAGACACAGTTAAGGGAACATAGCTGGATATTTTATTATCCTAAGCAGGGCAGGATTTTTTTTTTTGATTTTTTTTTGCTGAATATTTTCCAAGAGTTGGGACAGGAGTAAAACATGACTGGTGTGTAATATATAATTGATAAATGTATAAGTTTTAATGTGACAGAAACTGTGTTGTAGAACAAAGTTGTATTGTGGGTATATACATCACCATTCCATTTAATATTTGAAATGTTATATTTTCATACAAAGATACATGTTAATCAGAATATATACTATATCCTGTGCCTATTTTCCTCTGTATGGTATATATACAGGGTTGATTTCCATGTGAGAACGTGTATAGCTTAAATATTGTAACATAGCAACATTGTGTTGAATGGATTCAGTATTATGTGAGGAAACTATATGTATTCTGTGTTGTAAATGAATTGTAACAGTCTTTCATACACAGCTCAAGTTTTCATACCGACTTATTGGTGACAATGTTCTAGGTTGCTTAAATAATGTAGATACTGTCCTAATTTGTAAATATTGTTATAGTATTCCATCAGCATAAAGTGGATATGACATTTCTATATGATTATGTTTAAAGACGTGGAATTTTTGTCTTATCTTTGCTATCATTTAGTATACAAAAGATGACAGCTCAGGTGGAAACAGAGAAGTTTACCCTTAACTTTACAAAGCATGTCTAGTTTTTCTGTTTAAATTTTACATAAAATTGATTAAAGTAAAATCAGGTAATTTATGTCCAAAATGCTGTTAGATATCTGACTGAGCAACATCGTTGATTCACTAAGAAATGATAGAATTTTAGTTAATAATTTTTCGTTATATATTTATAAATGTGTGTGTTTATATTGCCCCTTGACACTGCTAGATACAAGTAGCAATAAAGGTAGAAGCAACCACCTGTATATCAAGCTGACTTGCACATCTGTTAAATCTGACAAGATTTTTTTTCTTAATAGCTACTCGATTTTACTTTTTTGTTTTGTTTGGAAGTAATAAGAGTAAATATGTTTATCTTTTGAATATCACTTTGTGATAAATCCACCACGTCTTCTGGTCCTTAAGTGGTCTACATGCTGTTTCGGCCAATCAGAACAGAGCTTATATGAATGGTATACAATATATAACATTGTCAAGGTGTACAAACAATACATGAATTATCTATGTGTAAAATATATATAACATTGTCTAGGTAATATTGATGTATATGAAGTGTGCAATAAGTTTTAATAATGTTTTAAATTGAATTTTAATTCTTGGTTTCTCTACATGGAGTATGTTTTTATAATGGGACTACTTATACCCTGTATTCTTCTACTACTTACTATTTTATTTTAATCTTTATTTTTTAATTACTTCTTTGTTTAACTTTATAACTATATCAAATAATTCATGTGTTATTTACATAGTTTTCTGTCAAGTTATGTCAGTCAGATTTTTAAAATCTATTTTGGTGACAAGCATTTGGTCTGTTATTTTGCATGAAAGTGTTCAGGTTAAATTGGGTTTTTTTATTAAGTAAGTCCAATATTTTATTTTGAAATACTTCACTTTTTCATTAAAAAATGACTATATCATATATATTTTTATCAAGATCATCTTGATTATTTTTTTGTTTTGATTTTTAGCTCGACTTTTCTATGAAAAGGGGAGCTATCCTACTCGCCCGGCGTCGGCGTCGGCGTCACACCTTGGTTAAGTTTTTCGTACCACCCCACTTTATTTCAGAAGTATTACAAGTATGGCTTTGAAACTTACCATACTTGTTCACCATCATAACCTCCATCTACAGACAAGAGTACATAACTCTGTCAAGGTTTTTGACAGAATTATGGCCCTTTTTTGACTTAGAAAGTGTATTGAGCTTGGTTAAGTTTTTTGTACCACCTCACTTTATTTTCAAAACCATTGGAGGTATTGCTTTGAAACTGACCATACTTGTTTACCATCACGACCTTCATCAACAGACAAGAGGACATAACTCTGTCAAGGTTTTTGACAGAATTATGCCCCTTTTTGACTTAGAAAATACATTGAATATGGGTAAAATCCACTTATTGCCTTAACCCTTTGAGATATTGCTTTGAAACTTTTAATGCTATTTCACATCATTACCCCCATCTGTACGCAAGAGAAGGTAACTCTGTCAAGGATTTGTTTTAAAAATTAAGGCCTTTTATCGACTTAGAATCTTGGTTAAGTTTTTAGTACCAGTCCACTTTTTGACTGAACTGTTTGAGATATTAATTTGAAAGTTGGAATACTTGTTTACAATCATGATTCCCAAACATGTCCAGGAGAAGGTAATTCTGTCAAAGATTTTATTTGAATTATGGCCCTTAACTGTCAATGTTTTGTATTATAGGCAAGCACTAAAAAACTTAAAAAATCTAAAAAAATTCATTCCTATCCACTTGTTCACTTTACCATAAATTATGTCATAATAAAATAATTCTTCACTAAATATCTTAATGCTCATGGCCATTGTTCACTTTAAAAATACAGAGATTCTTGTATTGCCTTTTACTGCAAAAACTTTTTTTATTGGCAAGCAATAAAAAAGTCGAGCGCGCTGTCTTACGGACAGCTCTTTTTTTTCTGATTTCTGTATTTTACATCTTCTCTTTTGAACCATCAAATGTTTGTTCATCACCTGCATAGCATACACTGTGACATCTTTATTTCAAGACTAAATTGTTTTACAAACTTCTAACTTTACTGAAATCTCTCTTTTTTCACTCAATCTTAAGATATTCATTTAAAGGTTGTTATACTATACTTCACTCAGATTATAAATATTTAAGCATCTTGGCTAAATAGTAAATGTGCTAGTACACGGTGATAGGTCGTTTTCCACAACTTGCCAGCGTAACGTCAAAATATCATACTGCAGATCGAGACACTGTATCTTTTTGTGCAAAATAGTAATGGTGGGCCAATCAAGTTTTAGGAATAGCTTTTAAAATATCTAACTGCTAGACATTGCAAAATTATTTCAACTTTTTAATTATTCCTTCGATTTTTGGAACAATTTATTGTTAATCTAGCACAACACAAATCACACAACATCACATACTTCGAAGAAAGTGTTTACAAAAGGTCGTGTTTACCTCAATAAGACTCATACTTGTCACAAAAACCTGTGCTATAACAACATATATATATACGAGGGATGATCAAAAATAAAACGGACTGTGACTGTCAATTGAAGAATTTTCAACCTATCACTTATTGTTATATATCACACTTAATCGGAAAACAATACCTCTAAACTGATGCTTTATCTAATCTGATAACGCAAAAAGCTTGTCCGTAACAGCGAATTCAAAAACCATGGTAACGCACACCCGGCGCAGTGCGTAAATTCGCCTTGACATCAGGCGCCTTAAGCTGCGTTTATTTAACAATATGGCACATTAAGATTTCAAAATACGCCAAAACATCATGAACCATATCATTGACGTTGTCGGTAAAAATGACTTCATTTAAACCATATTTATATTTGCAATCACAATTCAAACGTCCCATGTTAATAAAAAACTCCCGTTAAAACTATGTCGTCGGAATGTCACGAAAATCAATCAATAAGAAAAAATTATTCAAAGTAAGACGAGAAACTGTTTAAAACGTAGAAAAAGATTATGGCTATCAAGGGGAAAGTTCCAGAAAGCCACAGCATATTTTTTGATTAGCATAAAGAATTAAGAAAGGGTAATATAGAAATAGAAAACAAGTAAGGGAGAGACAGAAAAAAGAAATTTTCTAGGACGTTGTTGACATCAATCACTAAGACGTTGAAAAATTACGGCTGATTGACTGCGGACATTGTCAACGATGTTCGACAGTAATTACGGGACGGTGCAGTGAACTCTAAGGATTTTAAAATGATAATAGTTAATGCATTAATTAAATTTATTATATGATCTAAATATAGCTGCAATCTCATTGGTCCAAACAGTAGTCAACAGAACTTTTTATAAAATCATATTTCCTGGGTGTAGTATCATATTCACTGGCTGAATTGGATTTTCCCAGTCTAAAAATAGATTGAGACTCATATTCAATGATCATACACCGTAGACTGTTAATTACGCGTGTTAATTAAAAAATAATTGTTGCTTTTTTTTCTTTATGGCATATTTCTCAATTAAAATATCAATACTTTACTATCATACTTAAGGTTTACATCGCAATAATGAGTATAAACTTGAATTATTTTTGTATGCGCAGCATTCGCATAGTCGTTGCACGCCTAACACGTGCGTCTTTCTTCCCGCGCTTCAACGAGGCAAAATTTGTACATGTATAATTATAAGGTTGCACTTTTGTGATTTTGTTAATTTCTTAGCCTATTCATATAATAAAACAATTATTGACTAGTGAACCATTGAATATGATGTGATATTCACCGGCAGAAAGTCATATTGACCGAGGCGATGACCGAGGCGATATGTCATCTGCCGGTGAATATCACATCATATTCAATGGCTCACTAGTCAATAATTGTATAATATTGTATTCTTGGTTTACAATAGTATCAATTATTTTCTTATTTTACGCAGTATTTTTATGGAGAAATTGTGTCAACAATTAGACAGTCACTGTTCAAAATCGGCTATGCGTTTTATTTATTTTAAAATAATGACAATTTTGTTCATAGTTGTATTATTCTTTTATTTTTTCTTATGTATAATTCATTATCACTCAGCAACATTGTTTTACATTATTTATAATACATAATATAGTTTATTACATGTGCGATTTTTCCAACAATCAAGTTACAGAAGTTTGCGTTACTACATGAGCTCTTTATCATCATCCATTTTTTTACAATACAATATGATACCCACTTGTACAGAAATATATATAGGCAGTGGATCCGCCGCATCAACAACATAACTGTACCAAATATTTGCCAACTCCGTGAATGAGTAAAAAGCTACTCCGTTAACGAAAATTCGCTTGTGACGTCGTTAACGTCAATTTCAAAGTTATACTGTGCGCCGCATTGCTTTACATGTACATGCCAATAACAGCATAACTTTTTTTTGTTAATATTTCTTGTTGGTATTTTTGTATAATTCAGGGGTAAGATTCTGTTATATTTTCTGTGTATCTTTATGTAAATTTATTTAACAGGTAAAGAATCATTTACAAAGTCCGGTTAATTTTTGATCATCCCTCGTATATATTGATTAAGCATACATTCAAGTTCCACACAATATAGTGTGACATGATTATTAGAGCACTGCACAACACTGAATTCTAAAACTGCATTTCATTCTGTACGTTAGACTGGTAATTACTGGCATTGTTTTCATTTGCATTAAACTTTATAAGTTACTGTAGAATTAAAGTCCTACTTACAAGTATGTTTTATTTGATTGAAGAGAATAGAATGAAAAATTCGAAGATTTTACCTTGTTTTCATCTGTTTATCATCTGTTTTCTTGTTGTATGACTTGACATCCATTTTGTATGACAGAAAGATATGGTGTCTCGGTCAGAAGTATGATATTTTGACATCGCACGAAAAAGTTGTGGTAAACGCCCTATCAACGTGTAGTATATTTTTGATGGGTAATTTTACAATGAATACAGGTAGAACAAATACATGATGTATTTGTTGAAAGTGTGTTATTGTTATTGAATGACCCGGTATTAGAATGTATGTTATTTGTTATTGAATGCTATATA